TTTTACAATTTCAAACCAAGTTGTAGAGGAGCTTTACAAAATATGATGAGAGCTTCTAGACAAAAGAATTTGGCAGACCACCTACAATAGCTAACCCTGCCCGTCTTCTGAACGACATTTATTTCCTATATTCCTCTACTTGTGAAACGTGAGCCTACAAGACAGTGCAAAGTGTGTTGTTCGAAAAATATAAATGGGAAAAAGATAGGAAGGAACACGATTTGGTTAGTGATTGTGGAGTTGGTTTGTGTGGAAAAGTTTTCCAATTGTACCACCACAAACTGAATGCTGAACTACTACTAGGGTATTCACTTTTATGTATTTTTTTCATTTATTTATTTTTTAGACTAATTCCTTTTTTTTTTTTAATTTTTAGAAAAAATGCTCCAAAAAGCGAACTTTACAAATGCCATGTTGAGTGGCAGCCGCCTCAAGCAAATACGCAGTGGCTACAAAACTTTAAAAATTTACCCTACCCCATTTACTCTTTTTTTATATTTTACTAACCTTTATTATTTTATTTTGTACTTTTTTGATTTTTTTCCAATAAAAAATTGGACAATTGTTCCCAAATCAACAAAATAACTCGACAGTTAGTTGGTTAATAAACATGAACGAACCACAGAACATGGTACGGAGAGTCACGGACGCATTATTTTATATGGATCTGGTATCTGGGCAACGAGCTTAACAGCACACGAAAACGCATACTTTTGAACTGACTTCAACGGCAACACTTCATACAATTAAGAGAGGTCTGTACGAATCAGCGAACTGCACAAGGACTTTACTACCACTTGACCTGACAGCGGATTGAGAGGTGACCCTTTCCAGTATCTTAAATTAAGGAAGGACTCCAAACTGTGAAGTAGACGCAATCCCCCACCCCCCCACCCGGCTTACAAAGATTTGTTAACGCCGGTCACTCACAATAGCTGAGAGGAGTAGTCACAATCTTCCCAGATGGCTCGCGTACCGAGGCAGGAACTGGCTGTAGCCTATGAGTAATTACATAGGTAAAACGTACCCACTCATGGTGAATATAAAACTAAAAAAAAACGTGGTTTAATTCACAATCCCGTTAAATTGCAACACCAAAGGAATGATCTAACAAAAGTCAAATCACTTAAAGGAAGAGAGGTGTTAGCCAATGATGTATTTCGCTAGGCGACGACGATGAGGGAAACACACTGAACCTGCCGCTTGTGTGGATTTTCATTCGGAAAGAGCTTTTAAGGTCGGAGTTTGCTCAGAATATCGTGTTATCCTAGAAAGAGAAACTCCAGCAATCTCGGAATTCGATAGAGGCAGGATCGTTGCTTATCGAGCGGTGGCTTATTGTTCCGCTGGACCGTCCCACTGGGTGCGTCAACCACTGTCATGCGGATCTGGAATCAATGGGTTCTACTGAACAGCATGCGGATTACGCCTCCTGATGACCGCGATACACGGATATTGGAAGCAGCTGCAAAACCACACAACCAGTAGGAAAGTGTTGGGAACGGCATGTTTGCAGCACGCCCAGTATCAGCTCGTAAGAGGCGTCGACGTTTGCTGTAGCGTGGACTATCAGCACGGCGATGCGTCATAGAGAGAGACGACGTCTCTGGCGCTCCGAACGACACAGTTGGATACAGGAGTGGCATAATGTCGTCTTTTACATGAGTCCCGATTCTGCGTGAAGTATTCTGATGGCCGTATACGTATTTGGAGGCTCCGAGGGGACCGCATGTCGCCTGCTTGCATTCCATATCGGCATTAAGGGCCCTACACCTGATGTCGTGTACCCAATGGTTTGAACAGCCATTGGGTACACGACACTCACATCTTTATTTCGGACCGACGGTAATTTGAACATAAATCGGTACATTTCTGACATCTTACGTCCAGTGGTTGTGTCTTATCTTCGAGGCCTGCTAAACGCCATCTTCCAACAAGATAATACAAGATGACATATTGCACGTCGTCTTCTGACCTTTTTCGATACATAGGGTATTCGATTGCTGCCCTGGTCTGCACGGTCTCCAGATCTGTCACTCATTGAAAATATTTGGTCATGGGTTGCTGAGAACATTTGGAATATTTGGTCATGGGTTGCGTTAACCGTATTAGCTGGAGAAGCCAGCCGACTTCTCCAGCTAATACGGTTAATGAAGTGTGGTTTAGACTTGAAGCAGCATGGAATGAGTTGCCCGTTTTTGTCATCCAAGCCCATTTCGACTCCAGGCCTAACCGGGTAAGGGCCATTTTAGCTGTCATTGTTGGCAGTTGTCTCTACTAATTTCGCAACCCTCTAAACCCCCAAACGGCTTACAAATTCAATCATTTTGTCTTTATGTCTTACTGTTTAGCGTAAAATAATTTTTTTTTTCATTTGCATTCTTTTATGGTGTTGCAGTTTTAATGACCAGCAGTGTATTAAAAAGGCGCAACAATGTCTGGTATTTAATGGCCACCAGTGTATATTGCAGGTATATGGGAACTGCGTGTATACACTATATTGTATGTGTTCTGTGTTATAATTATATATTGCTAACTAAAAGTGCTCAATGAACGGAAATTGCATTTATACGTACATATATAGTGTATAGTAAGAGTTTTAATTTCTACTAGATACTGTGTATTGTATAGGTCTTATGTATCAATAGGTATTTAACTATATATGTTATATGTACATTGCATGCGTATACTACGAATTGCAAGTATTTAGGATATTGTATGTATTCTGTATTTTAATTGCATATTGTTAATCAGAAGCTAGTTCTGAACTATATTGCAAATGTAAATGCAAATATGGCATATAGTAGATGTACTGTATGCTATTGAAGTGTATTGCATTTATTGTCTATTGTTTGCATGTCATGCAGCGTTTATCTATCAAAATTACATGGGATTCAATAACTAGAAATTCCAAGGCAAAAATTTATTGGTATCATGGTTAAAAACCTGAAAGCTCAATTAAACTAATTTAATAAATAATCGAATGCAAAAACGATTTAATAATGACTAGGGGAAGCATGGTGGATTGTTGAGGGCAACTAAATAAATAATGTAGTGAAGTGCAAACGTAGTAAAACGACTGACGTAGTGACTATTGTAAGAATCGTAGTGACTTATAAACTCTGGATTGAAATTTACTGGCATCATAATGAACTAGTATTGGCTTTACTATATCCGATTCAATTCTGATTATAAATTGTCATGGATGATAACCTCACCACCCTTTTACTCCGATTGAGCTCTTTTAAATTAAATGAATTAGTCGATGCATTATATGCAAGATGTGTTAGTCTCTCTCACCCTCTGATTGCACAACAAATGACCGCTGATTAAGTACATTCATCTGTCGAATCTGCACCTTCTTGCTGGTGAAGGTTGTTGGTTAGTAGATTTTACCATCGAGCAGGCATTATTCCGGTCTGCTTTAGGTCGGAAGCCTCCTCGGTTGCGAGATGGGGTGCTCTCCATCAAAATTTGGGGGGGGGGCAGAACTGAGCAAAGTCGTACTGTCATCCGTATGGTGCTCAAGGTTCTTGCCAACGATAGGTGCAATATTGCAATCCTCGCCAGGATGAATTTCATGGGCTTTTTCTGATATTACTGTCAGGCAAGTTAGATAAGTCACAACAATAACAACAGCAAAGTACAAGTTTTATGGCTTTCGTTTGTGAATTCTTTCCAAAAATTATGAAAATTTATTCAGAATAGAAGGATCAGACTTTCGCAATTGCTCACATATTGCAGTTAGTCAGACGATTTAAAATCTATCGAGCACCAAAGTGGTAGCGGTTTAAGTTGCTTGATTATGACAAAGCAGGTGAAAGCAATCTGCCTAAGGCAAAGCTGGATGTTTTTAAGGTGGACTATTTTAATGGGGAGAGCCAAAGAGGTAGTTTTGGGGTGAGAGAAATTATTTTGATATATGAGAAAGGTAAAGTTTAACAGGATGCTGTTTGTGATAGCAATAGGGAAGAGTTTAAATAAATTGACTCTACGCATGCTAGCCTACTCAGCAAATGAACCCTGTAAGTATATTTGTAAATTATTTGTCCTTCTGTAGTTGCGAGCACTCCTACAGTTCTGAATCCAAACTTATTAATGAAAAGCTTTTTTAAAATATCTTATTTAAACTGATTCCAAAATGAAAGTTCATTGATGGATATAATAATTTTCATAAATAACTTAATTGGTGAATCAAGACATCATGTCATACAAATTCCTAAACCAACAGCATTCTACCACAAAAACTTGTATTTCTTCGAAATCTCCCCCCTTTTTTTTATACTTCCAATTAATTGTATGGGTGGTGAGAGATATTTTAGTAACTGCAGTTACGGACAGAAGACAAAGATTCCAAGAAGAGAATATTGCAATTACGATGATATTAGCTTTCATTTTTATATTATTGCAGAAGTTTTATTTCATTAAAAAATTGAAAAGTATGATATTTATTTCTTCCTATATTTTCGAGTAAATGCAAAGTTTTCATCTTTGACTTTTAATTTTTTCCGAAATTTCTATTTTGTAATGCGAAAATTATGTATAATTTCTTATGAAAAATAAATGTAACATTTTTTTTTGCAATTAATAAGACAATTTTTTTATGAATAAGGCTTTACATACTATGCTCTAAATATGCTGAGTTTGTAGCCTTGAATTTCTGTAGTAGCTGTACTCCAGGAATCAGGCAAACTGAGTTTGCTAACATTGCTTACAAAATTTAACTACAATGAGATAATCATCAAAATCAAAATTTCTCTTTTATGCTTTTCTAAACGAAAGAACCTATGTCTTTTAAGTATTCCCTTGTATGTCATATTTGTCAGCATTTTGTTGTACTTAGTTGGAGTTTGGTTTAATTTTATATCTACTGCATATGTAATCTTCCATGTTTTATACGGAATGTCGCCCTGTTTTTACGTTAATAGTGCATGCGGATTTCTGTCACTGTAAAAATGCAATGATGTGATGTTTATAGAAGACAAAGAGTCAAACAAAAATTAAAGGTACTTGTATTTTCCTCTTTAATATGTTTAAAACAAGAAATGTACATTTCATTCTTTCTTTTATACACTATACACTCAGTAGGCTTATAATTAACAACGTCGTTTATTCTAAAGCACCTATATTAAAAAGTAATAGTTTATTTCATTATTCCTGCATGTATTAGTTGGGTAACAGTTTCAGAACTTCAATGAAAATTTAACTGGGCTCTCTCTGGATGAAAGTTTAAAGACTGCAGGTAGAATAGAGACAGAGGACTATTCACTATAACATTACCATAAAATATATTACACCTTTTCAATCTATAATAAACCATAGAATTTACATATTTCATTTCAAATATGTAAAAGATACATTTCAAAAATTTTTCCAAATGTGGAACATATTTATCATTTTCATTAATGGCTATAATATCGTAATTTCTTTTCATTCCATTGACTAGAAAATAATAATAGTAATTAAAAAAAGAAAAGGAAAATGTGGGAGGAGGAACATAAAGTTTCTAGTCCTCAATATAAAAGTATTTGGAAAGAAATTAAGATACTTGCCCTGTTCGAAATATTCTGACTAATAAATCAACATCGCTTAAACTTTAGAATTTGTTGACTAGGATTATATATGAGAATGAACTCTATTATAAACTCTAAGACACTGTACTCCTGTATATGTGAAAGACATTATGGCAGTTAAAGGATCATAGAGAGAGTGATTTCTATAATATCTTCACCTTGAACACAGTACAGTGAAAAATGATTTTAAATGCCATCACCAACTCTTAAAACAGTAAAACTTAAGCATTCTTTTTTCGGATATTATATGTTTACTTTTATGTTAAAAGAAATCTAATAATTATTTTGATATTTTTTTTAAGCTGGCTATGCAAATACTTTTGAGGTTCCCAAGAACATCCTTATATGGCAGGCTTGTAGAGCCACATTTTCTGTGAAAATTATGTGGCCTTATAGAGTCAAGTTGGATTCTGGCGGTTATTAAACTAGGTTAGCTGCCTTTAGAAAGATAATGTGATGTAAAGTTTGAAGCAACACAGTTATCTACTTCAGTATAACATTTTTCTGTGCTGGTCAAAAAATTCTATATTATTCGAAATGCATTTTCCAACTAAATTTACTTACTTATTAAATTATATATCGTTGGAATAAATATTATATTTCAAATCAAAATTTTAATTTCATTGCCAGTTATAAACATTAAAATGATTTAAAATATTCCTGGAGCATTTCAGAATGTTTAAGGATTTTTAATTTGTAACCTTTCCATAGATAAAAAATATTGAATAGAAGCGAAATAGTTGCTTATAGTACATCATTGGGAAAAGAAAGGTTTTAGAACAGGCAGAAATAAATAAATGAGGTAAATATTCGTATTTCTTTTACAAAATTTGCTTTTAAAATAAGTAACAATATTGAGCAATAGTATATCTACCAATTACTTTCGGAAGTTGACATGACGATAAATATCAATAGATAAGTATGTGATCATCTCGCATTTATTAAAACATAGTTTAAAAATTTACATAGGTCTACAAAATAAGTTAATAATTTAGTACACTATAGAGGCATTCTATGGACGTGAGAGTTTCTTTGAAAAAAGGCCTTTTTAAATTTTAAAACTATAATTACCGCTTAGAAATATTCAACTTAATATCGAACACATTGTTTAAATAATTTTTTAACTATTAAGTCAAAATGTCTTAGCTTCTAAAGATAGAAAGAGAATGTATTTACATTAACGATATATTCATAACTATGAGCACAATCTAATACTTCATTTAAATGTCTACTCGGGCACAACAAAGGATTTTACTTAAACAACCTATAGCATAAATTGTTGCACAGACACAATCTAATACTTATAAAATAAAATATGAAAGCATTTTACAATTAATAAGACAAGTCAGTAGAATGCAATTGCTTATTTTTCACAAGGTTGCGACATGGTAAATTCTTACTCCGAGCACTTGGTTAAGCTCTATAGGCAGATGTACGATTCTTCACCCATGTCAGTAATTTCATCATTTTTAGAGAGTATCTTTGTATCACAGTCAGCTGAGCAAAAGTCTTCAAAATGAAATTCTTAGCGTTAATTCATTGTAACATTTGCATGCTAAAATGTTAGATCAGAAAAAAAAAAAAAAAAAAAAAACACTAAAATTATAACTCCAGGTGGAATAAGGTTATTGCAGGTGAGCTATTAAAGCAATAAAATGTTTTTAAAAACTACTGAATCTAAACATATTTATTGGAGTCGGATTGCTTTATCATCAAACAGCACTTCTCAGTTCCAGCACTTATTTTATGCTTTTTCGGACAAATAATTTTCCTGGTCGGTAATTTTATTTTGTATTTTTTAATTCTTTATGTTATACTTTGTTTCGGATTTCATTCTAATATTTAATTAGTACATGTTTTGGATCTTATCGACACGAGGAATTGAAAAGTACTATTTCATATTACACACAGAAACACATATTCACATTTATATACAATCATTTGAGTATATGGCAAACATTCATATAACAACCACACTCACATACATGTTTTTGCTTCAGATGGGAAATCGTTCGTCATTAAAAAAGAGGCTTTATGAAGACGTTTAATTTATCAAGGCTGGTTAGCTGCCAACTTCTGAATAAAAAATAATTATCCGTGCTATGCAAATGCTACAGAATGAAAGCATATGTTGAAATCTGTGTATTAGATTTACAGTTCTAGTAACATATTTTTCGAAAAGGTTGCTCACTGACTTGGGATAAGAACTGTAAACCGTACCTTCTAATTTACATATTGTTTTCATCAGCAAAATTCTTATTAAATCATGGCATCGTTTTGGAAGTTAATATATATATATTTTTTGTACTGCCCATAATTAGTTATTCTTTTCTACTTCTGCAACTATATATAGAATTGAGGGACTGTGGCTGGTATTGGCGCCATTAAGGGGATTTATAAATCACACTTGCCACTAGACCCTTGGAAGAATATCAGAAATTATATAAGAAGCGAAATAAAAAGCAAAAGTATAATAAGAAGTGCAAGAAATTGATCCATTTTGTAGTAAAAAAGCAATCATGATAGAAGCATTAGCACTTTTCTCTGATTTCACAGAAAATAATTCAATAAAAATGTGTCATTTTAAAACCTGCTTTTATGCAGTTTGTGAATCTAATATCTTGAAACAGTGGACGATGCTTGTCTATTAATTCATCGTTACTTTTATAGAAAGTGTAATTTAAATATTGCAGTTTTCTACATAAAATATGCATTCTTTGGAGATAAAGATTATTTTTACGTAATTAATAATTAATTTGTATATTCACGTAACCTGTTAATTTTATTGCACTTTTACTAACGCTTTGGACAATTTAAAATAATTAAAAAAATATTTTTCCCAGTTTTTAGAAATGTGAAAATAAATTTACCTAAGGTGAAGTTTTTAACATATTGATTGCTTTGAAAAGAGGAACAAGTTATTATTAGGTACTTGAAAAATACTGATACTATATTTTTTAAACAGGTTATACGGTAGTTTTAAATATATGACGGCTTTTACCAAATATTACCTTATAGGTCACCTTAGATTTAATTAAACGCAGCATTTTTAATATATAGCAAAATAAGGAATAACTAGCGACATTACAACAAAACTAATTTATGGGATATATTATGAGCCAAGCATATTTCAAAGGCTGTTAAAAAATCTTAGTTGATCTTTTGATGGAAAATTAGTGTTATTTGTGTTACAATATAAAGTATAATGGAAGTGATAATTTCATTTTTATTAACAACGTTAAACACAGAAACTGAAAAATGGTTCACGTAATGAACTATTAATTTGCATTAACGTCAAAAGAACAAAATGGTATGAGAAATGTGATAATGTTATAGATTTTTAATAAATGCATATAACGCTAGGAAAAACGCATAGTGTATAATGCTGCATGAAATATTATAATAATGTATTTTTTCTGCTATTTCTGTTTCGGATACCTTACTTTCAATTCTGATGTTTAAGTATTTTCAGTTTCTGTGGATCAGAACAGTTATAAAAGGTCACAATTTGATTAGCTCATTTTAATATTTGTTGGACATTATGAAAAAGCAAACAATGTTTTATAAATAGTATTTATTGCCGAAAAAAAGTTACATTTTGGTGATTAAAATATAGATTCTTTGAATAATGTTATGTACAGCACGTGAAGTGCTGTACCTAATGTTGCTGTTGCATTAATTTACCATTGTTTAATAAGGAAGTTTAGTAAGGTTTTTCTTAGTGCATAAGGTATAAATATGTTTTGAATTTATATAATTTATTTATAATTTACTTAAAAATTTCTAAGAAGCCACACTTATAAAACTTTGCGATTTTCTTTACATTGCTAAACTTTGCTTGAGTTAGATAAAAAGAGTTGACAACTGATGACGAACTGAACTATTATTTAGATTGCTTCACAATTTCGGGGGGGGGGATAAAAAAATTGATTTGGGAAAAAAAAATAAATAAAACGATGTAGATCAGTGGTGAGCTATTAAAATTTTAAAAAACTATATTTTATAAAAATAGAATATCAAATTGTAAATTAAATATTTAACATTTTACAATAGCAGAAAATACAAATAATTAGCAAAAAAAGTTTAAATTTATGAAATAATAAAGAAGCCTAGAAAATATTTCAAAAATCGTATAAAGTGACGAGTAAATTAAACATGCCGCACAATTCATGCCAGAAGTTATCACACGTTATTTCCTTCTTTCATATCACCGAATTTTCAGCAGGGGAAAAAAAAAAAAAAAAAAGCTTTTACATAACTATTAGGTTTAAATTCCCTTAAAGGCTTCCCGTCTAAGGAGCTTGTCATTAAATCTTAAGTACGTAATAAAGTTGCATTAGATCTTCTTCATGTAGAAATATTATTTGTTCATCAAAACTTGTTCAGCTTCAGCAATTGTTTCCATAATGATTTTAGGTTTTTTTAGATTAGGAATTCCGATATGCAATTTTCCTGTTAAGCCATTTGAGCGAAATTCGGAAAATAATTAATTTTTATTTCAGGTTTCAATATAAAATCACATTGTTTATATACTTTCCTCTCCTCCTGACCATAGCATATTACTTCGTTCTTAGCCTATGTTTCTGGATGACAAATATTAAAATTCGTTTTTAATTCACCATTTTTATCTTTTATTTTATAATTACTTTGCTGCAATGATTTTTTTTTATAAAGACATCGTGATAAGTTAAGTAGTAATCTAGCGGTAATTTGTAAATTTTATTCTCGCTTTCAGTCGTTTAAACATTCGACTTTTTATTTTAATATAGAATCAATCAATTTGTTTTAAGCAAACAAAAAGAACAAGGGGCTCACAAATTACAGACAAGTTTAACTAAGGGCTCGGACGAGAGCTCCCCTATAGCTCACCACTGTGTAAGCAGGACTTTATTGGGACCTTATGGAGACTTAAATACATTACATTCAAACGAAATGATCTCGATTCAAACGAAGTGAAGTCAGATCTGCATTTATCTCTTGAAGTTTAGATGGTGCTTATTTATTACAAAATTTTTAGAAACTTATCTATTTCATCCTATGTCATATCTAAAATTTCAAATGAATAACTCAAGAAAACTCTAAATGTGTAGTTCAGTAGTAAGTACTTCAAATCCTATCTATGCTGAGAACGGGAAATATTACCTGTTTTATATATTCGTCAATTCGTTTAAAATGCATTATTATGAATATCTTAAAATAATGGCGCTTTTGCGATTAATTTAAATTATGGAATAATGTGTTAAAATGTTTCATTTTAATTGTTTTCTACTTTTTTCCCCTACTCATTTAAAAACAATACATAAAGGAAAAATATAAATTCACACCAGCATCAGTAAAATAAATTATAACGCTCAACACTTTTATGTGTAAACAATACATAAGTGTAAACATTATGTATACTTTTAGAATTTTAAATAGATTTTGATTGTTAAATATATGCTTCATAATACTTTAATTTATAAAAGGCTTTACAAATTATAAGCTACAATCTATAAAGATAGAATTTGATAGTTAAAAGTTTATATATAACAGAAACTGTTTAATGAAACGCAGAACTTGTAGAAAATAAATTTCACTATTACATAAAATGCAATGCAAAGTGCCGAGGATAATGTAAGGGTGAGCATTATAATTTTTGTTTACGCAGAACTTAAATTTATTATATTTAATATCTAAAGAATGTACACAATCTTTAAATATATATATAAACTTGTTTTTTAAACATGGATACAATTTCTTATCTTTTCCCGGAGAGATAGGAATAAAACTAAGGAATGTGTTATAAATTCAAATTTTGCTTTGCTTCAAATATTTGTTTCCATTTGAATACTATTTTGAAAGTTTGCACTGCGTTTTATGTTTAAATTGCCAGTAAACGAGTTTATACCCTGTTCGCAATAAGGTCGAGGCTATACTTAGAACACACAAGATTGAAATTGTAACTAATCCTTAAAATAAATCATAGTTTGAAGTTCTTGGTTATTAAAAACGGCACATGAAACACGATATGCATATTCTTGTTGTTACTAAGCGCCATAACGTAACAGTGTGAATGAACTTTATAAACAAAAAATACATTGCTTTACTGCGCGTTTTTAAACCGTGGACAGATATGAAATTCCTTACTATTAGTTCTGAATTATTAACCCGAATAAATTAAAAAGGCCTACATTTTGTCCTTTTTTTACAAAATATGTTGTGTTGCTGTACTGCAATAGCTGTATGCAATAGTTAATACCTAAATCAACATTCAGCAAAATATTTGAGTTTATTTAGTGCGAACAAGGTATATATATATATATATATATAAGAAAGAACAGCTGCATAGCTATCGATACATTTCCTATCTCGTAACAATGGTAGTATTTGAAATATTGTGGCAGAGTGCAGATATTAAACCTCTAATGAAATGGCAAAACAGATCTGCACGCTATGAAAAATGCTATGCTAAATTTTAAATAATTTTTTTCCTTCTCTACCGTTTATACCATAGTGGTTTTTGTTTTCATAAATACATCAGAAACAACAACTGATCGTATATTTTGCTGCTCTGAGATAGTTGCAGTAGCAGGAAAGGGGGCACTTATATACTGCAAATTGAGCTCAGTGACTTCTAGTTTTTCGGAACACATCTGTTCTGGTGCATTTTTTTTTTTTTTTGATTTTTTTTTGTTTCTTTGTAACAGTATACAAATCACAGGCTTTATACTAAACAACAATTCTTCAATAAATCCGTATGTGAGAGCCTTTTTTTATTTTCTCTATATTACCTTACGTGTTACTTGTATACCATTGCTTAGCTATCTTAAATCTGATAGTCTTTTGCAAAGTTTTAACAATTGAATCGACTTCCACACACACAAGCATACAGTAACAACAAACTCTGCTCATTCTCAAACACACCACCTTTCTCAATGATTGGCGGACAGGGTGTTTCTTCCAAATCAGACAGATGCATTGGAGGATGATAACTGCATATAGGAGGAAGATGGTACCAAGGCCTACGACTAAGCGTACACGGTCCATCTTACCATTTTATCCCTCTTACCATTTATATTTTATACCATCTTACCATTTTTTAAGAGAACATTAATGATAACGTAGTGCAGAAGAAAGATTAGTAATTTGTTCGTCAGGGATTAAATCCAGAAGTAAACTGCAATGAAACATCTTTTAGAGAACAGAAACAGATAAATAACGCGAAGCGATAGATTATCAGCTCTTCTGTGTTGTAGTAGAAAGTTCTAGAACATGTTTCATTGAAAATAATGTGTGCGCACAGCTTTTAATTAACAGGGGATATAAATCACATGTAATGTTTTAGTGATTATGCATATTATGTCTAACTTCAAAATGAATGAAACGGATTAATACTAAAACAAATATCATACATTAAAATGTTACTCTTAGAAGAGTTAAACATTTCTTTATACTTTTTAAAAGTTATTTTAAAAATTCGACATTAATAGGTACGTAACATCTTTAAAGAGACAGCAACGCTAGAGTAATCCTCTTGAATTAAAATACGAATAAAAAATACAGACGAATAAAAAATTGTTTAGAAAGTGTGATTCAAATTAAAATAAATTTTTGAGAAAACTTAATTGAAAAAAAATTGTTATGTAAAATCATAATGGTTAAAACATGTTTCTAGAAAAAAAAATTATTTATATTTTTCACTGGAATTCTATATTACTGAAGTGCATATATGCATATTTTTGAACTTTAATTTTATTAACTTACAGTTCGATTTTATTGAAATACCCTAAAAAATTCACTTCTTTTACACAAGTTAAACACTGCATAGGAATACTTCACTATTAATCTGTTAATTTAAAAAAATATTAAAAAGTGATTAAAAGGTACGTCAACTTCCGAAAATACTGCCTGAAGCCACATATTAGACTACTCTGCTGATAATTTTTAATTTTTGATTGCTCGTAATTTAGGTATTGGTAATTTATTTTAATTACTTATTACGAAACTTTAAATTCATTATTCAAAAAGAATCAAATGAAATGTTTTGTTATTTCAATCGCAACTAATAACTATCTTATTCAGCAGGGTTTTAGAAATAAAATACTAACTAAAAATAATTTAGCAAATTTCATTGAAAGAATAGTTTTGAATCCTGTCCATAATGTTTCAGTGAATTAAAAAAAAAAATACCAGTACGAAAAGCATTGCCGAGTAAAATTAATGGCGAAAAGAAATTCTAGAATCATTTTCGAAAGAACTTTACGAGAAAATTCTCTTTGTTGTCCATAACACTTTAGATGGATTGAAAGAATAGTTCGGAAACGACCACCCTGTCCGCCGTTAGTTATCATAATTAAAGTTCCTAAATGTACAAAGGCAGTGTGACAGACGTTAACATTCCAAAGGTGGCTTGGCAAGCCCTGAGGAGGTGCAGTGGTCCTTCTTATATAAGGGGGCGCCACTATCATAGTATTGCTGCTGTTGATGCTGATGATGATCTTTCCCTTTGGGAAGGTGGGGGAGAGTGGCAGATTTGTCACCTTCGCCCCTTAACTTCCACACAGGCGAACCCGCTTTATCGTGAGCTGCCTGCACATACACCAAACCCCCTTTCCCTAACGAATTCGAGGTTTTACTGGACAACCGGTGGTGGTGGTCAGACTTGTCAGACCGGTCGGATTTATCCGACCGTTCCGAAGCGTCCATGTCGTCCATACCGTCGGCCACCGTCTTGCTGCGGGGAGTGTGAAAGTTCTGTTCGAGGTTGTCGTAGGTTTCGACTGTCACTTCTTGTTCCATGTTGCCCGCTGAGTGTCGCTGAACAGTCTTAGGCCGTTTTTTGACGCTAAGCGTCCGGGCCATACTGGTGGTACCTGATTCCGGACCACCGGATCGTCTGCCGGTGGAACTTCCACCACCTCCTCCTCCACCACTCTTGTCCTTTGGAACAGGCTTATTAACAGGCACTGTCATATTTCGCACACTCTCGCGAATTATTTGTCGGATCGTCCGTAGAAAAGCATTCCGAAATTCGCTGGTACTGTAACACGAAAGAAATGGATTAAATTTTGAAATGCAATGAAAATATAGTAAATATAAAAATTCACAAGAAAGATTACTGCATTTTTATTCTATATTATTCCAGCATTCAATATAAGTTTTCTAAGAACTTAAAATATAATGGAATTAACTATTATTATAAATTCGAATATTATTTTCATATGTTATTATTCTGCTTCAAGAGCAAAGCCAGAAGTAATGTAAACTTCTTATCTTTCACATAAACTCTAAGAAGAGCTGATTTGATTGTGATGAAGATATATCGCCTACAAAGGCGAAATTTACATTATTTTGCGAGGATACGCAGGAGTTTGCATAACTGGATTCTCAAAACGCTATAGAAAAGCTCAAAAGCTATAGAAAGTCTCCCATTCAATAAAAATAGTTTAGCCGCTCTGGATGTATAGTGATAAACATAGGTTGGTTGGTCATCGAAAAGTGTTTCGACTCCATCAAAGGTTTGGTTGTATATGTGTGCCTTCCAAACTATCACATGGCTATAATATCGGTTTAACTTTGTGCACGGTGCATTTTGGTTAATGTTCTCGGTGATGAGAGAGTTAAATGACCAACTTTTATATCACCATACCATTTTTTCAAGAAAACATTAATGAAAACGCAGTGCAGCAGAAAGATTAGTCATTCGTTCACCAGTGAACAAATGTAAATGTAAACTGCAATCAAACTTCTGTTAGTGAACAGAAACATATGAATGATGGGAAGCGATTCTGTTTTAGTAGAAAGGTCTAAACATTTTTTATTGAAAATAATGAGTGCACACAGCTTTTAATTACCAGAGGATATAAATCGCACATAAAGTTTTAATGATTATGCATATTATATTTAATTTCAAAATTAATAAAACGGATTAAGGCTAAAACAGATATTTTATATTAAAAGAGTTAAACATTCCTTTATACTTTTTAATGAATTTATATTAATAGTGACGTAGCAACACTAGAGCAATTCTCTTGAATTTAAACTGCAGACAAATTTAAAAAAAAAAAAGTGCTTAGAATGTGTTATTCAAATTTAAACTGAAAATTATTTATGTTATGTAAAATCAGTTAAACGACATATTCCCAACGGATGCTTTCGTACATTGGTGGGAAGTGGAAATGGTTTAAAGCAATAATAGTTCCTATCAAAGTTATTTCCTTTGAAATGGTGAAAATTTGAAAATTTTAGAACTTATTATTAAGAAACACAAAAAAAGTCTCGGTTTTGTCTAATCCAACGTGCATCCTCGTAATATCATTTTAGACTCTCACTGAAGGTAGCTATTGTACAATATTTATCATTACTTAAATTATAAGGATGAAATGAAATGTTTATATGAATTGTCAACTGAAGCTGCAGTTGATGATAAATCGGTAAATGAAGATGGTAAAGAAGAAATTTTTAATAATTATGAATGATAGATAACTTCAATTGATCAATCAATAGAATAACAATTACATTCGTGCGGCAAATGAAGTATTATGCAGTCCGATAACCTTTATGTTGGAAAAGATAGTTCCATTTAGTGGGACAAAGGAAAAAAAATCAATAAAACATGAGAATGTTTATACAGTACCCGCAGCTTATTAAACGCACTGGTTATTAAACGCAATGGTTAATAAAATCAGATACTAAATACTTTCAAATATCTGGGAATCGAAACGAATACATACTAATCAATAATAGAAAAACCGCCGCTTATTATACTCATTGAAAAAAAAAAAAAAAAAAAAAAAAAAAAAAAAAAAAAAAAAAAAAAAAAAAAAAAAAACAAAAAAAAAAAAAAAAAAAAAAAAAAAAAAAAAAAAAAAAAAAAAAAAAAAAAAAAAAAAAAAACCTGATTCTTCATTGCTTGAATAGCTCATCTGTATCTTTCAAAGCTTTTCGTAGTTTATGAATGAATTCATTTAGTGGAATGAATATATTCATTTAACGGACTGGGGATTGTGGATTTATCTCTTGAGATATATAGTATTTCAACAAAACGTGTTTGACAGAAAATTTCCTACTCTCTAGTCCCTGTACCCGTGAGACACTCTTTTCAGAGTTCTTTGTCCGTTCTGAACTTCAGAGGGGCAGGATTACTTTACCTTAAGACACTCTTATACGGTTATTACCTTAAGACACTCTTATACGGTTATAAGTACGGGTTGCCAAACTTTTTCATGTGTCAGGCCAGTTCTAAATGATCTTCCTTCAGTTCCTTATCATCCGACATATTATCGAAATTGAATGAGTATGGGTTTATAATCACTGTTTCTGAAGTTTTTAGTTCTCCTTTAGAATACTCATCAAACTACTTTGATAATATTTCCAAATGACCCACAATACTTCATATACACTTATTATTATCAACCATTTTTTTGAGGGATGGAAAATTAGAAAGACTTCTAACTTGTAGACACCAAAATCGTAAATTTTTATTTAAACCATTTGTCTCCTCGCAGCATATCAATACGTTTATATTTCTCCTTTGGCTAGATAATTTCAGATCATTGCACACACACAAGCTAGAATTTGATTGAATTCTTGTGATTCTATTTCTCCAACCAGACCATAATCTTGTTCCTTTAGAAAAGCTTTGACTTCTTCTCACAGTTTAAAAAAGCCAGTTAAAGCATTCTAACGCAACAGGCAGTGAACTTCCATACGGAAAACCAAAACCGAATGTTCACATCCTAATTCTTCACAAAATAACTTAAAGAAGAGCGATAGTTTAAAATGCGATCCCTAATCCAGTTGATGGTCTTGACTTAAGTACCAAGAACTTTTTTCATCTTTGCAGGCAATGTTTTTGATGCCAAAAAATGTTAAGAAAACAATGGATACATTGTTAAGTGCGGAATCTCATGTTTTATCAGTGCAAAAATTCTTGGTTTATTTCCTAACATAGCAAGGGCACCATCAGTATAAACAGAACTAATAATTTGGATACCAAAGTTATACTTTGCAAAGAAGCCCTCAATATACCAGAAGACGTCTCTTTCTTTAATGGTTGTTTTCATGTCTTCATAGAACAGGAGTTCTTCCGTTATGGGTACATTTCTTAATTGTACTTATCAAAGCTTTACATAGTTCATTCATTTAATGTATTTTAGACCGTGCCTTTATCATGCAGGTTTGCCGTACTTGAACGGGTTTGACAGAAAAATTTCTACCCTTCAGTCCCTGTACTTGTGAAACACTGTTTTCTGAGTTCTTTGTCCACACTGGACTTCACAGGGGCAGAATTTCCTTATCTGAAGGTTAACAAAAAAGATAATAGAGACTCTAAATGAGTGAGGGATCCTTCCGAATACCAGCTCTTAGGAGGTGGAAATGTAACTTCTGTATTCTGTCTTTTAAGGTGTCCACCTTCAAAATATCCCATTTGGGATAAATACATTATGTTCACACAGAGTTATAAAAAAACTAATGGAAAGCTTACATTAAGAGTTTTTAAATGGAATGCAAGTGGCAACTGTAGATTGAAAAAGAAAGCAAAGAAAGCATTTGGCATGCTTGTTATCATAAAGAGGCAGATTGGTTAAACTGACAAGGATTAATTTTTCTGCTGGCTAGAAACCGAAATTTTAAAAAGTCGAATAAATCATTTGAAGAAGTATTTTTAAAATTTGTCTTATATTTAACTTGCAATATGTCGAAATGCCAAGCAAAAGGATTTAAGCCTCAGCGAAAAGGATAAACTGTTAAAAGATTTTTAATATTCTCTGTAATTGCAAGGGGAGAAATCTACAATCAAACTGCGTGTTTCCTAAACAGCAACAAGGAATTATAATTAACGAAGAACTAATGAAAAATGAAAATGCCTGAATGAAGTTCAAAAAAGAGAAAATCGAGAGACATTGAAATTGATTTTCTAGAATCATTTAAAGTTAGAAAGCTAAAAAATATTTTTATTTCTATAGACATTTTCACTAATTTGCTAGGAAAGAATTTTATATCAACTAACATATGGCTCAGAAATCCTAGAAAGTAAAATCTAACATTGTCCACTAGAAATTGATGGTAAGAAGGAAAAAGTGGAGCATCATGCAACTGATAACTGGATATAAGACGTTTTATTTGGGCTGCTAAATGAATACAAGGCACATGAAATTTATAATACACATGAAATTGGTCTGCATTTACAGAACAGTATCAGGAATCATATTAATATTTAAAATAGCAGTTGGCTTAAGAAACTCAGGTATAATTTGCTGTGTTACTAACGCGCAATATAGATTCAACAATTAAGAATACAACACTTGTAATTGACAAAAGCAGAAAACCTAGATACTTGAAAGGAATCAAGAATTTATTTATCATAGCAAGACTTTATGGATGACAAATAGTATTTTTACTGATTTTCTTTTTAAATAGGGCAGCGAACTGGAAAACAAAAACAGTTTTACCGAATTGGATAACTGTACAGAATACCCACATGTGCTTTCATTCTGAAACACATTAGTGTTTCTTAATGAAAATACAACGTCTAACATTCAGACTTTAATTTTAGGCTGTTATAAAAGCTTTCACGTGTTATTTCAAAAAGATATGCAGTAAATGATGAACATAATTGAATTCTGTGAAAATACAAACACTTCAAAGGGGATAAATAAGTCGATATCTCTGCTAGAGGCCACGCACATCATAGTCAGTGCAAGGGGGCAAAATCAGTTAAACCTGTTTTTAGAAATATGGCTTTTATGCAGAAGAAGCGTCAGAGGAACTGCAAACTATAGCTATATTGTTTAAAGCATCAGTCAGGGAAGTTATAAACAGTGGCGTAGGTAAGGTGGGACAAGGGGGGACATCTGTCCCCAGGCACAGCATCCATGGGTTGCCAAATTGATGTGACAAAATTTTAGAATGAAATGTTTTTCATTCTTGGCATACAGAAAGGGGTGCAAAATCTTCAGTTGTTTCCGGGAGCTGGAAACCCTAGCTACGGCTCATATAAGATTATAAATTATAAATATTCATTTTTAGAATATGTAGCGTCAATTCACGATAACATTAACACAGCATATACTGACGATGAAAGTAAGTTCTTTTAGCACTTTTAGAAAGTAGTAGAGCAAAATTGATGACATGCCATCATCAATGAAATCTAGAAAAGCACTGCCAATTTTAAGAAAATTCTTGAACTAAAACAAGCTGACAACGAAAAAAGCTGTCAGCATTCTTACTAAATTGAGAATGCTATTGAAAAACTGCTTTTCAACAATAGTACAGAAATACAGATAGAATAATTGTTTGTTAAGAAATAAAAGTTCATGCAGAACACAATTAAGAAATTTTTTTATACAAAATTTAAAAATCGCACAAATAGTTTAATTTTATTATTAATTTTTAATTTTTAGTTTTGGTTTAATTAATAAATACTTTGTTAATCAATAATTTGTTATAATAAATGATAAATAATTTGTTATCAGGGTGGTCATAAAGAAACTTTGACAACGTCTGCACTTCTAGCGTCCGTTCCGGTTAACCGATCGGAACGAGAATGCAAATATAGTTGGGGCGCTCACGGTTACGGTTATGGTTACAGAAACTCGAAAATATATGAAGGCAACACCAACTTTTTCCGGTCGCAAAATATTTAGCGCATGTGAAAATCCTAAAAAGCGTTGGAACGGTATCGATATGTACAAAAACGGACATGTTATGCATACACAAAAATAGTTCTGAAAACCGGCCAACGAAACACGATCTGGGCGTACGCAGAAAATTTGCATATGCCAGAGGCAAGACACCGATCATTGAATGATAGAGACAAGATACCGATCATTGAATGATAGAGACAAGATACCGACCACCGTCGTTGGAAATTATTTTGGCGATACACACGCAAGGCTTCCACAACGTTCATCCTATTTTAATGATGCAGTTTTATCAAGTCACCACGAACTTTACCAAGAAGAACCATTTCGTCGCCATATCATTTCGTTCCCGAATGACGACTTCGCATACTCGCCTGGCATTCTATCGGTTTCCTATGCTGAATAACTGGGCATCGGTGTTCTGTGATTGGTATCTTGCCTTTGCCATATGCAAATTTTCTGCGTGCGCTCAGACCGTGTTTCGTTGGCCGGTTTTCAGAACTCTTTTTGCATGCATAACATATCCGTTTTTGTACATATCGGTACCGTTCCAATGCTTGTTAGGGTTTTCGCATGCGCTGAATATTTTGCGATCGGAAAAAAGTTGGTGTTGCCATCGGACATTTTAGAGTTCCTGTAACTATAACCGTAACCTTGAGCGCCCCTGTGCTGCCATTCCCAGAAGCTCGAGCTCATGCCTCCGAATAACTATATCTGCAACCTCATCTCGATCGGTTAACCTGAACGGACGCTAGAAGTGCAGATGTTGGCAAAGTTTCTGTATGACCACCCTGTATATTATTTTATTTGAAAAATGTAAGACTGTTATCATGATTTGTAACATTAAAATTACCGCCTATTAAACTCAGCAACTTAATGAACTCAAATACTTTTAGAACAGAAGTGATTTTAATAAGCGGCAGATATTGTATATATTATAATTATGAAACGACCAGTAAATGCTAGGGAGACCAGAAATGCATGCTCTCCTACAGATTTGTCGCAACTTCTTACTGATTGAACATACTAATATTTACACTAAGACAATATTTCAGCAAGAGTGAGAAGTGCGCACATCGAAGGCATCGAAATAAAAGCATTCATTGTTTTTCTCTATTTTACTGGTTACGATTACGCAACTTAAAAATTTTTTAAACGTACAAGAGATACTGTTCTTAAAAACAGTGCACTACACACCTGTTCGATAGCTGGTAGATTTTCTCGGACCTCCGCTGCAACTGTGATCTTAAATGGATAAGTTCCCATAAGAAGTGAGAATCTCCCTCTTTCACGCAGCCCGCCCTTACTTGTACTTCAGTTACGGGTATGAGCACCTGGTATCGGATGATCTCCACTTCAGCGGCACCCGTCTTACTCGAGCCACCCTATAGGTAGGAAGAAAGAAAAATTGAATTAAATAATTTGGCAAATTTATTTTTGAAAAACTTAAGATCGAGTTTGGATTGTCGAGTTTGAAAAGTGTTATGGCATTGGCACTTGCAATATTCTGGTTGCAGTAAAAATAAATTACAGTTGAATGCGAACTTAACGAATCACCTGGGACCAGCGATGTAATTCGTTAAATGGAGAATGTAACGGATTAAATTTCGGATAATATAATTTAACGGACTAGTTAATAAATAAATATAAATTAACGGACCAACGATATAATCCGTTAAATTTCCATTTAACGAATTACATCGGATGATATTAAAATAAACACACAAATATGCATTGAAAGACAGAAATTATGTATTCATACTAACCAGAAGATCTAAAGAACTAAGATGAATAAGTAAAATCTACATTATAACACAGAAAGTGTAATTACAGAACTCTAAAAATCAATTTTATGCAATAAAATAATCTTCAGGGATAAAATAATGTTAAAGTCTGTTCTTTTCAGATTCCTTCACAAGTTTTTGGAAATTGTTAAATATTTGACCTCTTATTTCCTATTTCATTAAGCTTTTTCTTTTATTTGAAACTCAGGATCTCAATTAGATGATTTGTTTTCATCTCTTCCCTATATCTAATAAATATAGAGACGACACAATTTACTGCATACTTCAATATCAGTGCACAAGGGTTCATAAGTAAACGCAGATATCTGACATGAAAACTGGTAGATTTGTCAAACTTCTGGACAATGCTTTCTTCCCTATTTTTTACAAAAGCCATCTTCAAACTTTTTTTTTATCGCGTATCACAAGACGAAAATAGTTTCAAGTTGTACTCCATACAACGTCGTTGCTATTTGTTTTACTAGTAGAATGTAATATAGTATAGTCCGTATATAGCCAATGCCGGTTTTAAAGCCAGTGAATTTATGATGTTGAGCTTCCCAGACGCTAGTGAAATCAAACGCAGCGACCGATGAGAGAACATTGCACTCACGTGATACACGATCATACACTCGCAAATGATCGTGAGCTTACTTCTTCGGCGTACCCCCAAGTATCACTTTGTGAATTAAATAGTTTTGGAGACCAGTTTGGAGACCACTGATCTAGAGCAGTGATCTCCAGACTTTTTCGATCGCGCATTCCTAAGACGAAAATAATCTTAAGTTGTACTCCATATGACATAGTATAAAATTACATAATATAATATAGTATAATACAATACACTACAACACAATATAATATAAAGTAACATAATGTAATATAATATAATATAATATAAAGTAACATAATATAATGTAATGTAATATAATATAGTGTAATATTCATGCGCATTAAAGCCGATGCAGTTATGATGTTAAGTTCTCCAGACACACTTGAAAACAAACACAGCGACCGATGAGAGAACATCGATGTCACGTGATACACAATCATACACTCGCAAGTGATCGTCAGACTACTTCTTTGATGTACCCCAAGTATCATTTCGCATACTATACTTTGGAGACCACTGCCCTACAACACTATGCAGACCAAATTCGATTGTAACAAAAGCCTAACATTTTATAATCAGGTACTGACGGTATTTGATGTCATTTCTTATCTGTAGTGTGAATCTATTTCTTATCTGTAGTGTGTATCTGTAGTATCTGTGTGTCCGATGAAACTTATTCCTTCAAAACTTTTCAATTAAAATCTTTGAATTTTAGTTCGAGATTTCATTTTCAGATCTTTTATTCACCAGATTTGTGGGATTAATAAATTCTTACATTTCATTTTAAATAATCGATTAATTTCATATCTGAATGCTGATATTTACTTGTAGAATGAGGAAAAAAAGCAAAATTTTTATCCCTGAGCTCAGTGAAGATAATTCCTACTTATATATGAACAGGGCTCACAATTAATTTGAAGCTGATTATTAAACCAACTTAGTCTTTCAGGAATATTATTTAAAAATTAAATATTCAGTATGTTTGGACTGCTTTGACTATTCATTAATTCAGGATAAAACATTCGTTAAAATGAGAAGTTCTCGTTAACCTTTTATTTCCAATGTAGGAAAAATCATTAAATTAAGATAAAATTGTATCTGACACCGGAGTTAATTTGATATTCAACGTAATTCTAAAAACTGAAGAATACATCAAAATAATAAGGATGCAATTTTAATTCGCTGCAGTGAAATCACGATGATATGAAGGTCACTGAAATTTTTTAGATACAGAGAAATGGTACAAGTTAAACTTACCAAATCTTAGGAGTGTTCAAAGTACATCATCAATGTATTTTTGGAGAAGATTTTTCTAAAGATTAAATGTTTCAAGAGATCCATTTCTTGGATTCGATGGAAAATGGTTTTAAAGCCCTTATCAATCTTATCTTCGAAATGAAAATGTTTGAGATTAGAAAATAGACATAGGCCACACATAGCAAGATTAGAAAAATAAGGATCGATGTTTCATAACTTTATTTAGTTTAATAATTCTGTTTACCTTTTACCTCTTGTATATCTAATAAAGGTTGCTTATAATATACAGTGAAACCTCGTTACAACAATATTTTAGGGACCAAATAAATATATTGTTGTAGAGAGGCATATTGTTATATCGAGGGCCCACATATTTTGAGCATTTAATAAGAGTTTTTTTTATTATTATTAGTTAAGGTGCATAACATACTACTTTAAGTCTATATTTAGAAGAAATTAATTTGTAAAATACTAATAATAGTGGTTTAAATACTAAAAAAATAAATAAATAAGATAAATTCAGAAAATAAGCACAAATATTCACATACCTGAAACACTTTTTATTGAAAATAATCCAATCTTTTTGTTTGTTTATGATTTTTTAACTGTTAAGTTCACCAATCTGTAGCATTGAGTCTAGTGCACGAAAATGTTCTTCATTTGTCGACGGAAGGCTTGAAAAATCCGTAGAGAATTCACAGATTGAGAGCTTCCTGAGATGACAATAAGGACTGCGATGGACCTGTATTATCATCATCATCAATTCATCATCATCTTCATCATTGTTTCCTATCTCATCAGTAATTTCAGAGAGAATACTTCATCAGTAACTCCTGCGAAAACCATAAGATCATCATCTGCTGTTAAATAGTCTTCTATACTAATTCCAAACTTTTTACCGCTTGTTTCCTCAAGTTGGGATACGGATTTTTTGATGTGCAAAACACATTCTTGATCATCTGAGAGATCATTGTCTATGGAATTTTCCATCATTATCAGATTTCTTATCTTTCATAACACAAAGACCGGCCTTTTTCCAGCATTCCGAATGGTTTTTTTGTTACTTCCCCCAACTTCCAGCAATATTGTCACACGCTTCCTGACATTTACAGCTTTGAAAGGGTCTTCTACTTTATTTTCAAAGTTTTACAAGTATGGAGTCCACCAACCGTTTTCTGTAATCCACATATTAAAATAAATGGCTGCGAGCACCGCGTTCTCGTAAAGGTAGATAACATTTGAAACTCCACGGTGAATGATAATTTACGCAGCAGACCTCTTTCATCTACCGCTCAATAGCACTCTGTACAATTTCAATGCCCCATTTCGGCATAAGCATTCTATTGCAAAACTTGCTTATTTCGATCTTCTTTATCTGCCTTCGCTTTTTTCCCAGTTATTTTTTAATCCCCCACCCCGTATACTGTACAAAAGTGTTCAATTGGAACATTAAAAGAGTTTTTCAAATTTAAAATTTAGACATTTACAACTTAATAAATGCTTTAAAATGTACTTTAAAATGAATGACTGATTAATTTTTATGGCTTAAAACACGTTATTAGAAACTGGTTGTAAATTACGGAATGTGAAATAGTGCTTTTAGGGTTATTTTAAAATAAAATTAACTTCAAGGACATGTTTCTGTCGAAAATGTAGAGAATACTTTTTGTGTTTAAAGTAAGTATCCTCTCATCAAGGTTATTGAAGTATTAGTTATATGACATATTCCCTGAAATTTCAATATATAGAAATTTAGCAAAATTTAGTAGAATTTTCTTAGATTTTTCAGTTTATTATTTTATTATCAAGTCAGTTTATTAGGCTAAGGAAAAACCTAGATCTGTCATTTAGAAAATCTTAAAATTCTTACCATTAGTTTTTTCTTTTGCCTTATTCGTTCTTTACAAAGAAAAACAACAGCTGCTTTGAAGACGAAACACATTGCATGCAATTCTAAGCCTTTTTTGATTTTACCTAGGAATTCAGAAATATTCAGCCATTCGACTCCTCCATAGTACAACAGTTCTCCGGGACTCAAATCTACGTGCTGCAATGATGAAATTTAGAGTTACTAAGATAATAACTAATGCTAATTTCATACACAATATTGAAAAACTATGATAGCCATGTCATGGAAATATATTATTATGCACTCCTCTGCACTAAGCATTCCAATGCTACTCCATAAGAACAAAAAATATAAAATTCGCTAATTTAGTGCTAAATAACAAGAAAATTTCCATTGAAGAATTATACGTTTATAATCTAAACGGACAGTTCATAAAAATATATAAGAAAATTCGTGAACCTTTTATTCAAAAAACCATACTGATGATGAAATTGCAGCGCTGAGATTTTTTCTAGCTTTCTCACCGACACGGAGTTTCGCTAAGAAAGTTAAAATTTCTCGAAACTGCCATGGAAGAGAAATATATTGTTTTTTTATTTTAACGCCAAAATGCCCCTGTTGATTTAGACCTGGATTTATGTACTTTTAATATAATTATAATGTCTTGATTTCTTACGATATATTCAACATGCGCATACACTGACAAGGCAAAACATGATGACCATTCCAACATTTTTCAATGAACTCGTCTGGAGGACGTGGAGGGCACGTGACTATTAACTGCTGCTATAGGGGATAAGGAATCATTCTTGCACTTACTTTTGCGAGTGATGGAAAGCTGATCATCTAAACGAATTTGATAGGGGGGTAGATTGTAATGGCTCGAAGACTCGAAACGAGATCTCCGAAACTGCACGACTGGTAGGTTGGTCACGATCTGTGGTTATTAGTATTTATGAAAAGTGGATAAATGAGGGTGAAACCAGCAGTAGACCCCAAGGTGTTGGACGCCCACGCGACATCGAAGGAAAATGACATCGAAGACTTTCCCCGTTGGTACAGTAAAATAGGAACCAGACAGTGGCTCAGTTGACAGCACAGTACAGTGCAAGTCCAAGCGTATGTGTTTCGGATCACACAATTCAGCGGACACTGTTGGGTATGGGACTGAGCAGATGACGTCTCACTCGTGTGCTTCTGTTGACAAAGCGTCATTGTTACCTACGCCTAGAGTAAGCCCGAGAATATCCAGACTAGACCATGGATATGTGGAAGACAGTTGCTTGCTCCGATGAATCACGAATTCTAATTCATCACGCTGATGGTCGTATGAGGGTGTAGAGTCATCGGGTTATTTTGTAGCAAGAGACATGAGAAATGAACAACGCCCTGGCCGGAACTCGAGCATAGACCTCTCGAATACGTGTCGAGTGTGATACTGTTATACTACGAAGACATGTTGGAAGGGGGAGGAGAAAATATTTTATATACTCCTTTCTTCTTAAAGGGCGACTGGAGATTAGGGAACACAGTCGCCAAATCCTGGTGGTGACGAATTATTGTCCACCATCTTTTAGTTCGGACGCCACTGTAGAGTCATTAGGTTATTTTGAAGCAGAAGTCATGAAAAATGAGCAATGCCCTCGCCGGGATTCGGAACTAGACTTCTCAAATACGCGCCGATTGTGGTACTGTTATACCACGAATGCATTAAAGCTGCGGATTATATGAACATAACTGCGGGTCAGTTGCACCCTTACATGGCGTCTGTCTTCCCAACTGGAAGTGAAATCTTCGAGCAGGACTACGCCCCATGTCACAAGGCTCAAATTGTGTTTAGAGTGGTTCGAGGAACATAAGGATGAATTCTAATTAATGTCCTGGCTACCTAACTCGCCGGATCAACCCGATAGATCACATTTGGGATGTCATGGAGCGGCAGCTCAGAGCTCAGATACTACCATGTCGGGATACCTCGACTTTGCGTGATCGCTGTTTAGACATTTGGGTACAACCTATCTCCAGTCATATACCAAGAACTTGTGGCATTCATGCCAAGGCGAGTTGCAGCTGTTTTGAAGGCCAAAGGTCGTGCAACATTAATAGGTGGTCATAATGTTTTGGCTCTTCAGCCTATATATATATATATATATATATATTCTTAACATGGGAAAATTTTATTCTAAGCCGTATGTACAAAGTGCGCCCATAAAGTAACCGGAAAGTTTCTTATAAATAAGAAAATATTACTAACTTTCAAATAAATTTATCTTCTTTAAAATAATCACCACAATAGTCTATAAAATTTTTACTATGTTTCTTCAGGTCATCGAAAATCATTTATAATCATTGAAACTAACCGTTCGCAAAAACACACGTTACATTTGATTTAGTATTCCAGACGTTTTCAACATCTGTCAACTTTTACCAAAGAACGAATTTTCTCCACATTTTTCTCATTTTTTAAGGTTGAAGGGCGTCCTATCTCTGGTTCATCTTCAACACTTTCGCGCCCACATTTAAAGCGGCTGTACTACTCACTTACTTGTCCTCTGGATAACGATGCAACATTATATACTATTCGAATCACCTCTAACGTTTCGGTAGCAGATTTACCTAATTTTTAACAAATTTTAAAGTTATAACGTCGTAGGGTTTCCCTTAGTTCAATTAACCCATCAATTTTCTGTTATCTTTCCTGAACTCCACAATTTCCCCTCACATTTCCTCGGCAGGATGCTAATTTAAAGTTTAGTGAGTATTCAAACGGGTGAATCTTGGAGTTTATTCAAAGCGTGTTTTCGTTAGCCAGCGCACTTTACGTTTCTGACCTGTACCGTAAATTGTCGGTGTTATTGTAAAGTACGAAGTATGCGCCTTTCTGTTGATAGTTGAGAATAATAAAAAGGGTAATTTCCACGCATCTTCTGTGCTGGTATCATTTAACGCCTGTGCAAGAAGTCACCAGGTTCATTAGTAGGATCTAGTAGAGTTTATGTCGCCAAACAGAATAAGATCTTATAACGTTGTTCCATCTCAAAACACATTTTTTTTTGTACGACACCTTCTTAGTTAGTGATAATGACTCCGCTGTTTTGATATGCAAACCACAAACTAATCACTTTAAACTGGCTTTAACAAGAGTTGATATGCCACTCTTTCTACACATAGATTTATTTTTCCATTTTTTTTATTTTATAGTTTGGTCTTTCAATTTGTCCGGTTACTTTGTGGGCGCATCTTCTGTACGACCTTGTCGGTCAAATGGCTAGATGATACACGGAGTTTCCATACTCTTATAGAATATGGAATTGCATTGTTTCATACACCTTGGTAATTAAGAATTTATCATTCATCGATTTTGTGTCTATAATGAAACTAGTAAAAATTGTATGTAATGGCAGTTATTAAAGTAATGTATCGCATTTTCACCCCCTGTTTATTACATGTAATTTACAATATGACAACTAGAAGAAAAATAGCGCTTTTTGTGTGTTTGAACTTTAAAGTGAACTGGTTTCTATATGGATGCTGAAAGATTGAACGTTGCTTTTCAAACAATAATTTCCATTTATTATTGATGTGGGGGTGTTTTAAAATAAATTTGTAAAACAGGTCCTCACTTATCTCTTTATTTATTAAATAACACAGGACTTCCGAAAAATAAAAAAAAAGAAAATAATAGAGATGCAACTAATCTTAAATTTTCTCGAATACGAATCTTAAAAGTTTCCCCCCAAAATAGAAAAGAAGAAGCTTTTAATTATCATTAAAATTTTTTAATTAAAGAAAAGTTTTAATTCTTTATTTTATGAAAAACAAAGTTTATGATACAGTTTTTTTTTAAAAAAGTCCACTTTAATAGCAAAAAAAGAAACAATCAAATCTAGTGAACGAAGTGCATATCTCTTGTATCTTGAAGTTCATTTTATTAATACAACTTGAATAAATATTTGAATAATACAACTTGAATAACATTTCACAATTTTTACATTTCCGATGATCCTTTTAAATCAAAGCAAATGTAGGAGGGTAAGGATTGCTTCAACAGTTGGCGCTGATAAACGCTAAATATAGAGTCTTCAATTCTTGCCGTAAAATTGAGAGTGCAACAGGCAGGACTGCCTCGAAATAATATTGATGATCCGAGTCCAATAAATTCGCAAGAATAGCATTCTTATTTTTTTAAAATAATGTTTCTATTAAAAGGCAATAAAAGCCATCTTTCAAAAGTTTGAGTTAAAACGTTTACCTTTTTTTTAGACTGGGATTGAAATAATTCGAAAGGTGGAAAAAGCGCGAAGATCTGAGTTTTGGAAGTTTTTCAATATTTGTGGAACTTGAGGATCTGAATGTCTTTGCCTACCATAATTAGTAGTCCGTTCATCCAGAAGGCTAGTAACTTAAAATGAGCCTTCTTTTAAAAATAAATGTGCTGTTTAAGTTCAGTTAGAGCTCTATTTACTATATAATTTCATTTCAGATTCAATTGTGCAAGACATAACAATAATCAATACTCTGAGTTCCATTCAAAAGTTAAAAAACTTCTGCTCTAAAAAAATTTCTAAAAAAGAATAAAGACGGTACAGTATGCAAATTTTTATTTTTAAATCTACTTCTTAAAGCACTTTTCAACCGTTGAAGATTGTCTATCATTTATTCAAAATTTCCTTCAACGATCAATATGCATATTAATACGAATCTTCTCCAGCTCAAAACGCATTTCTTGAAAATATGTCGTCAGACTTGCTAGCTTGAAAGCACTCGAATTTTCAGCCGTTTAGAGATTATTATGGGCCATTACGCTTTTGAAGTTACAGAGACAGCGGAGTGAAAGAAGGAAAATAAAAAGCATGTAAGTTCCCTCACCTGCCTGGAGCTCTTGTAGTGCTGCCTGGATAAGTGATCGAAAATGGCGCCATATTCTTCGTGGATTCTCTGCATCTCGTTGATATGCTCCGCCACCCTTTCCATTCCCTTCAGAGCCTCTGAAACAAGTCATTACACCGGTGATCGAAATATTTCTTTACATAAAAATTCGCTCTCAAAATTCATCGACCTATAGCATATATTCCAACTGAGATTTTATCTTTTTACAAGTTTTCCATCTAAACTTTTAAAATTCAAGTGTAAATTATTGCTGAATGATTTCGTGTTAACTTAAGTTATTGTGTATACAGAAAGGTTTATATATAATAAAATTAAATATTGTAAATTATATTCGTGTGGTGTGAATGTTGTGAATTATATTATGTGGGGTGCAATTTCAGCATTTTTGTATCACATCACTTTTGCAAGAGTTAAACTCTTTTTACCATTTCCTTAAATTAGTCGTAAAGTTAAAAATAAAAAAATAAAATAATTTTCAGTTTAAAAGGAAAATATTTTGTTTTATATTTCAAGAACTGCCATTCTATAAAAACATATTAGAGGCCCGTTAATGATAAGCCGTTATTAATAAGTTAATTAAGTTATTAATAACTTGTAGATTACGTTCCCGCATATCAGTTTAAATTAAATTGTAGAAGGAAGAAAATCAATAGAAATATATATGAGATTACGGGCCATTATCCCCCGGTAACTAGGGTATCAGTAGCCGAATAGCATCTGGGCCATTGAGCGTCATTGCTGCCATCGGTATTCTGTGTATTCTGAAGGGAGGGCAGCCCGCGTAGTGCCATGGCCAACTACTCCTTGGCCATGGTAGTGCTGGAAGTTAGCAAATTAACGGAAAAACGGTCATTGCTCTAAGTCTCAAAACCCACCCCACCGTGGTTTCTATTCACTGTTGGCTGATTAGTTCAGGGGTGGGTCTCAAAAGAGAGCCTTACAAATTTGTTGATGTCTCCGGTTATATGGGACCCTGGGACTCAGCAGGAGTGAATACGACCATCTTAGGGTGGCTTTGGCTTTTTTTTCCAAGTCCCTGTTATGTCATTTAGTTGACGAGGCAGGTAGGAAACCCGTTCCCGCAGATTCAGCTTGCGAATGCCCGGCTATTTAAAAAATAAGGAAGAAACATATTTACATCGCGCAGTATTTCAGTACCCAAAAAATATTTAAAGTAATGAGTGATCGTTTTTGAGATTTCCTCGCAGAACGTAAGAGGAATTATACGAGCGACGGTTTGCATGAAGATTATGTCTTGGAAAGGTTTTCGAAATTAAATAATTTTTACTTCACACATAAAAGTAGCTTGGTTTCTTTATGAAATTCATTTATATCTCTACTGTATCTCCATAGTTGGCGTTGACTTGTATGTAGACTCACTGACTGAATGCTGTTTTCTTCCACTAGTTCAGTTAAAAGGTGATTTCGGTTAAATGCATTGCATTTATTATCACTTATTTGCTACTCCCCGACATTCAAGAATAAAGTATAAATACTCGAACAATCAACCTTACAAATAACTGAATTGAATACAAGCTCTAAGAAAGTATATTTAGCATTATTCATGCATAAATAAAAAATAATTAAAGAGATCTGAATGCAAGTTTCACATTTAATGATTCATATCATAAAAGTGATTGATTATATGATATTACCTAACAAAATCTGCAATAAACATATAAATGATTAAAAAATATATAGCGAAAAATTCATCATCTCAAATTAAATCAGCCTTCGGGAGAAACATAAGTTAACAGTAAATATTATAATGACATGTTTTATTATACAGGGTGATTCTAAATTGTTTTACAAATTAAGAAGAATGATAGTACTCATCCAGATGAGCAATAATTGCGATAGAATATAGGGTCGCATTCCACTCTGAGAGGCAGAAAAAAGGAATATAAGAATTCCAACCTGAACTTAAAACAGTGTTGAGAGAGCGAATGAACGAGACCAAAAGTTGAGGAATCAATTTAGTGAAAAACTCACAGAGAGTCCACAAAACGGATAAAACCGAAAACTTGGAGTTCGACTGTTAATTCGAGCTCAGACTTGGCAAGCAGATGGCAAGCACTCAAATACACATCTTTGGTTCGGAAGGTTTCAACCTCGCAACCGAGTGCAATAAGTTAATTACGTAATCAAGGGCTGAATATTATCAACTAACTCCAATTCAAGGTAGGTTTGATACTATCAAGGTAAAAGTTTTTCCCCCCATTCACCATTTTCTATCCTGTTCTCTTGGACTTACTGTGCTCATCCTAATTGAAGCTCCCTTCAATGGGACGCGAAGTTCTAACAGCCGGAACACAGCATGAACTTTTCATTCTAATCTCGGTATACAGCGGAAGTTGGAGTTAGTTGATAATATTCAGCCCTCAATTAGATAATTAACTTGTTGCAATCGTTCGCAAGGTTGAGACCTTGCGAACCAAAGATGTGCATTCGAGTGTTTGCCATCAAAGTCTAGGCTCGAATTAACACTCGAACGCCAAGTTTTCGGTTTTATCTGTGAGTGTTTCACTAAACTGATTGCGCAACTTTTGGCCTCGTTCATTCGCTCTCCCAACATTGTAAGTTCAGGTTGGAATTCTAATATTCCTCTTTTCTCTGCATTTCAGAGTGGAATGCGACCCTATCTTCTATGGTAATTATTACTCATCGGGATGAGTAGTATCACCCCTCTTAATTTGTAAAAGCAATTTAGAATCCCGATGTATATCAGTTAAAATACAGTGCATATCTATTATTCGAAATTTTCTCTAAAACAATTAATCGCGAAGAAAAAGATTTTCTGCTTACACAGTTGCTTTTGAGGTTATATCTTTTACAATTAAGAAAGTTAGTATTTATTAATGTTAAAACTTCGTTAGGTTTGAACTGCACATTTCATGTACATGAAGAGGAATAATTGGTACCTGAGAGGTGAAGATGCTCCTGAGAATTAGGGTCCGTGAGATGCTTGAGCTGCTGTAGGAGCAGCGGGTATTTCAGGATCCTTTGGATGGGCTTGATGAGGTAGGACTCCAGGGAGAAGGAGTGCTGGCCCTTAGGGTTGCGGGACTGCAAAAACTCCAGCAGCGCTGAGTTGCCCTCTCCTGCAGCTGGACACACATGTTCCTTGTTTCGTAAACCTGAAAGAAGAACATATAGAACGTCCACTTCAGATAAAGAATATTCTATTACAGAACGTTCTCACTGTCGTAACAGAAATAAGCAGGACAGAATACACTGAAATCAGAATGAGAAACGGCAATTAAATAAAATGGTCTTTATAACTTCATTTTGGAATCTGTATAGTAGTTAGGAAGAATACGTTATTTAGAACTATAAAAATAGCATAATGGAAAAATAAGTATACTTTAAAATACACTTGTACTAATTGCATCCAAAAAGATGGATGCATAAAGCTATTAAAAAGATAAAAACTAAACTGACTTGTTTATGAATAGAAGAAGATGTATATGAAATGAGAATATGAATCATCTGCCCCTCTCAAAGAATTTCAAAAAGGTATTACAGAAAAAATATAGTTGCTTATTTTCTTATTATCACAACTACAGTAATCATAATAAACTAATTTAAATCTGTAAATGGACGAAAAATATGACAGATATTCCAAATGAGGAGTAAAATTCACAATCACGTGTAAAACTAAAAATCTGATGCGAACGTCACATGACTACTTGTACGGCCTATTAAATTATACAGATTTTTTGCTGCATTTCATTTAAACTTATTTCCCTGAATTTCATTACAGATATATATTTCTCATTCAATCAATTCAGTTCTCATTTCGCGCAAGGCAAAAATACATAAAAATTCAAAACATTTTCATTAAAAATTGTAAAATACAGAAAAACATAAAACACCAAATATAATTAAAAAACAATTTTTACTATAAAAATTAGTTTCTACGCAAAAACAAGCAATTTGGCCAGGCGGCATGAAGAAAAAATTTTCGGTGCAGAAAATTGAATGTTAAATTTTGTTTACACTGGACAATAAGACACTGAAGTTGGTGCACCAACAGACTCAATTCACTATTCTGCTCAGTTTCAAAATGTAAACAAATGACGGCCTCGTTAGGCTTAGCGGTATATAAAAATTTAAATTTTTGATAATTCTACAACTATTGCATGCAGATTAACTAAAAGCATAAAAACCTTAACCGGAACATAAGAACAACATAATTCACTTACTTTTAAAGCACAAAATGCACAGTTTATCACCACATAAGACTAAAAAAAGTTTGGCTTGGCCGATTGCAGCCAAAAAGCACCTGCACAACTGCATGTTATAGCAGTCCCATATACAGAATTTCGTCGTTCTGAGGCTACTTGTTTTTGAATTATGCGAGATACGTACACTGCGAAAAAAAGGGACAGTTCTATAATCTCTCGTTCTACTGGGCCGATTGACGAAATTCAAATTTCGTTTTTCATGTTTCGAAAGCGCGACTTAGGATATATTTTTTTGTAATTTTTAGTGAGAAATTTAAAAGTTTATCTTGGCGCAAACTGAAACAAAAATGCTCCAAGATAAATTTTTTCGTGAATTCGGACATTCTTTTATTGATGGTATTGCCACACAGTCTAATGACCAATTTCAGACCGTTAGTGCTTCCGAGACAGAGGCGAGACTGGGCACTGAATTCGATAATCCTACATTCTAGTCTGCACTGTCACCCGAGTCTTCCAGAAAAGCGGCTTGGAATCAAAGTAACACTTGTCGTTAGTCACCTGGCTCATAGCCCAGTATCATGCAAACATCATCTAAGGTTTGTATAAACTCCGCTGATTTTCTGAGCTTAATATGCGACATCCAATTCACTCGAAGGAGAACGATACTATTCGCCATTTTTTCTACTATCACGATCCATTCAAGAAATTCGCCACTTGCTGTCGCTTATCACCATCATTTTGGCCTGGATGTATAGAGATCTATTGGTGTGATAAATCAACATCTCTGTTCAAGGATTTTATTTCTTTCTCCTTAAGATAGATGTTAAGTTCGACAAACTTTTCGATCAACGAACTAAAGACATAGCACTATCAAATTACAAGACTCAGTCCGAAGTCTCAAAATCAGAACGAAACTCATGATGGTCACACTTTGAAAACATTTATAGCTCTCTTATATAAGAGATAAGAGAGCTATAAATGGTTAATTAAAATTTTGATCAGTTGCACATCTTTGTTACACTTGTAAGGTATTTTCTCCATCCTTTCTGCATGCCTCCGTGGTGTAGATAGCACACTCGGCGCATATTTGAGAGGTCCGTGGTTCCATTCCCGGTGAGAGCATTGCTCATTTTTCATCTTTCCTTCTTCAGAATAACCTAATGACTCTAGAGTGACGCCCGAACTAAAAGGTTCCTCACTACCAGAATTTGGCGATTGAGTCCCCTAAAACACCAGTCGTCCTTTAAAAGGGGGAGTATATAAGGTATTTCTCCTGCCTTCTGAGCATGCCTTCGTGGTGTAGTGGTCAGCACGCTCGACGCGAATCCGAGAGATCCGAGGTTCGAGTCCCGGCGACAACATTGCTCATTTTTCACATATCCTGCTTCAAATTAACCTAATGACTCTACAAGGCATTTAATACTTTTTTGAGCAAAATTTTAATTTATTGTGAGAAAAAAAGCATGAAAGATTTTTAATTTACAAATTTATATGCTTTTAACTTCGAATTTCCCTGTCTATAAGAAACAGAGGACTAATAAGTGCATTGTTAATTCATAAAGTATTATATGATGTCTGTTAAATACACGTCCGTTGTTTACTGCACTGGTAGCATGCCTTCTCCGACACTGGCTCACTAGCATCCGAGTGGTAAAAGTCGCTGAACACTGGTGATTCCGACCTGGGTTGGATTCCAGGCGAACGGGCTGGCTGCATGGGTGTTTTCGTGGTTTTCTCCATGTGAAATGTGTATACTTCATGTAGTAAGTCCTCCACATAGGCATCTCTTCCCTTTGCGAGCTTTCCCGTAATGAAATAAACTAAACCAAAACAACCTTTTCGAAAACTTGTTCTATAGGTCTTCTCCCAAGCAATCCGATCTGCTAGAACGAGTTAAGTATATTCGTATTTGAATGTGTAAGGATGGTTACTAGACACTGCTATTATTTATCAACTTTAGTGATAAAAAATTGTGATGTTGAATTACAACATGTTAATTCAGTAACTTAGATATTCATGCTCATTCCGTTTTGTATTCTTCTATTGGAAACCGGACAAAATTACAAGTAGAGGTTGTTAGAGGTACAATATACAATAAAATAGGATGAAAAGGATGGGGAAAGCGTGGAAAAGAGCTAAAAGAGCGTGGAAAAGAGCTAAAAAATTATTTTTAGGTACTTTAATAGTTTCACGAGAAAAATAACTTTAGAACGTGTAATATTTTAAAATATTTATCAAGAATTAAAGAAACTTACATACACTAAGATTAAATATAAAGGAAATTTATTTCGTCAGCATCAATAGAACAGTAATTTTTAATTTAAGTCAGCGATAACTTACGTTTTATTTAGCAACGAAAAAATAATTAAAAAAATTTGTATGAAAATTGTAGCTTCTAAGTATTTTATCTTTTGTATACGGTATTACAAATTACAAGTTGTAATACCGTATACTATTATGTATTAGACACTTCTAATACAGCATATACATTTTTATATGTCTCATGTATTGATGAAAAAATTAATTTGGAAAATAAGAATACTATAATTAATATTAATAAAATGAGAAAAAAATAATTGAAAAGGTCTGTAAGACAAATATGTTGTAGTAGAATAAAACTAAATTGGAATCAACTGGATGAAAATAAGTCTTAAACTTTGTAGAGACATTAGTTTTTTTTCGAAGAAAGACATGTGAAATATAAGCAATGCCCTCGCTTGGACTCGAACCTCGGACTCTTGGATACGCGCCGGGTGTAGTGGCCATTACAAGGCCAAGGTATGCTAAGAAGGCGGGAGAAATACCTTTTACACCCCCCCCTTTTAAAAGGCGACTGGGGTTTTTAGGGGACTCATTCGCCAAATTCTGGTGGTGGAAAATCATCATCCACCACCTTTTTTAGTTCGGGAACCACTCTAAAGACATTAGGTTATTTAGAAGCAGAAGACATGAAAAATGAGCAATACCCTTCCCAGGACTCGAACCACGGACCTCTCGAATACGTGCCGAGCGTGCTGACACCACGAAGGCATGCTAAGAAGGCGGGAGAAATACCTTATAACTTCAACTAAAAATAAAGTTTAAAAGAATAATGTAACCATATTCAAATTACAAACTTAGTTGTGTTTTATCAAAGTTTACAAGAATAATGTAATTACTTTCAAATTACAAACTTTGATATTTTGATGAAACACAATTATTAACCTTCATAATTTGAGATGCCTAATTTTTTCAAAGAATTACAGTTTATTTACAGTTTATACAATTAGTATAAATTAAGATAAATATCCCTTACCTTTACATTTACTAGGATGTAGCACTTTCTGGGCTTTTGAATGACTAGCACAAAAGGAACTATACAGTTTGAACTGATCGGCATAGTACAGAAAAGAATTTCCTAGCGCGAATAAAACATTCTGCAAAGATAAAAATGAGTTATTAGTATTTATTCAACTCACATCGCCCTCAATATGTAATAAAATATATTTCAGAGTCTTCATTAGTTTTCAACACAAAAGATCAATGTAAATTAAGCGTTTGGCTGGATTCTTGTATCCATTTATACAATTATCCGTGTTTTATCGCGACTGAAACTAATTTTTACAAACTGCTGCAACAAACCGTTTATATATTAAAAATATGCGGCAAGTGACCATATTAACACAACAGTTTAAATCTGTCTTTGCACAGAATTTTAATGAATGAAAATAAGCAAGCAGAGATTAAGACTGTTGTTTTGCAACGCTTTCTTAGAAAAGCCTGACTTTCATTTTACTATCATTTATTGAAATTCTGCTTAATACTGTACAGTGTAGATAAACTATTTTTCTACACTTGTACCATCTCTTGAAGACTTGACTAAAAGGTCAGTAGGAATATGTATGTATGTATGTATGTATGTATGTATGTATGTAAAGCGACCTGTAAATGAACTAATGCGATGCATTTTAATGTTAAGTTCTTTAATATTAGTAATATTTTCTTAATTATTAATAAACAATTTGCGACACTTACATTATACAAATATTGCATTATACATAGCATTACATACATACAATATTATCTGTAGTTTAATGCAAATAAAATAAATTTTTACGGCTAAAGGTGAGCTACTATATAATTCGATTTCTTGCAATTTTATGCACATAAAATTTGTAGCATGCCCAATACATAAACATAGCGAGACACAGTTTTAGTTGTGTAGAATTAATATTTTGATTAAGAATATCCTTTTTTTTAACAAACTTTAAAGTTAATTTTGCCCGATCCATTAAACTCCAGTTCCAACCAGTTTAGTGTAAAATGTAATTTACCTTTCTTCTAGATGTTTAGAAATTAAAATGAACCTGTTTTACAACTAAATTTTTTATAAACTGTACATTAAAATCAACATCACTAACATACGCCAGTCATCATCACTAACATACGCTAATTATCATCAGTAACATACGCCAATCATCATCACTAACATACACCATTAATATCATCAAAATTTATGACTCTAAATTAAAATTCGAATTAGAAGACAAAAAAAGTGATTTTTCAATTAAGTTATAAAATGCATTATCTTTCTGAATAAGAGAAAACATGTACTATATTGCAAAAGAAGACAATGTTATAAAGGTAAACAGGAAATTCAAATTTCGAAATATTTTAAGATTTTGAAAAAAAAAAAAAGATAAGGATTATTGAAGATAAATCTGATATTCCTACTTTTCTTTTCATAAATAGCAGTCAATATTATAATTTTTTCAGTCAATTTTTAATTCTGAATAATTTAAGGGCCATAAATTATGCTCCTTAAATGATTCAGAAGCTTTCGTTAGGTGAAATGTCACAATTAAGAATATAGGATTTTCAAAGAGCGACTTCAAAGCTTTGAAACCCTCATCTTCTGCCGCATAAAAATAAAAGCGACAGATTAAAAATTTTTGAATTACCAAGACTGGCAGTAATATTAATTAACACAAGCAATCAAATTTCTGTTTCATACTTGCAGATCCAAGTTCTTATAATCTCAACAATGTCAGTGTTTTTCGCATATTTTCTTCACATAAATTATTCTCACATAAAGACAGCATCTTGGGATGGACTCGGCTTCCTATCCAAACAATTCGCAACCATCTTAAGTACTTACCTCCCCATCTGAACTTCATTGATAATAAAAATAGGACGATATTTTTAAATAATCTGGAACTGCAAAAGAGGGAAGTCAAGAGTTTGTAAGGAAAACACACTTTTCATGAAGTAAGAGCACTTAATTGAATGGTATTTCTCAAATATTTGCTCAGTCATGCTGAGGACCTCGTTCAACAAATATATTTAGGTTGCAGCTAGAATTTTCTACTTTGGTATTTCAATAAAAGAATTGTTTTTAAAGTATTTTTCGTTGTCCATAAAAATTCCAACAACCAAACAGAGTCACTCTCATTACCACTTCTTGTAAAGGATTGAATGTAACCAACATTATTGCGCAGGTTTTCTTAACTGTTTTTCTATTTGAGAAAGGTGGCTATAGGTTTTGTTAGATATTGATGTTTGATCCGCACTTCTTAATATTGCGTGTTCTTAAAATGAGATACAGAATTTTATGAAAATAGATTGATGGTGGAAAGGTTTTGTAATAATAAAATTTATTTTAAACTATCCTAAAAAATTATTTTAACTAATTATTACATATAATTATTAAAACAAATTATATATATATACCTACTAACTACTTTTTATATATATATAGATTATACATCTTCTATCTATCTATCTATATATATATATACTAATATATTATATATATTGTTACGGTTTTTGTATTAAATTAGCTATCGGTTGTGATGTCATTGGCCTGGCTTTTAAATTTCAAGAACCCTGGGAGTCAAATAGCCAAGTGGATACAGAGACTCCAGGAATATGACATCACTATCCGTCATCGGAAGAGATCATCTCACGGAGACGCCGACGGTCTTGTCCAGAAAGCTGCCGATATTGTTCCAGCGTCGAAGCGAAATACAAGCTGCTGAGTCCGGTGGCAAGACAAATTACAACGTCAACATAGGCTGATCGAGACCTGTGGAGTGACGATGAAGTCAGGAATGACCAGCTGGAAGAGCGTGACATTAAACCCATAATTAATTTAATGGAGTCATCAAACAGCAAACTTACCTGGCAGGACATTTCTTTCTATAGTCCTACAACAAAACAATATTGGGCACTCTGGGATTCACTCCATATTCGAAACGGTGTCTTGTACCGGAAATTCGAATCGGATGATGGAAAGACATTCCGATGGCAGCTGCTTCTCCCAAGATCCCGGATTCCGGATGTCCTTAAAGAACTACATAGCAGCCCTACAGAAGGTCACTTTGTAATAATGAAGACCTTGAAGAGAGTTCGTGAGCGCTTTTACTGAAATAATGCAAAGGGTGACATGCAAAAGTAGTGCCGATCTTGCGATGCCTGTGCAGTTCGGAAAGGACCCGAGGATACGCAGCCGTGGCAAGCTGCAACATTACAACGTAGGTGAGCCTTTTGAACGTATCGCCTTTGACATCTTGGGACCTCTGCCACGAAGTGCTGATGGCAACAAATACATCCCTGTTGTCAGTGATTACTTCACCCAAATAGCCTGAAACGTATTCTATTCCTGATCAAGAGACTGTCACAGTAGCAGAGTTGATGATACAACACTGGATTTCCAGGTTCGGAGTGCCTCTTCAGTTACATTCCGATCAGGGAAGGAATTTTACCTCGGATGTAATCAAAGAACTCTGCAAGTTACTCGGCATTGACAAAACCCAAACGATGCCTTTACAACCCCAGTCGGCCGGCATGGTAGAGAGGTTTAATCGAATCATGCTTAATAACCTCTCATTGGTGGTTTCCAGAAACCAACAGGACTGGGACAAGAAGTTACCACTGTATTTACTGGCTTACCGCAGTTCTGTCTACGAGACTAGCGGCTTTTCCCCATCTCAGATGCTTTTTAATCGCTATCTTCGTTTGCCTTGTGATCTTTTGTTTGGTCGCCCTCCGGATGTGTCTTCATCGCCTGAGGTATACATTTAAGATCTCCAGGCCCGGTTTGAAGTGATGCACAACTTTGCACGAAAGCGAGTCAACTTGGCGACGGAGAGAATGAACACTCGATACGACACCAGAGCTATTGGACATCCATTCAACGAAGGAGACAAGGTGTGGTTGTGGAATCCGACTCGAAGGAAAGGACTTTGTCCGAAACTACAGTCAGTCCTAAACAGGCTGAACAACGTCGTGGTTGGGATCCGTAAGTCATCGAACTCTAAACCTAAATCCGTCCATTACAACAGGTTAGCTCATTACTATGGCCATAGTACGTAGTGTATATAATTGTAAAAATAGTATAAGACAATGGTCCTTTTTGTTTCTAAATTTATATTTAGTATTTGATTAGTTTTAAGTTAGTTATTGCATGTTGTTTGTTATTGTAATATAATGTTTATTATTGCACTGATAACTTGGTTGTTAGTTTGGCTTCCTATCCAGGGATTGTACCGCCCGAGACGTGCAGTCCTTGGGAAGGGGGCAGTGTTACGGTTTTTATATTGAATTAGCTATTTTTAAATATAATTAATTAAAATTGTCTTATATTACCGTACAATGCAGCATGAGACTTATTTGAAGAAAAAGCTGCCCGAAAAAATTTAAAATACAGGACCATGCGCATTTAATAAATAGATATCTCGTAATTGTACGCTTTTGATTTTCGGGAAAAAATCGAGAATGTATCAGACTATGCTCGTGCTGATAAAAAGGTTTATAAAAGCCAGAGAATGAACATTTAAAAAGCGTATAAAAAGCGAGATCAAAACATCTCAATTCAGTTTTGTTTAGAAAACTGTTGTTGTTTACTGTAGCGAATTCGCGGTGAAATCGGATTAGCGTTATTAGCACTGTTGTATATATAATAATTTGTTTTCATGCCTTTCAGGCATATAATTCCATAACGTTTGAAAATAATCCTGGGAAGCAGCTTTAAAAAAAATTAAATAATCTTTTTCTGTTAATGGTCGCCTGTAAAATTTATAAATGACTCTTAACGAGTTTATTAAGCATAACTCTTCTGAGAATTTCACGCATACAGATTCCGAACATTTTGTTTCAACCGGTTACAGGAATAAAAAAATTATAGGTGGTATAATGTAAATAAGGCGAGTTCTTGTCGCCTGATTTATCCTCGTGTAAGAACGAAAGCACAATATTGCCTTACTCTAAATTCTAAGCATTTATGATGGAGGACACTTTTGAATTAATTAGATTTTATTTCTTCAGAAACCTCAGACTTGAAAAATTTTAATAAGTTCTCTACTTTATTTTATTTTAACAGAATAACTGGAAGTGTATACCTAGAAACAATATTAAAGGAAATAAAACACTTACTTCAGAACACCCTGTAGTTAAAAAAATTCAATGCACTAATTATAACTTTTAATTTTTTATTTATATTTATAGATAAATTTCTTATGGTCAGATCTCTCTCAGAAAGTTGACAAAATCTAAACGACAGACTATAAATATAAATAATGCTTATAAGATAACGGGTGTCGTTTGGTAAAAAGCTTAAAATAACAGCCTTTAAGTAGATGAATAAAATCATCCCTCAAGCTCGTGAAGGGCGCAGGACAACTTTTAAAAGAGAAGGAATACAACACTGACTGAAGATTACATAAAGGCGCATATGAATGAAGAAATCGAGGCCCAAATGTGATATGCATTAAGTTAAAAATTGCAAACTTTGCTATCTTAGAATTCAATAAAGCAAAATAGGTTCATAAGGAAAAAAAAAAAAAAAAGAATTTCATTCAAAGGAAATGTCTCAAACGATTCTGAAGAGAATATATACAAAGTATTTATTAGAATTCCTTTTATGATAAAAAGTTTTTATCTAAATGCATTAATTGTTTTTCTTCTATCAAGTTAGACTAAACTCTGAACCCGTTTTACGAATTTTGAAGCATTTCAGTCTCTGCCTGGCCACGATAAATTTGAAAACTACTATTTCTTTCCAATCTGAGGTCTGGTAATTTCTATGGCTGTTAAAAAATGTAGCTCAGAATTTTCACATTTAATTTTCGCTTGTCTTACTTTTGACGACTCTAGATTGTGCCTTCAGAACCATTATCAAAATAAATAGGATTTGGCCAATGGACATATCTATTTTTGGGAAGTTTAGACTGGTATTTTCTGTTTTCGTTTGTTTAGTTAATGCATTTAATGTTTACTTAACTTTTCCTATTATTTATTCGTTGTTTTATTTTCAAATTTTGAAAGCTTCGTATAGTGAATTTGTGGGGCAAGGAGAGTTAGTTTGGGTTGAAGTTAAAAAAAAAGGAACACAGGAAAGTATTTTTATTATAGAAGCTTCTAAAGTGAATATAATTCTTAGGCTACTATGGTTTTTGATTTTGAGGTTATAAGGTATTTCTCCCGATTTCCAAGCTTGCCTTCGTGGTGTAGTGGTGAGCACACTGAGCCGATATTGCAGAAGTCCGTGGTTCGATTCCCGTCGAATGGGGTTGTTAATTTTTCATCTTGCCTGCTTCCAAAAATCCTAATGTCTCTACAAGGTAACATTGAAACTTTTCCAGCGAATTCCATGTTTGTATATGCGATAATATGCTCTTTTTTACCTATAAGAATGACAATGCGCTCACCATCGAGAAAACGCAAGATCACGTGACCACTTCTCGGAGAAACTCGAAAGATGAGTAACGATGGGGGGAGGGGGAAGGAAACACTGAATGATTATTATGATGATATTCCATTTCTTATGACGCCATTAGCCAACTTTCTCTTCTTATACCGTTTTACTTTTATGTACCATCTTTATGTTAATTACGTTTGCTACGTTCGTGTGTTTTCGTAATTAAATTACTAAATATTATTAGTGTCGCATTCAATAAGACTGTTACTCTAGTTCTAAAGTACAACCAAATTCCACATATATTTTGAAGTATGCTGTGATAATCTACGTACATATTAACATTAGATTTTATAATTTGTTTCTTAAGAAATCATTAACGCAAACGATCATAACGAAAACAAAAATCACAACGCAGTCAAAACGAAACAAAATGACAAATGACAAAAATAGACATATATCCATCAAAAATTAAGATAATAATTTATTTTGTGAACTGTTTCTATGTTTAAATTATAATAATTGCACATTTTGTCAATCAGTCATATATTTTTTAAAAACATAATTTATTTTTATGTTTTAATAGATTGCAACAATGAAAAATTTGCTACAAGATTTAAATATAGCCTTTCTGTTGGCACTACAGAACCGAAATGGAAGAAAAAGGAAAACAACAATGCTAATATCCTGAAGGATATAACAATTATAATGGAAAAGATAGTTAAAAAGAAGCGAAGGTGAGTATCAGATTCGAAAATCTGTTTTTGTTGGCACAGTTGCAACGAAAGAATAATGCTTCACGATAAACCAGAATTGAGGATTGGATGACATTTTGAGGACACTATAATCATAGATTCTTACCTTGAATTGGGCGGGGTGATCAAACCTATGGAAGTCGGCTTCGGAGGCTATTGCTTCTTCCAGACTCTGTAGGAACACTCGCTGAAACTGGACGATCTCTTGGATGTTACCAAACAGCGCATTTACTTCCGAATTCGAAAGGAACGTTTCTTTTTTCATAGGTTCCAGATAGTGTTCCAACAAGCTGTTCAGATGCTGTAGGATCCGAAATAATTTCGCATTATTTCATATAAATGCTAAGATTTAGTACTTAGATCAAGACATAGTGCATGAAATACTGACTTTTAAAATAGAATAATTAAGTGCTAAATTTAAATTAAAAATATTACTCTTGGGTTATTAAGAATTTTGAAAACATTAAATGTTTCTTCGTTTGACAGTTTTTTTACGTTAAAAAATGTAAAGGTGTTGGTGTTGGTGTATTTAATTATGGCAAAGCACACGAGGGCTATCTGCCTAAGGGGAGGTATGCCTTTCGTGGAGGACTTTTGAAGGGAAACTGGCTCGTATACACGTTACACATGGGGGAAAAAAATGTAAAGGAGAAATAAATGAGATTATATAAAAATACGTGAGAATTTTTCTGAATGCAAAGTGGTCTAGAGAAATAGTACTTTAAAATTAAAATAATAAAAATGTTTCTGCATTAATTTTTAAAATTGAGAAGTACGATGTTAAGAAAGTGTGTACAGAGTATAGCAAAATTTGTAACTTGAAATGTTTTTATTCCAACTTCTCTCTTTGTTTAAAAAAAATGATAGCAGTTAATAAAACTTACATCTAGCTGATACCTTAGATTACGTATTATATTTTTGTGCTTTTTATTCACAAAGAGAGCTTAACGATCAAGGCTTATATTATTCGCGAACATATTTTCATCTCAAACTTTTATTATGCCCTTCGTTATTATAGTTAAATTTTTGTAGCATTTACTACAATTTAATTCATCTTTCTTCACTACTAACAAGATTTGACTATATATTTAATTTATGTTTTGAAACTGAACTTTTTAATTATGTTTTTGACCATCAAGACTGCTATGGTATAAAAGAAAAAGTTCGAAATAGTAGAATAGTAGTAATGCAGTTACACAGATTTGGAAACCATGACAGATAATCTTTTGAATTAGTCAAATCATAAAAGACAATTTGTTTGAAATTACCCCCCATGCGCTACAAAGAACTTTTCATATTCTAACACCAACAGTGAAATGTGACTAACTTAAAGGTCAGCATTTAAGTTTAGCATAATTTAAGTATAAGTTTAGCATAACTTAAATATTTTATTATGAAATAAAAGATTGACGTAAATGTAGATTTCTATATAGGAATATGTTTTTGAATAGCCGTAATTATTGATATGAAATTTATTCATAGTTATAACTATTATCTTGCAATATATTTGGGAAATTTCTGTTCAGAAAGCTTATCTCATAAGTTTTAAGCCATTTATCTAATAAGTTTTAAGTATTTTTGAAAATGTTACAAAATTTGACGGTAGCTAATTCGAAATAGCTATGCTAACTTCGAATATCAGTTTTTGAAAAATCCACAAAAATTAATAAATCAAAACTTAGAAAGATATTGGCAAGCTATCACAGAAATCAGTCTAATATTTACAGTTTTCAGAATAGTTCTGATGACAGAAAAGAGAAAGGTATTTTATAAATAGGTTTAAAAAAACTCAGGATAAAAATGTTTTAAAACTCTTTTTGTTCTTTTTTAGCACCTTTTTAAATGAAAACACATTTCTGAATTTCAAATAAAAAAGTTTATAAAACATAAATTAAGAATAGCCTTTAATTTCAGATTCGCAAACAAATCGCGTCAATTAAAGTTTAATAAAATATTTCTATATGTTAAATTAAGAGAGTGTTTATAAAGTTTCCTATCTCACTGTTGTTGTCAGTGGGAGCCAAAAAAAGAGGTTACATATGAATTATGTTTAGTTATGAATGATTTTGAAGTTAAAATTAATTTAAACAAGTAAATTTCGTTTTTAATCAGCATCGCTATATAAAGTTGATTATATCAACTTTAAAATTCAATTGAAAAGTCATATCATTTAACTAAAATTGATTGAACAATTTTATTTTTGAAAATTTGATTATTTATAGGACATTGCAGTATGTAAATGTTTTTTAAAACTCGTGTCTCAAACACTAAATAATGAGTTAAAAAAGAAGGCATCATACATAGCTGCATTAATGAAACAAATTATAAAATTATAACAAGTTAATAAATTTTACTTCAATTTAAAGAAATAAAATTCAGAGAGAAATTGCGAATGGAATCGTAATTCATAAAATATATTATTTTTTTATTTTAATTATGCATGCTGTGCATAAAAGTTACTGAATTTAATTGTGATAAAAATATTATAGGTTTAAAATTGTAAAATACAAAAGCTATATAAAATTGTTGTTTACTAATTTAACTTTATACATTATACTAAGAATGCAATTTCGTGTATATTATTTTGCGTCTTAAAAATGGAGAAATGATAGTGCATGAAAGTTAAGTGAATTTAGATTGACGTGCTTATTTATATCTGTTTACTAACCTCAGCGTGGTGCGCACGTCCATCACAATGAATGCTCAATGTCTGAAAACAGTAAAATGATCTGTATGAACTTATGCCTCTATTTTTAATTGAGAGAGAAACAGATTTCATGCAACTTTCCACATCAAGAAAGTTATATATATCAAGGGAAAAAATCATGCCATTCGACATTCTTCACAAAACATGCAAAAAGTACACGCGCAAAAACTACGAAAAACATATTTTTTTTTAAATGTACTTTGTGAGAAACCGGGCAAAAAATCTTGAGAAAGTTGTTATAAAATTCTTAAATGTTCAAAAATATACTCCATTAAGATTCATCAAATTTCTGCTCTATTCTTTCAGTATTCTTTCTTATGCTGCGAATTATGTCCAAAACCTTTCAAGCCAAATCTAATTTTAAGATTCTTTTTTCTTAATTATTAAATCCTTTGCTCGCTGATTAAACTTGAATATTAAAATTTTATTTCTGACATCTTTCCAAAAGAATTTCATTCAATTTGTACTGATATAAGAATTAAAAAATAATTATTATCTGCTATATATATATATGAGTATAATAATCCGGGTAACGCATATACAAATAACGGCTTTTTTAAAGCTTACATTATTAATCGTCGTATCATATTATCTTGATGCAGAAACAGCAGGTAATATATTTCTCCCTTTCCAAATTAAAAAAGAAGGTACTGAGGCTAAAAATAGTTTTAAAATACTTTTATGAAAAATTAGTTTTTGATCTGAATTTTGTGCTATATGTCTACATATGTCTACATCAAAATTGACGTTAAGTTTGATTATTTGCCCCGAAACTTCTCTTTTATCTTTTATACAAACGATACAGTTACAAAATAACGAATAGCAAACAGGATTAAACTGACGATTAATCACAATATCTGAAACTAGAGTGTCCATGCACAGATAATAGTACTTATATAACAAGAGTGAGAAAACAATATTTATCCTAAAAGCATGTTCTACGACAATGCCTTAAACGTAAAGAAGTAAAATGAAAGAGCCACAAATATGCAAATAAAATAAGAAGATAGTGGAGAATATTCACAAATACTAAATAGATAAAAAAGTAGGAAAATAAAGAAAAATATGTGAAGAATCTTTCCAACTACAATATATATAGATAGATAGATATTAGTGCTACGTTCCATAGTAAGAGTTCTGAGTGTATCTTGCAGAGTTACCTTTTGCATAGCGTCCTCATACCACTCAACGACTTCACTCATGTGCTGCATTAAATGGGACAAGGAACCAGGTGTCAAAAAATACGCACATTACACAACACAGTCAGACAGCCATCAAAGAGGGACACCTACGTTGCTAGATTCCGCAACTCTTGCTAGCAATAAGAGCTTTGAATATCCTTCAGGGCAAAAATAATATCAAAATTTTTATTTGTTTTCCTTCCACGTATCAGTGTTAATAAATTTAATTACTTAACTCTTCCCTATATATATGAATGCTTAAAATGCACCTTGCAATGTTTCTTTGGGAAAAATTTATGGGTAACTATAACGGTTTGGAATCCAATTCGCAACGATGGTGTTCCCCTTAAAGCTTGTTACCACAGAACACAAAAAGCCAAGGCAGTAATAAAGCACAGAGAGTAAGTACACTGAGCATAAGTGATAACAGTTGCAAATGCAATGCAATAAAATGAGCTTAGAATGCTTGGTAGAGAAGCTTTTATGCTCTTTTAAAGTGAAAACACAAGTGCGAAAATATACTCTTTACATTGCATTTTAGAGCAGGAATGAAACATGAAATGTGTTCTGCATAATGAATAAAGCACTCATATAAAAAATAATTTCGTTTTGAGTCATAAAGTTCAGTCAAAAATCTGCCCTGACCTTAAAAATATTTCGCATATAATTGTCCATCCTTGCTTTTAGAAATATAAATTATTTTCAATGTACAGATATTGGTTGCCATGAAAGTGGGTTTAAATATTCATATTATTTAAAAAGTTTTCCTTTTTATATTATTATTCAGTTATGGAAAATATTCCGAATAAAATAATGAATGAAAGCCATCTAATTTCATTACGTTTTACAAAGAAGAATTGTTAAGGGTAATAACTAAAGAAATTTCTATTTGTCAATAGTCACCTTCGGAATCAAAAACTCGGAGTTTCATTGACTAATTTCAGCAGTTTGAATCTGTAATTGATTTGACAAAATATTGCGAAGATACTCAGCCTTTCATGGAATATGTCAGAAAACGTCATAGACAGAATGTTATTCATACATAAATAGAGGTTGTAATATAAACTAAACTTTAGTTAATGTTTTAAGACAAGTATGGGCTACTAAAGTATCTTGTATTAAATTTTAATGAAATGTTTGATCTTAAATTAGGTTTTAGCATTAAAATTCGCAAACTATAAGTTCAAATTAAAAACTTTACGAAAAATGCGATAAAAAAATCGAAACTAATGCATTGGTTGCATAATAATATCAAGCATGAAAACAAAATACATAGTATGTAGAATATTAAACAATTAAATTACATTAATTTAGCATTTAGAAATTTTGCTTACACTAGACACCGATATAAAATACCTGACTATTAAGCTGTATATTATTCAAGCATTTTAAAAGCGAAACATATTTTCAAGGTCAAGGCTTTCTGAAATAAAGTTCTATGATGCCTTAAATATGATATATATAAACATTTGGCAAAAACTCTTTGCTATAATATAAAATTCAACCCTGAATAAGCAGCAATTAAAAAAAGACTAAGACCAGGAATAAATTCAAGACAGTACAGTTATAAGGTATTTTTCCCGCCTTCTTAGCATGCATTTGTAGTGTAGCGGTCAGCACGCTCGGCGCATATTCAAGAGGTCCATTGCGTATTTATATTCTCAGAAATAACAGCCACTTTCAAAGGTGGTAGTCTACTAGAGGCAGTCATCATGAAAGGTGTCATTGTACATTACAGAGGTTGATTCAAGTTTATGATAATAATTTGCATATGGTATCCTTTTGTAAACTGTTTAAGTTCTTAATATAATTCTTAATGGATTTTTAATGGATAAACTGTCGAAGAAGTAAACTGGCATAAACTAAATGCTACGAATAAATCAGGTGTTAAAGGAGTTCATTGTATTCCGAGGAAGAATGCTGCTATTGTAATCGATGATATGTAATAAATCGATGCAAAGAAAAGAGGATTATTTGTATAAAACAAAGGAATAAGTGCTTAGATTCACAAACAAAGTCGAAATGCAAAGGCAACTTGAATTACAGCCATTATGCTGAATGCTGTAGATATAGTACGCAAAATCCTTAATTTCAGGAGAAATGTTTGAGCAGTTTGATTAGAAACTTCCGAAATCAGCAGAATGAAAAGTTAAACAAAACTTTAAACTCAACCGAAAAACATTCTCAAAATTCAACATAAATTTTCAGTTGACGACTCAAGATTAGACTTTACAGCATAAACAAAATAAAGCAATGTAAATTTTCGAATTTCTATGTAATTTGCAGAGTATAAACAATGTTTCGTAATGTATATTGTCGAATTTTGAGAGAATACAATAATTTTGTCTATAATATGCCATTCACTTGGTAATAAGCACCTAAATATTTAACATAAAAGTTTATTTAGGATTTCTTTACTGATTTTTGCCTTAGCTTTCCTATTTTAACATGCCTGTAATAATGCGATTAAGTTCACTTGAACATAATTTCGGGAATTAGCATTTCGTTAATCAAACAGATATACTAAAAATAATTCAAAAGAAAAAGCATTTGCATATTAACATGATTTACTTTACGAAACAATTATTATTAGCAATGGTTTACTAGATTAAAAAGATGGGCAATATATAGCTTTTTAATACCAATTTTTTGGGATTTCATGCGCAATAAACATTTGAATTAGTTTGAATTTTAAACTCAATAACACAAGTTCTGAGATTTGAATATTTTCATTCAACTACCTAATAAATAACGAATAAGGCATATTTCATCTGTTGCACAAAAATGTTTAAAGTAAACCGAAACATTTAATAGACAAAATGGCTTCAGTAATCACTGGTTAATAATTATCACTGGTTATTATTAAAATTTGCTTTTATTTAAATTTAATAAAAATTTATTTACATAACAGTAAAATTAATAGTAGAATACGGCTGAATGAAATATCATGTTAAACAGTGCGTAAACATTATGTGGACTTCTTTCAATTTAGGCCATCTATACCCGATCAAAGAAACAGACTAAATTGAAAAAAAATGTAACATTTAGAAATTCAATCCTAAACACATACATTGTTGAGAATAATTTAGTTTTTAAAACTGTCAGTTTCAAAAATTTCACTATCAAATCTTCAGTGCAATTAAATTTAATAAAAGTGTCACAGAAGATACAGCAAAATCATGCAAGTTGAATGGCATTGTCTCGTTTGTTTAGAAAACTCAATTTCAACGAACGCCCACTGGCGGAGAAACTAGACTCGATTCGAACGCTCTGAGGAGCGTCGAACAAATAACTTCTGCTTTAAAAAACCAATTAATTTAATATAAGAGATAACTGTCTTAAAATATTTGATACCTGTTGTATATTAATGTACGAGTATCTTTCAATAAATTTTGAAAGACAAGAAGAATTCTTAATTAGAAAGAAACTCTTCCTGGGTTTATTAGATGCTGACAAGAAGTATTTATTAGATGCTGGCTTCACAAACCCTGAAGATGTGACAAGTAAGAAGATGTGATAAGTAACAGAGATTTTACATCACTATTTTGTAATAGATGAACCTGAAGCAAAAAAATTTTTACAGGCATTCTGAGTGAGTGAGTGAGTGAGTGCACCGCTATGATGGCTTCCGACCACGGACGTGACCAAACGGAATTATATACCATCACGGCGGGGAAGACTCCAGAGTAACAAGGTTGAATATTATATACTAATAACAGTTTTTACATATTGATAACTGCAAGGCACTAAGCGTTATTCTGGTTATCTGCTTTAAGTTCTGAACATTTGAAACATTATAATATTATCCACGGTTGTTTCTGCTTAGACAGTGTCTTGAGATTTTCTCTATTTTATCAAGGGCTATTCTGTTTTTGAGTGTGTTATTTGTCCACATTGTCCAGGCACAGTCCTCTGGTTTCTTCAAGTGCAGAGGCATTCTGAGTTATCCGAATGAATGCATTAGTGGAATTTTCTTTGTGGCATGGTCTGATTTCGTCCTCCTGAAGAGCCTAATGGATGTGAATGGTCATGGCTGCTATATTTGCCGGATCTTAATATTGATGATTATTACTCTGATACATGAAGTAAAAGATATACAGCAATAAGCCAGGTATATATGAAATGTTGAGACTGACTGAAGCTACCGAGAATAACTCTCAAGAAACAATGATGATGAATGATGGATGCAGAAGGATATATATTGAAAATGCTCAAATTTTATCTATCTCGATATTTGATTTAAATTACGACTTTGTTTTGACAAGAGTATCATTAAAGCAGAAATATTTTATAATAAAAGATACTTGTTATAATGATTCTATAAAAATTATTATAAATTTTAAGGTATAAATATTAGCATCGGAAAAAGATCGGCAGATTTTAACACTTGAGACAAATCTCAGAATCGTACCTTCATCTCTTTCTCATTGCTACTTCAACATTTTATACTTGAATTTGGCGTTTCCTTCTCGCATCTTACCTATAGCAAATTCTTCATCTACCTATACCTCAATAGTATTATATACCTCAATATTAATCAATATCAACAGAGTTATAAAAATAATCCTATGATGTATATATAACATACTTAAATTTTATATTACAATAATAACTAAAATTTTCAAATAAAGTATCCATAAAATGAAAACAAAAACGGATACGGTATCATGCTGCTAATGTAAGGCATCATAGAACCTGATAACTGGACATTTCACGAACAATCGGAAAGCATCACAAACCAGTACAGACAAAACAGTATCCTTATGTTCTTATAGCTGTCAGAAAGTTTTGTATTTGAAAAATCTAAAAATAACTATCTTAAATATGACTTGTAAGCCTAAAACAATTTTAATATTATTTACTAAATCGAGGTCGGCATTTTATTGAATGGGTAATTAAAAGAAAAATAATTAAATGACCTAAAACTAACAGAAAAAAATCTGATGTGTGCACCACATGACTTCCTTGTACGGAATATGAAATTATACCCAATTTTTTTTTGCATTTCATTTAAACTTATTGGATTGAATTAAATCTACTTCGTCGATAGCGCATAAACCACAATAGAATAAATGCACTCTCTAAAATTCACTATATTTGTTTACCATAGCGACACTCTGGCCCTAGAATCACTTAACAGTGTTACATTTGTTCATTTTTTAACTCAGAACGCGCAAAATTTATATCATCTTAAGAATTATTTAATCGTTGCCACATGTTCTATTCAAATAGTATAATAAATCTAAAACGATGTATATAAGAAATTAAGCAAAGAACAAAAAAAAAAAAAAAAAAAAAAAAAAAAAAAAAAAGTTTTTCACAGACGATTCATTCAATTAATGCAGTTCTTACTTCGCGGCAAGGAAAAAATACACTAAAACTCAAGATTTCTGTATTGAAAATTATGAAGTAAATCTTATTTCCTCGAATAAATTCCGGAATGGATTAAGCATGATTTAATTCGCAATAATAAAAGAAGGCGTTATCTTTGTTATTGCGAAGCTTACTTTCTATAGGTTGGCAACAAATCTACTATTCTGCCGTTTCAAATGTAAACAAGAAATGGCCGCCATGGAAAAAATTATTAGGCTTAGCGGCACTTAAACAACTTTTAAATTGTTGATAATTCTAAAACTATTGCAAACAGATTTACTAAAGACATAAAACCAGAAGATAAGAACAACATAATTCAATCATTTTTAAAGCAAAAAAAAATGCACAATTTGCGAACATATAAGAATAATAAAACTGAGATCACTGAGCCGGGTAACAGAGTGGATATATATATACACATATATTTATATACTTTTGGTGCGGCAGATTGCAACTAAAATACGAGGCGCACATGTACATGTTATAGCACTGCTATATACAAAATTTCAACATTCTGAGGCTACTCCTTTTTGAGTTACGCGAGATACGTACGTACAGATGCAACGCAAATTCCCTTTCGAATTCATTTTAAATCAGTTTTATAATTTTTTTTGGGGGGAAGAGTCTTTTATTCTGTTTTTACGTACAGATGTCAGGCAAAAACATCGTTAAATTGCATTCTATAGCGGTGAAAATAGATATTTGCGTTGAAATATGATGCTTGAAACTTTTCGCGATTATAATACTTCTTTTTTTACTTCGTACAAGGAAGGAAAAAACGGAACGTTTAACGTCATTGATGAAGTACATCTGATTAAGCGGTTAAATAATGTATGCATTCATAAATGTTTCGCTTGATATTTTTGCAAATAAAATACGTCTTCTTTTATTATAAATTTAAAAAAGCCACTTTGGGATACTTTCCAATTGTTTAGCAAACATAGAAGCAAAATTACAATTAAATTGCTGGTCGTGCGATTCGAACATTTTTTTATCAGCATAAAATTTCTGAAGGAACATAAAAGAAAGAAACAAAATGCAAATGCAAACTTATATTTACCTGTAAGCGGGAAGACAAAATGAAAATTAATAAAAACATATGAGTATACATATTATTATGTATCGTGAAGAGTATGCCACACAGAATTTTAATATTAAATATTAGTAATGAACCATAATCTATGATAATCAAGAATGCATCTTACAGAAATAAATGTATAAGCATTCTTAAAAAGCTTTATTATGAAGCACCAAATTAGTGATATTATTCTTTGTATTATCATGCAAGTTTCGAGATGAAAATTTCTAAATACATATTACTGGTTTAAAATGAAAAATGTTTACGGTATTGACATGTTTGCATTAGAAAGTTCAGAAAGTTATCCAGATGATTTAGGATAAGGATAAAATATTGATATTCCTATTAAAATCATTGCCTAAAACTCTCCTTCTCTGATCTAGGCGACTATAATATCTGAAATTGTAAATCCTCAATAAATTGATAAAATGTTTTATTGATAAACTTTTTATTAAATTGAAGAATTATATTTTCGTTAGTGCTAAGAGATGAAATTTTTTTAAAAGAAATACTTTAATTTAAGGCGTATTTATAGGAGGGGATTCTTCTTAATTAGAATATCGAAGCACTGAAATAAAATTAAATTTAAATTTCCAGTAGAACTAAAATAAATGATGTAATGTTAAAAAGAGATTTCCTTTAAAATACATTTTTATAATGTTAAAGGAATCCTAAATATTTTTTTTTTCCTTTGAGAACATACAGACTCCCCGTGCACCACATATGTACAGCACGGGGCTTACAGAAGTAAGTTAACTAGAACATTAAAGGTTACATGTATAAATAAATCCTACATATTACAGTCAGAAACTGTTATACGAGATTATGACTGTAATGTTTAAGATTTTTAATGAATTTATATGAATTATCGTTAAAAGTGTCACATACCTCTACCTACTGTTTAAAATTTCGTTTCTTAAAAAGGAAATTTCCAGAAAATTTTAATTTAAGATAGAGAATTTTATTGCACTGTCAAGTAAAGCCAAAATTATTTTTCGTTAAATCCTTACAAATGAAAATATCAGCTGAGTATAGAATGACTAGTACCAGGTGACTCAAGAGGTAATTTTTAGTTTTAGAAATTATTTAAGAAATAATTTTTCTCATTTTCGCATGCTTAAATTTACCCTCTACTTTTGTGTTTAATAATATCCCAGATTCTGTATTTGAAAGAAGAACATTCTTCAAACGCAATGAAAATTTATTCGGTGCTTTGATAACTCTATAATATCTATGATTATTGCTACGATCATTTTGTCACAATACATATTCGTTTTTAAATTATTAATTCAAACCTAGGCTTTGAGATTTCCAAGAAGTTATTAATACGAACTACAAATATCTCAAATTTAAATCACAATAAAATATAATTTCAAACTTATTTGACTATTTTCAGTATATTTTTAAGGCTGTTTGAAAAAAAGTAATACTTTTCTTTAATTTCAAGAAATCATAGAATTAAAAAAAGATATTCAGTAAGATATTATTATGAAGTTATTAAAAAAGAAATGTTTTCAGAAATGTATGTCGAGAAATTCATTAAGAACATCGGAATGATCTACCCACCTTTACGTATGTTTTTTCCGTTTCTACCAGCTCCATGATGACCTTCCTGAGCTTCTCGGCCTCGGTCAGTTGACGAGAAGGGGTCGCCGAAGTGACTGTGAAAGAACCAGATCCGCTGCTCGCCGTACTGCCAGCCAAACTGGACAGCCGCCTTTGTTCTAAAGGCGTGCGACAGTACTCTGTGACCTGTTCCGCAGTCTAAAAAAAAAAAAAAAAAAAAAAAAAAAAATTTGAAAATTTTAACTAATTACAATCCTTCAATTAAAGACAGTTCTAGTATTTCATATATTTCGAAATTTTAATATTGGAGCTAAAGTAAAATATAAATAAGAATCTCGTTTGCCATTATTTTGTGGGCAAAGTATTTTCATAACCAAATTACACCATAACATCGTCTAAAACTGCTCAAATGGAAAGGAGCGTTTTTTTAACATCTTTTGTGTTACCTTTATTAAATATCACGTTTTTCGCACTTAAACCACATTACACTCAATTCAACAGCAATATCACAAAACATTTAAAAACAGCATATCTTTAGAATTTTCAAGAGACAATCTCGTGCACCGGAGATAAAAATGTTTTTTTCCATACAGTGTGGACATTGCTCGCTTTGAAATCGTTGAGTTTGTTAATCAAGAATTCGTTAAAGTTTTACAAAATATGAAATAGGTAATAAAACAAATTCGAAATTAAACATTTGGGCTTCCAGGTGCCCATATTCGGCTGGAGGATTACGTTATTTAAAATTTGGTGATTCGTTTTATCATCAAATTACCATCGTTTTTTTACAATGCGAGAAACATACATACATTCATGCAGATTTTTCATTATTTAATTTCTTTAAATATAATACAGGGTAATAATTTGGTGCCAACAATTAAAAAAAAGTAATACGTCGTTTACAGTGAACTGACGCAAAATGCCGTTTTGAGAATAATAGCCCTTCTGGGCTAACCCTCCTTCGAACTAATGATTGATTACTTACGAATTGAAGAATGGAAAGCAGTTGCAATGGAGCAGTCTGCTTAACTCAAGCTTCATGGTGACGTTAGCAAAAAACTGATTAAACTCGCCAGTTTCGCAAAACCATTGCCACATGGTAACACGGACACGTGTAACACGTTACCATGGCCCACACATGTAAACGCGGACTGAAGAAATCGGACATTCGAATGTAGCTGCTGAGGATGGATAACTTGAAAGTTGCAAGGCAGAGATTAGTAGCTTGGTGGGAATCATATTGAGAGAAAAAGCGGCAAGTTAGTGTGCTGTGGAACTCAATCGGTGCACATAGTGCTTTTTCGCTTCTTTCTTACTTCATTCTTCGAAATCTGAGTGTATATTTTATATTTCATTGGCTGACCCTCATATGCAGCAGGGCCATCATAACTTGGTATCCACCGTCTGTGGCTTAAAGTAAAAAATATGAAAGTGCAAAAAATGCTATTTTGAATTCTAATTTTTAAAACATTTCTCCAAAGAAAAGCTGTTTCTCTCCCCCTCCCGTCATTGTATCCTGGGAAACAATAAGGGCATCGCAAAAGATTGTCACACAAGCACAATCGGAATTTCGAATGGTCCTGCCCGCATGATGTACTAGACCTTTTTGGTCCGTGGTTAAAATTATTTGCGCACCTGTGGGTTACATTCATTACAGTGTTCTAAACTTTCGACGATTCTCAGTTGTTACAGAAGCATACGAAAATAATCACCAGAAATAACAACTCAGTAAACTTCTGCACATATTTGCTGAGGTAACATAAACATATACAAGTTGCAATTTAACTCACTTTGAGCAGCGTCTCTATTTGTTCAGCAGAAAGTTGGCTGGTCAGATCTTGAGAGGGCAAGGGGGTAGGAGAAGGCGTAGGTCGTCCAGACGTTTCTGGCGATTTTTCCTTATCCATGTCCCCTGGGGGAAAAAATCAAAACATGTAAAAAGCGTTAAGATGCAAAGAACATGTAGGATGAATGAATTGCTTTCAGTGAAATATAAAATAACATTTAAGTATTACTACAAAATACCACACTGAAAATGGACATCCATTTCATGCAATTTATCAAAAAGGAATAGTAGCACATATTTTAAAGCATTTACACGTTTGCAAAATAGCGAATTTAATGCATTATAATTTAAAACCAAAAGAATTTAAGATGAAATTATTCGACATACGTACTATTTTACATATTTCGCCTCACGTGAAATTTTTAAATATTAACTGATTTTAAACAAAGTTATCAAAATTAAATAAAAAATGACCATCCTAAATAATTCATTAAACTAAATAGAAAACAAATAACTGACTATATTCCCAAGTAAGGCAGGCTTTTAAAAATAATAATTTTGGTTTCATGCTATATTTTAAGTGCGCAGATGCCGCCGAGACACTATACAGATACGCCACGCCCTTGTTCGTGTTTCGAGCCCGCTGAACAGTGATATGGCAAAGAGTATTGTTAACCACTGTACTGACCAGGCAGGCATTTACCTAACGTTAGTTGCATTAATATCAGTTTTTTTCTTCTAAACCGTTTAAACAATTTCTTACAAACATTAGTGAATGCAACGTTTTCTTAATAATTATTACAAATGATTATCTTTGCTTCCGAAACAATTTCTTTCTGCCCTTTTTTTTTTTGGTTAAAGCCAGAATGCAAACAGCGGCGTAGATGAGCTTTATCAGGTTCCATTTTTATGTGTAAGAAATATAACGTTATGTAGTTAAGATACCGTTAGGAAAATTTAAGATCATGACTGAGCAACTTCGTAAATTTATTAAGTAACAAAGCGTCCAGTAATGTATTTACAACCCAACAGATATCTTATAAGAAAGTGAAACAAATCATAGAATGAAATTAAATTTCATGTAACGAAACATTTCTTTTACATAAAAACGTCAAAAATTGTATTAAGAGAAGGAAACTGTATGGAGTTACTAATTCTACTGACTGCGAACTAATTCTACTGATTGCAAATATAATCGCAGGAGAAAATCAAATTTTAATCATACCGTATAATGGAGAAGGAACGATGAGTTTGTCTATCATCTCCTCACTAATGACCGAATCTGAGGGGGGAGGTGGGCAAACTAGAGATTCAATATAGTCATCTGTGGTGCGCATTACCCCCGCCATATCGGGGGGTTCCGTGCGAGCTGACCGCATCATCATGCAAAGCGACAGTTCCTCTTGGAGGACACTCTCGATATACATCATGTCCAAATCACTCACAATGGCACCGTTGATCACCATGATCTCGTCACCTTTGATTAGACCTAGAAAAAACATTATGGCAGTTCAGACGAAAATGAATGATAGAAATACGTTAATCCATAAACAATTCGCTGAAAAATATTTCCTAGAAGAGCAAAATATACAGTTCTGATGAATACTGGCACATGAATATAATATTATTCGGTTTCAAATCGAATTTAGCTAACCGAATTCTAGTTAAAGGAACTAAATTACAAGGACTGATTTTTTACCTTCTAAGCTAATTAAAATTAAAATTAATTTTAATTTATTTATGAGGTTTTGATTTTTTTATTGATTTATATAATATGAAAAGATAATATAGCACATACCATATTTTTTAAAAAGCTAATAAGTTATTTTAAATAATGTGTAAGTGAAACTTCCTTGTTTCTAAACGTTTCGTACTGAGACGAAATTTCATCTTCCCGCGCTTTATTTTAATGAAGTGAAAATTCGGTTCTTTTCAATAAAAAACCATTTTATTAATAAATTTTATTTAGACTTTTGAAACACAATCATATAATTCCTCCAGCTTATTAAAAACGACTAGTACAAATTTTATATCAGACTAGCGGGCAAGCCCGCTTATCATTGTTCGTTTTTAAAAGAATTCCTAATGTAATTTCGCGGGTATTGGAAATTTGAAACGAACTACCAGTGTCCAGCGGTTTCGCGCTGTCTGCCCCCGCTTTATTAAATTTTGCATCCAGAATATACTGCATACGCGATACACTTGCGTAAAATCACGAAAACACCCATGCAGCCAGCCCGCAAATTTTCGGGATTCGAAAGTTGGAACGAACTAACAGTGTCCAGCGGTTACCACTGATGCAGCCAGCCTGCTCGCCGGAACTCGTAAGTTGGACCGAACTACCAGTGTTCAGCTTTCTTGCGCGGGCTGCGCCCGCTTTATTCACTTATGCATACAGAAGACACTGCATACATGATACACATGCGTAAAATCACAAAAACAGCCGTGTAACCCGCCTGCTCGCCGGAACTCGTAAGTTGGACCGAACTACCAGTGTTCAGCTTTCTTGCGCGGGCTGCGCCCGCTTTATTCACTTATGCATACAGAAGACACTGCATACATGATACACATGCGTAAAATCACAAAAACAGCCGTGTAACCCGCCTGCTCGCCGGGATTCGAAAGTTGGACCGAACTACCAGTCCAGCGGTTACCACTCATGCAGCCAGCCTGCTCGCCGGAACTCGTAAGTTGGACCGAACTACCAGTGTTCAGTGACTTTGACGCCCGCTTTATTCACTTATGCATACAGAAGACATTGCATACATATTACACATGCGTAGCCTGCCTGCTCGCTGGGATTCAAAAGTTCGACCGAACTACCAGTGTTCATCGGTTTTGCGCGGGCTGGGCCCACTTAATGCACATATGTATTAAGAAGACACTGCTTCCACGATACACATATGGAAAATCATGAAAACACCCACGCAACAGACTGCTCGCCGGGACTCGTAAGCTGGAGCGAACTACCAGTGTTCAGCTTTCTTGCGCGGGCTGCGCCCGTTTTATTCATTTATGTATCTAGAAGACACTGCATACATGATACTGATGTGTAAAATCACAAAAACACACGTGTAACCTGCCTGCTCGCTGAGATTCAAAAGTTGGACCGAACTACCAGTGTTCAGCGGTTTTTTAGCGGGCTGCGCCCTCTTTATTCATGTATGCATCCAGAAGATACTGAATATACTATATACATGCGGAAAATCACGAAAGCACCCATGCAGCAGCCCGTTCGCCGGGATTCGAAAGTTGGACCGAACTACCAGTGTTCAGTGACTTTGACGCCCGCTTTATTCCCTTATGCATACAGAAGACGTTGCATACACATTACACATGCGTAGCCTGCCTGCTCGCTGGGATTCAAAAGTTGGACCGAACTACCAGTGTTCATCGGTTTTGCGCGGGCTGGGCCCGCTTTATGCACATATGTATTAAGAAGACACTGCTTCCACGATACACATATGGAAAATCATGAAAACACCCACGCAACCAGCCTGCTCGCCGGGATTCATAAGTTGGAGCGAACTACCAGTGTTCTGCTTTCTTGCGCGAGCTGCGCCCCCCTTTATACCTTTATGTATCTAGAAGACATTGCATACACGATAGAGATGTGTAAAATCACAAAAACACCCGTGTAACCTGCCTGCTCGCCGGGATTCGAAAGTTGGAGCGAACTACCAGTGTTCAGCGGTTTTTAGCAGGCTGCGCCCTCTTTATTCATGTATGCATCCAGAAGATACTGAACATACTATATACATGTGGAAAATCACGAAAGCACACATGCAGCCAGCCCGTTCGCCGGGATTCGAAAAAGGGACCGAACTACCAGTGTTCACAGTGTTCAGTGACTTTACGGTGCCGCTAATGGGCCGTTGTAGAAAGAGAAATCGCGAAAATTTTCGGGTTTGTTATTCAAACAATAGATTCGTTATTAAAATTCCTTTATTTTTTATAAACTTCAACATAATCACACACAAAATTGTATCAATATATATATATTAATACGATTAATAATTCATAATTATTTATAATAAAAAAGTTCTCATATACCGTCTCCAAGGATCACATGTTCAATTTAAAACCCAAAACGAAAAAAAAATGTTTAAATTTACAGAATCCGCACAAAGTTTCAACAAAGTTGTTTCACAAGAATATAGTTAAGTTAAATTAAATTTAAATAATTCTTTTGCGTCGTTGCTGCAAGGAAAAGCTCATATTCAATTAAAATTTAATTAAGAAATTTGAATCGTAAAAAAAATTTAATAATTATTATTGTTGCGAACTAATTTACGATATCATTTAAATTCAAAAAGCATATGTAAATTAAGTAGACGTATCGAAAACCATGAAAAAATATATTATTCAAAAAGATTAAATTTATTATTCCAAAAAAAATTACATATTTTAAAAAAATAGCGCTTTCAGATTTTTTAATTAATATCTCAGCTGATTAAAATTGTACAACTTCAAGAACGCCATCATTTAAATTTAATGTAATATAACAACTTTTACTCAATAGTAATAAAAGAATTTGGCAATAACATATCGTGGCAATTATAAAAAACCTGAAAATTAAAAGAATGTTAGTTTAAAATGCTGATATTAACGAAATATTTTCAATGCACCGTGAGGTAACATGAAATCGCGTGTTTTATTAAAACTTCAGAATATAACCTTGATTTTTATCTCTAGCGGTTCAAGAAACTGTAGCCACTCGGAAAGATGAGGGGGAAAATTAGCATTTTCACAGTTTTTAATTAATATCTCAGCTGATTAAAGTCGTACGAAGATGAGAATGGTATCAATGGATTCCGAGAATTTTTTGCAATCCGGCGATACCTGTCTCGAATTTTAACTCAGCACGGTTCCATAGATATTTGAAAAAAAAAAAAGAAATTGACACGTGACCTTTCGCCAGCACAAATCTGGAGCAGAAGCAATTGTCCCCCCCCCCCGGCGCTTTCGAAAAAGCAATTTTATCTCAGCTAATTCCGAGACTGTTGCCACTCCGAAAAATGAAATAACGTTTTCGCAGTTTTTAATTAATAACTCCGCCGATTATTGTCGTACGAAGATGGGACCGGTATCGATGGATTCGTTGATTTTTTTGGCATCCGGTGATATGCGTTTCGAATTCCAACTCGGCGCCGTTCCGTAGTTATTCGAGAAAAACGAATTTGGCACTCGGCCAAATCCCTAAAATAGGGAAAACCCGACCAAAAAGTGCAAAACGTAGGGAAATGTAGGGAGAAAATGAGTTTTTAATTAATATCTCGGCTAATTAAAGTCGCACGAAGATGCCGATGGTCAATATGGCGAGCCACGGACATTCTGAATCCAACGGTACCTTCCGCTAAGCTCTGCACCCAGCCATTCCGGAGGAGATGATGTTACAAACACACAAACACACAGACAGACGCGCACAGATTTTAATAGTATAGACTAGCGGGCAAGCCCGCCAGCTGAGCGGGCTGAAGCCCGCTTATCATTGTTCGTTTTTAAAAGATATCCTATGTTAAATTTGGCCGGTATTGAAAAGTTGAACCGAACTACCATTTTTTAGCGGCATTCCGCGGGCTTCCCCCGCTTTTTTCACCTATGCATCCAGAAGTTACCGCATACACTATACATATGCGGAAAATCACGAAAACACCCATGCTTCCAGCCCTTTCGCGGGTATTCGAAATTTGGACCGAAATACCAGTGTTCAGCGCTTTTGGGCGGGAGCCCGCCCAAAACAGTGTTCACGTGTGCATGCAAAAGATACTGCGTACACCGTACACATGCGTAAAATCACGAAAACACCCCTCCAGCCAGCCCGCTGCCGATTCGAAAGTTGGACCGAAATACAATTTTTCAGCGATTTTGCGCGTGCTGTGCCCGCTTTATTCACGTATGCATGCTGAAGATGGTGCATAAACGATACACATGCGTAAAATCACGAAAACAAACATGGAGCCTGCCTGTTCGCCGGTATTCGAAAGTTGGACCGAATTACCAGTGTTATGTGGCTTTGCGCGGGCTCTGCCCGCTTTATTCACATATACACCCAGAAGATACTCCATACACTATACACATGCGTAAAATCACGAAAACACCCATGGAGCCAGCCAGTTCGTCGGGATTCGAAATTACCGCATTACCAGAACCGCATTACCAGTATTCTGTGCCCGCTTTATTCACGTATGCATCCATGAGATACTTTATAAACGATACACATGCGAACAATCACGAAAACACCCATGCAGCCAGCCCGCTCGCCGAGATTCGAAAGTTTGAGCGAACTACCAGTGTTCAGCGGTTTTTACCCGGTATCCGCGCGCTGTATTCACGTATGCATCCAAATTTTATATACAGTACCCCGGAATTCGAAAGTAGGACCGAAATACCAGTGTTCAGCGATTTTGTGGAGCGGGCTGCGCCCGCTTTATACACATAAGCATGGAGAGGATACTGCATAAAACGATACACATGAGTTAAAGCAAGAAAACACCCGGGGAGCCAGCTCGTTCGCCGACACCGAAAGTTGGATCGAACTACCAGCGTTAAGAGGTTTTGAGCAGGCTGCGCCCACTTTTATCACATATGCATCCAGAAATCACTTTATACACTATACACATGCGGAAAAAAATCAGGAAAACACCCCATGCAGCCAGCCCGCTCGCAGAGATTCGAATGTTTGACCGAACTACCAGTGTTCAGCGGTTTTTACCCGGTATCCGCGCGCTGTATTCACGTATGCGACCAAATTTTATGTACAGTACCCCGGAATTCGAAAGTTGGACCGAACTACCAGTGTTCTGTAGTTTTGCGCGGGCTGCTCCCGCTTTATTCAAGTATGCATGCAGAAGATACCGCATACACGTTACACATGCGAAAAATCCCGAAAACACACATTGAGCCAACACGGTCGCTTGGATTCGAAAGTTGGACCGAACTACCAGTAATCAGAGGTTTTGAGCGAATTTCGGCCGCCGCTTTATTCACTTATGCATCCAGAAGATGCTGCGTACACGAGGCACATGCGTAAAATCACGCAAACACCCATGGACCCAGCCCGTTCGCCGGGATTCGAAATTAGGACCGAACTACCAGAGTTCAGCTTTATTCATTTATGCATCCAGAAGACACTGCATACACAACAGATATGCGTAAAATCACAAAAAACATGAGTGTAGCCTGCCTGCTCACCGGGATTCGAAAGTTACCGTATACCATCTCAAAGGAGCAAAGAAAAATCTTTAATCTAAAAAAAAAAAAAAAGTGTGAATTTAATTTTTATTGGTGCGAACTTATTTAAAATATCATTTGCATTAAAAGATAATATCTAAATTAAGTGCACGTATCTAATAACATAAAAAAATATATTATTCCAAAAAATCAAATTTATTATTAAAAAAATAACAACATATTTTTAAAAAATAGCTTTTTCAGATTTTTTAATTAATATCCCAGCTGATTAAAGTTGTACAACTTCAAGAACGTCATCATTTAAATTTAATGTAATATAATAACTTTTATTCAATATCAATAAAAGAATTAACGTGACAATCATCCTAACCTGAAATTAAAAAAAAATTGTGAAAAGCAGCTGTTTATTTAAAATGCCTACATTAACGAAATATTTTTAAAATACAGTTAGGTAACATGCAATCGCGTGCTTTATTCAACTTTAGAATATAACCTTGATTTGTATCTGCGGCGATTCAAGAAACTGTTGCAATCGGAAAAATGAGCCCGAAAATTAGCGTTTTCACAGTTTTTAATTAATATCTCAGCTGATTAACGTCCTACGAAGATGAGAATGGTATCATTGGATTCGTAGAATTTTTTGGAATCCGCAGACACCTGCCTCGAATTCCAACTCAGCGCCGTTCCATAGATATTTAAGAAAAAAGAAATTGACACGTGACCTTTCGCCAGCACAAATCTCGAGCGGAAGCAATTGTCATCCCCCCGGCGCTTTCGAAAAAGCAATTTTATCTCAGCTAATTCCGAGACGGTTGCCACTCCGAAAAATGAAATAACGTTTTCGCAGTTTTTAATTAATAACTCCGCCGATTATTGTCGTACGAAGATGGGACCGGTATCGATGGATTCGTTGATTTTTTTCGAATACGGGGATATGCGTTTCGAATCGCAACTCGGAGCCGTTCCGCAGATATTCGAGAAAAAAACGAATTTGGCACTCGGCCAAATCCCTAAAATAGGGGAAACCCGTGAAAGAAAGTGCAAAACGTAGGGAAATGTAGGGAGAAAATCAGTTTTTAATTAATATCTCGGCTAATTAAAGTCGCACGAAGATGCCGATGGTCAATCCGGCGAGCCACGGGCATTCTGAATCCAACGGTACCTTCCGCTAAGCTCTACACCCAGCCGTTCCCGAGGAGATGATGTTACAAACACACAAACAGACAGAGGCACACAGATTTTAATAGTATAGATCTTTAGAATATCTTCTGATGTTGCCATTCCGTCAAAGCACAACTCTGTTTTTATTTATAATTCACGATCTTGTTTTATATCAGATCTTTAGAATATCTTCTGATGTTGCCATTCCGTCAAAGCACAACTCTGTTTTTATTTATAATTCACGATCTTGACAGTGTTATAACATGTAGAATAGCCTAAATTGTTTAAAAAGAACTACTGTCTTGTATTAATGTCAAGGTAATTACTTACTGTTTACATCTTTACTATTACTTGTTCAATCTTAGGAAACGCGTAAACAAAAGTTGATTTTCTTCAACTGAAATAAAAGCTAAATTGTGAGTTGAAATAAAACAAAATAATTTTAAAGTCTATTTCGCACGGAAATAAGAATTATTTTCTTTCTCTAAACAATATAATCTTTGTCGAAATGAAATACGATAAAATATGAAATTTTGTCTCTGTTAATAAAAATAATAGTATATTTAATCTACGAAGAGAAAGCTTTCTGGTTATTCAGATAGGTCGTTTTTCCAGTCAGTTAAGTGGAATTCTGTTGCTATTATAAAAGCAGCTGTCTATGAAAATATAGAATATATATATCTTTCTTATTTCCTGCATGTTTCAACAAAACCTTTCTAAGATGGGAGGAATTAACAGCTGTAGGTATTTGAAATAATACTGTTTTCCTTTATTGCAGTACTTCAAAAATCTCACAATCAACAATCTGAGTGATTTTAAAAGCAAGGGACATTAAAACTGCGAAGGAGGCTACATTCCAAAATGAAATTTATTTCTTACAGAAAAGTTTTTAAAAAGTCTAAATAGGAAATTAATTTGTTAAATATCCTTTGAACTGCAGCCATACAATCTAGAAGAGGAATATGCTTTCTTCCACAAGAGGAATGTGCTTTGCTTAAGTAGTTCAAAAAACGAAGACGGGACATTAGATACTACCTTTCTATCTGGCTTTTGCATCAGAACGTTAGAAATTGTAATAGAAGATATAAAATGTCAGTACCTTGTTCATAAGCTTGACTGTTCTCTTCGACACGGCTGACGTAGACGCACAGCTCATCCTGATGGTCAGCGTTCTCGATCAGCTCCGCCTCTACGCTGAACCCGAAGAGGACTTCGAGATTGCAACGAAGCAATTCCACTTGGTACAACACTTTGGCACAGATCTCCACCTCCTCGTACGTCTACCAGTAGAAAATGTAATATAAAAGGTCAGAAGTTTTACCTTTTCATTGTACATTCTACTGCACTTGTACTTTCTAAAAGATACACTAAAATACCAGATACCGTAATACCAGCAGAATATTCAGCTAAAGAATTTAAGTCTTCTCTTGAACTAAAATGCTCTGTCTATCATCAGTAGCTTTTGGGGCTGCTAGCAACATTTGAAAATCACTGGTGACAAATTGTTTTCTTTCAATATTAAAGCAAGCTACTATGTTTCATTGATTGTAGCCTTAATGATTGTCGCCAAATAACTATAAGCTATTATAAATCATCCACCGGCTTTCAAAACACTGCATTTTATATTATTGTATATATAATAAAATCACATACGTATTATATAATATATATATTATAAACAAATAAGATATGATATGTATCATGTAATATATGTATCGCGTATCAGTTAATATTACTCATATAATAATAACTGATATATGAAAGGAACCGGAAACCTACCAAGTTTTCCTACCGTCATATACTGTAATATTTTTTCTTTCTTTCTTTTCCATTTTTGTGTGTGTGTATTCGTGTGGCTGGTCAAATGATATACATCCAGGCGGTAGTCAGGTAAGATGCATATCTTTTGTAGCTACGCATTTAAATCTTTTCTGAGCCGAAACTGGTTGTTGGGATACATATGATAATACATTCAATACTTAATTTACGCCCCAAAGCAGAAGTTACATGGTTTAAAATCAGGAAACCCCGCAGAGCGCGCACCATGCTACGAAAGATGTAGGCCGAACTTGAATATCATCTGCATGTATGTCACGTGACTAAAGGGATAAACATAGAACGTTTGTAGATGGGTGCGGGAAACCTTACGAATTTCCTATTCTTTTCAAAATTATCTTTTTATGTTTAATATTAAAGAAGTTATATGTTTTGAAATCCACTGAATCATTCATAGTAGCTATGCACGTCACTTAAAGTTTCCAAGACCGTTCCATGAGTTGAAGATTAATCAAAATTTTATTTAATACGAAAGAAAATTAATTTAATATGTTGATACAAATACTATTTTCAAAAACCCCATAAATTAAAAACTATTAAATGTGCACAGAAGTTTAATGTATGAATTTTCTACTCAGAACTAATGCTGTCAGCATACTCTCTGCGAAAATGTGCACCAAACGAAACATAAACAAACAAACAAAAAAATGAACAGTAAGTTACCTATTACAAGCACAGAATCGCTGTTAATAAACTAATATGGAGTTACATATTACAGCATGTTTAAAAGCGTCACAATTGGAGTTTGGAACAATATAGCATTAAAATGATAATAAATTGATATAAATTATAGTTCATTGTCCTTTAACTCTCCGAAAGCAGGATACGTGAATAAAGGTTTCGCCTTTTATCCTGAATATATGCGGGGAACGTTCTTATCGCGTCGGCAGAAATTGGGATTTCAGCTGTGATCAAGTTTCGAAGGAAGAAAGGGTTTGACTTTTTTTAAGGCTTTTATGAATTTTATACCACGGTTCTCGTCATCAGAACCTCTCTAAAAGTGTACAAACACAGTTCTCGGATGAAACAAAAATTGCTAAGCAACTCGAATATGTTATCAGTTAGAAAACATAATATTCATTTATGAATAGCAAAAAGTAATAAATGTATTCGGATGTAATGTATACAACTATAACAAGTTATTTACTAATAGTCTAGAGTGTATGCATTTGTTATTCTTACAAAATGAAATGAAATAATGACTGTAAATTTATCAAAAAATATGATGATTAATGTCTATTCTTATTTTTCGGATGATTTTCATAACTCATCTAAAAGTAAAATTTTTTATAATATTCTATGATATATCCAACAACTTTGAAAACAGCCAATGTTTAAAGAGCATTAAAATGAATTGGTCTGTGAAAGGGAAGTGAAATTTATAATCGAAGGGATATATCCCTTCGATTTTTTAAACCAGATGATAAACATTTACAAAAATAAAAAATATATATAATCGACGTCGGCAAGAATCACAAATCTGAAAAACCTTTATACCAAAAACAGGTACTTAAAAAAATTTAACATGAGCTTTGGTTTTGGAAAAAATATGAGATATACTTTTCATATAATAACTTTTTATATGGACTTGAGAAAATTTTCAGTAATCTCTTTTAGTATCGAGTTAAAGTCTGCAAAATGCATTCAAATAGAAAGAGAAAAACATGCAGATTCGTATTTTTGGCATAGTACCCAATGACACATATATATTTAATTTTATAGCAAAATGTTTTAAGCAACTACAGTTTTTCATGTGGATTTTTGTGAAATGGATTTTCGTTAAATGAACAGAAATTAGTAGTAATCTGATGCTTTTAAAAACATTTAAATGAATTAGTGTTCTAAAACTCGGTATGTTACTCAAATCAGTAGTAAACGTTATTAATTATTATCATTAATTATTCCCAACAAAATGTCAAAGAGGAATACTTACTAGATTATCGAAGAGTTCAGTCCTTGGCGGTGTGTAATATTCGTCATTCTCCTGTTTGATATGCAGGAAGTGGTCCGATGGGGCCAGTTGCTTTTTTAAGCATGCACTCCATAAGACATCTTCCACAGTCATATTCTCCCGAACACACACCGTCACGGACTAAATCATAGAAGACACTATATGTGAATTATAAATTGAAAAATTATTCGAATGCAGCATTGACGTTAAAATCTTTGCTTTGTAGCAAATGACGAGAGTAATACAGTACAAAGTCCGAGATCCTGAACCGTCAGGACTTCAGCGATTCCAGATTTCAGAAAGTTCTTTATTTTAAATCATCAGTTTAAATCTAATCTGATGACATACAAAGATTATGAAATTAAAAACCTGAAATGATTTACGACGATAAAAATTTACAAAAAATTCTCAGTATTTATTTGTACGCTTTATTAAAATTTTTTTTGGTACTTGCGTATTATCCCATCAACCATAAAACAGTCTCCAATAAGCGTAATTTAAAAAATAAACTGGAACCATTACCAGCGAGGAGTTTGGAGCGTTCTAAAGAGAGCGGGCAGTAAAACCGAAGCGTTTAACAAAAGAAATCGACAAAAATCTTTTTACGAAGAACATAATGAAGGAGTCCAATAGTGATTGTTTAATACGTAAAGAGGATCAGTTCCTTCAGCATTCAACAGGAATGATTGTGGCAAATTTCATGGTCGACGGAATAATATATAAGTACATTTCTTTTAATATAAGTTCTTTAAACTGTTTCGTTTGTGCTAATGCTACTTTTCCTTTAATTTCATAGATGACATAATGTTTTGTTAAAAGTTCATTGTTCAAGTTATGTTCTTGCCGTGTTAAAAATTCCCAATTAACTGCAATAGAAGTCTTTCCATTTTCAAAAAACTTCTAGTCATTTTTTGTAGTAATATTTTCTGGATTTAAAACCACATTACAGACTTCGCCATTCGTTAGCTGATTGCTAATTCAGGCATTGTCATCTCAATGGAAAATTTCTGCTTTCATTACTTCTTCACAGTTCTTCAGAAATTCCATTAATTGCAAATTTTCGCTTTCTATAGCGTTCAAAATCTACGCCAAAATAAGGTTGCTGTTTTGTTTCACTTCAAAATAGCATTTTCGTAAGCCAAAATTTCACAAACGCCGTTTTCTTCAAACGTTCAAAACCGCTACAGAAGGTAACCGCAAAACATGCTTTCGTTTTGTAGATCCTGCTAATTTTCAGAGCTAGAAAGTGTTTTCGGCATAATCGAAAATTCAAACTTTAATTTTTACAAGGTAGTTGCAAAGTAAAAGCCTGTAAAAATAATAAAGCTGTATCAAATTAGTTTAGAAAGACAGCAATTTGCTATGCCAAAGTCACTTAATTTCTTTCGAATCTTTGTACCTTCCTGCTGCTATGCCAAAAAGGGAAAACCAGTTTTAGCAACATCCTACTCTAAACAAATACACCTTGGGCTTCACTTATTGTTTAAGTTAAACAAAAAATATCCTCCTTCAGACTCAACCCCTCAAATGCCGAATGTGTGCTCGTGGCTAACGTCAATCAATGTATCGTCATTGGCCGTGATGTGACTCTCTATGCAGTAGATGTTAGAAAGGACAGGAATCTCAGTTAGTCTAAAGAAAATTCTCTTTTACAATACACCGCTTTTTTGGAGCGTTATATTCTCCATTCATAAATTTTGTATTAAAGAAAAAAGAGAAGAAGAAAACATTTTTGGTGATCCAGATTATTCCGGATTTCAGATTTTGTACTGTGTAACATATTCATAGATTAAATATTCTCAATTTATAATTATCATTTTAGGATTACCAATGCACTAGGTAAAACAATAAGGTAAACAATCAGCAGCAACTAATTTATGACTTTCATGATTTATATTCAATGTTTAATAACATCAGTCAGGAAATTGTAGTTACAACAAACATAATATCCAAAATAAAATGACGAATTTCAAATAGCACCTTTTTATTATAACACTATTTTCCCTCTCTAAATGTGATAGAAAAACAAAATAGCAACATGTATAAATTTGCCAAAAAGGATGATTTCAGCAAATTTCGCTAAAATGCATTCAAATCTATTCTTGATTACATAGCCAATCATTACTATTTAAGTTCGCCTCTTTTTAAGTACTCCTACCAGTATTTTAAAGTAAAATTATTATAATATGGCAATCAACTTAAATGTGAGTGTTTTATGTTATAAGAATTGTGAACACATTTGATAATATAAATTTGCTAGGCCATCTTTGGCCATGGTAGCTAGGCAAACTCAAAGTGGTTAAAATTTTGGATAACTCATAGTATCCCTTGGATTCGTAGAATGACATTAACTCCAAAGAATGTCCCAGAGAAATGCTACGTCAATTTTGGACTACACTATTAGCCAGTGAAAAACTTCGGGAGAATTCAAATAAGCAACATTCTTATCTGTGAGAGCGCAATTTCTTTGCCCTCTTACAAGACTATTTACCGATTCCTGTTTAAAAATATAGACGAAATAATCATTATGAAATAAAAAGCTGTTTCGGATATTCCTAGACCGTAGTGACTACCATGAAAACATATGCTGATTGGTTATTTACATCCGAAAGTTCTGAGGATTTCAAATGCGATAGATACTAAGTTGTTTTGCTTAAGGGGGATTATAGTTTGAGAATTTTAGAAACATTATTTATGCTTGGCAATTAAAATTTAAAAATGTATATACTCCAAAAATCAACTAAATGATACAGAGATGGGATAGCATTCATCTTTGAATGTTCTGTTAACATTCATTCCTGGCGGAAGACGACTTTGATTCAAACTCTTTTTCAGTCATTTTGCATCATAAGCTGGAATTGAAATATAACATAAAACATAATCTATAATTTATTCCACTTTTTAATACTGTTATATGTTCAAGAACATATGTTAAAGTTTATTACAGAACCATCACATTTTAATTGTTTAATGTAATTATAAGTGCTTGTTTTTTACCAAGGGATAATTTAACTAACACATTTTATTGGCTCATTTAGTACACCACACATGATGTACGAAATATATTTTGATGAAATGACACATTATAAATATAAATTATTCACATAAAATGATGCACTTTACAGGATTCATTAAAATTTCACTATGCTTAACGGAAATTTTCTATATCTTATATGATGTAGCTGCTGTATCTATTCAAATATATTCCGTGCTTTACGTATGATACACAATACAGGCAAAGAATGAAGTATATACGCAGATCAGAAGTTCAGCTCACCTGACTCTCCGGAAGGAGGATTTTTACCGTTCGTCCGACAACAGCGGGAAGCTCTGTGCTTTGGCTCGAAGCGAGGTTTAAGGATTTTCTGAAATAAAGATTGAGTTCAAAACTTCAAATGTGAAATCGAAAGTTTGGGAAATGAAAATGCAGAATTAATATTTGAATTAGTTCTTAAACAATCGATACTTCAAATTATAATAAATAAACAGATATTTTGAATTATCTTATTTTATTAATTAATTCTGTAATAGGTAAATGTTATACTTAATTCGTCATAGCTGTCTTTTACTTCACAAGTCATTTAATGAAATTAATTTATTTTGAATTCAATGTTACCAATTTTTTTTTAAATACATAATTTCGTGTCGCTAAAACAAAACTATATACTAATCTACCAAAAAATTAACATAGCACGTTTCAAGCAGAGAATAATACTTCACCCTTTGGCGACAATGTTGCATATGCGGTGCTTTTTTAACTGAAAAAATAATAATGTGGACATCACATGACTTTCTTGCACGGCCTATCAGTTTATATGTATACTTTGCTGTACTTCATTTTAACTTAATTCCTAGAATTATTCTAGCTTAATTAACCAATTCCTCGTGGCAAGTTGAAAATGATATCAAAAATTGGAAATTCTGAAATTAAATATCCCGACCAACTTTTATCGTACGGGAGTCAAAATTCTTATAATTTTATTTTTTCGTAACGGGTATAAAACTTACGCAAACATAAGTATAGAACCGAGAGGCTGCATTAAAAATAAGATTTTGTTTTTTACCGAAATTTTTTTTAAATTTGATATTATTAAAACATGAATATTTTTATCATTTTAAATATTTCTGTAACTGGAAGTATATAACTACGACCAACAATTGCGGAAAAAAAAAAAAAAAAAAAAAAAAAAAAAGACCGGGTAAGGATTTTTAAGCAAGTTAAGATGTTGGGTAAATATATATATTTGGTATTCTCGATTGCAATAAAAACAGAATGTGCACAATTAGATATTATATCCCATATACAAATTTCAAAATTCTACGGCTAATTGTTTTTGAGTTATGCGAGAACACATACATACGTACGTACAGACGCCATGAAAACAAAATCTCTTTTGAGCCCATTTTAAATTCATTTTATAATTTTGTTTTGGAAAATTGGCCTTTTATTTTGTATGCACCTGCAGACGTTACGCAAAACAATTGTCCAAATGGATTCGGAAACGGTCATAATTATCACTTCGTATAAGGAAATAAAAGTGTAAAATCTCTTCGTTTACAACAAGCGTGCAACATGAGGCTCACAGAGGTAAGTAAAAACAAATAAATGAAAATTACGAAAAAAGTTTAAAATAGAAGGTTAAAGATAGAAAGTTGTTTAAGTGCCGCTAAGCCTAATAATGTTTTTGATGGCGGACATTGATTGTTTACATTTGAAACAGCAGACTAGTGGATTTGTTGCCAATCTAGAGAAACTTAGCGTCTCAACAACAAAGATAACGCCTTCATTTGTTATTGCCAATTAAATCATGCTTAATCCTTCCCGGAATTTTTCCGAGGAAATAAGTGTTTAAGATTTACTTCGTAATTTTTAATATAGATATTTTGAGATTTTATGTATTTTTGCCTTCTCGCGAAGTGAGAACTAAATTAATTGAATGAGAAATAGTCAATCGTCTGTGAAAAACTGTTTCTTTTTTTTTGTTTTGTTTGCTTAATTTCTTGTATACATCATTCTAGCTTTATTATAGTATTTGAATAGAACATGTGGCAACGATTAGATAATTCTATTCTTTAAATGATAAAAATTTTGTGCATTATGAGTTATAATATGAATATAATACTGTTATGAATGAAATATAATGAAATATAATACTGTTAAGTGAATCTAGCGCCAGAGTGTCGTTATGGTAAACAAATACTACAGTGAATTTTAAAGAATGCATTTATTCTATTGCGGTTTATGCGCTGTCGGCGAAGTAGATTTAATTCAATCCAATAAGTTTAAATGAAATGCAAGAAAAAATGCGTATAATTTAATATTCCGTACAAGGAAGTCATGTGGTGTACACATCACATTTTTTTACATTTTAAGTAAGTAAAAGTTGTAAATTCAAATAATTATTATCTTTTCTCCAAGTCATATATAAAACCCATTTAGAGAGTGCTCAGTCAACGAAATTAATGTGTACTGAGTAAGTGTGTACTCAGCACAACTACATATATTCGAAGTAATAGCAAGTTTACATCCTTCTTTATAATATAAACATAAACCAGCTTAAACATTCCCTCCGTAAAAATGGCAAAATAACAAAAGCAGATAACACAACTTTGCCTAGCAATAATTATTTGTAAATGGGCATTAGCACAAACTGTGATCAAATCTGTGTTCATAGCGACATTCAAGTTCAGATAATTAAACAGAAAAATGATACATTTTTAATATCTTTGGTAACATGCTCGTCCTTGAACAGTTACTTCTAGGTTCGAATCAGAATCGAAGGCTTGATTTCACGATGGCACCCTTCAAAAGCAAAGCCATCAGCAGCTTATTGAAATAAGTTTATAAATTTATTATGCTTTTATATGTTACTGTTGCTTCTGACACTTTATGTTTTGGATCATCCTAATTAGGTAACCCTTACTTCATTACCGATACACAGGTGCAATGATATTTCACGCAACAATATATGGGCAAAGGATAAAAAAGATAAAGAAATAACCCCTTTGATGATGAAGCTAAATATGTTTTTGACAGACCAAATAGCATTACAGAATAAAATTCTTCAAATGTTTCCCATCGTAACGAACATAAATATAATATAAAAAATAATTATAAATAAACCCAAATAACGTAATAACGTATACCAATAACATTAGGTTTTCAGTAATCATTCATAATACACGAAAACAGTAACTGTAAGAAATTTTATGTGGAAATATATTTTAATCGCCAAAGAGGGCGTAAATCTTTCATGATGTATATATACTTCTTGTTCTTGGATCTGGCATCCGCCAGTTGAATGTGTGTTAGACTTGAATAAACTTGGTAGTTTAGAAACCTGATTTGTAGTGTTCATGTATCTTGATGTTATGTGTGATTCGAATTAGTGTTTTTTGAACTAAGATATCTTGCAATTCTTGACAGTTAATATAATATTTTATACTTTTGGCGCCGAACAGTTGCGCACAAACAAATTTTTTTTTTTTTTTTTGATTTAGAATGTGGTGTTTTTCGTGTTACTGAAAAATTATTCCCTTGCACTGAACGTGGCAAGAGTAACGTTCGGAATACGTATGAATGTGTTTCACCAGGAAAGTGAGTTACCAAATTTGGATTATACCATTTGAAGCCTGCACCAGGTAAGAGAATAAAAATTACTTTTGTTGTTATTATGGCAGACGATATTATTAAATTGAAATCTGCTAGAAAAATCCTGAGGCAAGCTATTTCTAGAATAATAAATGTTGTAGAACCTGAAATTAAAAAAGACATTTGGGATAAGAATATGGTAGAAGAAAATGTGTTTTCACTTGCTTCTAAACAGTCTGCGTTAAAAGAAATTAATGAAAAAATATTGGATTGTTTTAAAGGGGATGAGTCTGAAATTGAGAAAGAATGTAATACTGTGTTAGAGTATGATGAAAAAATAAGTTTATGTATTTTTAGGGCTAAAACGAAACTTAATTTAAATTCTCAGATAGTGAGCATTGAAAGTGAATCGCCTGGTAACCATACTGCTGCCGTAAAGGTCGAAAACAAAACTAACATTCGATTACCTAAAATTTCAATTCCTAAATATTATGGTGATCCTAGTTTATTTTTGGAATTTTATAATTCCTCTGAAATGCTATTGGTAATAATAATGAGTTAACAAAGGTCGAGAAGTTTACCTATCTTAAATCCTTACTCGCAGGACCTGCTTTAAGTGAAGTATCCGGGTTTGCACTATCTAATGAAAATTATGACGCTTCTATAAGTTTAATTAAAGAAAGATTTGAACGAACAGATTTGGTAATATCTTCGCACACGAATAAACTCTTGAATCTTGAACCGGTTAAAAGTTCGTCCAATGTGAAAGCACTAAGAACACTATACGATTCTTGTGAAATCAATATAAGAAGCTTAAATTCATTGGGTATTGTGTCGGAAGCTTACGGAACCCTTTTAGGACCCGTTATTTTAAAACTTTTACCAGACGATATGAATTTGGAGTTTAATAGAAAAAGAAACTCTAAACAGCAATATAGCCTAACAGAACTTCTCGAATTCATTAGATTGGAAGTTGAGAGTCGGGAAGCTTCTAATTTAATAATAAACTCAAAGAAAAGAGACACAAATTACGGTGTTAAGCAGAATAAAAATAATTACTTAAAAGAGGCAAGCGTTCCTACTGCTTCGGCGTTAGCTACAGTGACTAAGCCGTATTGTTTCTGTTGTAATCAAAATACACATGATGTAGGAAAATGTGAGAAAACTAATGAGCAAAAAAGAGCGATATTAAAATACCATGGACGTAGTTACAGTTGTTTTAAGAGAGGTCATGTAGCTTCCAGATGTAAAATGAAACTTCAGCCTTGTGAGTTGTGTAATGGTTTAAATCATAATAAGCTATTTTGTAAAAATATTCTTCCTGAAATGGAAGCAGTTTCAGATGTTAAACAGAAAGTAGTTACAGTATCAGATTCTAAGCAGAATGTAGTTGCATCCCTGTCTTTTAACTCTGAGACTGTTTCTGAAACTGTTGATAAAGGTGTATATTTACAAACTTGCACTGTTTACACTTCAGCTACAGATAATACTAGAAGCCAAATAGTAAAAATCTTAATTGATGGTGGATCACAGAGGTCATTTATTAGATCTGATTTGGCTAAAGAACTAAAATTAAGGACTTTAAGGAAAGAAAGGTTATATATTTATTCATTTTGGGTATAGCCAAGGCTAGACTAATAGAATATATAATTGTTGTTCAAATTACCCTCAAAATTATGCATTTCCCCTAATGGCTCAATCACTGTTGAAGTTCTTGCTCTTGTTACAGAAAGAATTTCTGGAGCGATCATAAAAATTCCCTCCAAAAACATTTTAGGAAATATTAAAATCAAGAAAATCTAAAATTAGCCGAAGATAGTGGTGAAGCAGCTGAAATAAAAATTATTGTTAGGATCTGATTCATGTTGGGAAGTGCAAACAGGCGAAAAGAAAAGAGTAACTAATAAATTATTTGCGGGTGTCTTCTATATTTGGTTGGTCCTTAGGTTAGATCTTTAGGAAGGTGATCAGTCTAGTGCCTGTATGTTTACAACTGGTGCTTCTCATTGCTTGAAGGAAGATAATAATTCAGTTAATGACTGTTTGCGAAGGTTTTGGAGTCTAGACCATTTGGGTTTAGAGGAGAACGAGAATCCTGACGATAAATCAGTCATTGAGAATTTTGAAAAAGAATTGCATTTTACTAATGGTAGATATGTAGCTCGTTTGTTATGGAAATCACATCATGCAAACTTGGGTAATAATTTAGAAAATTCCAAGCGACGACTAGTATCTTTGATTAATAATTTAAAAAGTGGATGAATGGCTTAGGGCGAATTATGATAGCATACGATTATAGCATAATAAACGAACAGTTAAAAAATGAAATAATTGAAGAGTGCGAAAATTGAAAGTTGTGATAAGTAGTAAAGTGTATTACATGCCACATGCTCCAGTTTGTAAGAAGAAAATGTATCAAAAACTAAAGTTCCGTATCCGTGTTTGACGCATCTTCGAAGTGTAATGGTGTATCTCTGAACAATTGTTTGATGCCTGGCCCAAATTTGAATCCTTCTGTTTTGGACTTGATATTGCGGTTCAGACAATACAAACATGCGTTCTCAGCAGACATTGAAAAGGCCTTTCCTCCAGATTGGAATCTCTGAAATTGATAGAGATGTATTACGGTTTTTATACTTTGATAATAATTACAATTTGAAACATTATAGAATGACTCGCGTTCCTTTCGGTGTATCATGTAGCCCTTTCATTCTGGCGTGCACTATAAAAAAGCATATAAAGAAAATAGAGTTAGAAAATCCAGATATTTTTGAGATGTTGAACTGTTCGATCTACGTAGATGTTTTCTATGTTTGTAAAATTTTGTTTATGTTTTCAATGTTTGTAAAAAATCGAGTATCTGAAATACAATCATTAATTTGCCCAAATAACTGGAGACATTGTAATGGGAAGTCCAATCCAGCGAATATTTTATCTTGAGGATGTTCAGCCGAATATTTGTTGTCTTCAAGATTATGGCAGTCTGGGCCAGACTGGTTAGTTGAATCAGTGAGTGCTTGGCCTAGTAAATGTATCGTGACAACGGAGTTTTCTGATGCTGAATTAGAGCGGAAAAGGTGTATAAATAATACGACAATATTGCCGTCTTTTGCAGAAAAATCTAATTCTCTGTTGAATCTTGAAAATTATAGTAAATTAATTAGAGCTATTAGAGTAACTGCATGGATATTTAGATTTATTCACAATCTGAAAAATAAAACTGACAAGAAAACCGGACCCTTGATAGCAGAAGAACCTTTTGCCGCAGAATTATATTTGATAAAAGAAGTTCAATATGAACATTTTTCTGATGAAATTAATAGTTTAAAGTCGGCACAGTTGATTTCAAAACACTCAAACATTTATGAACTAAATCCTTTTCTAAGTGAGGAAAGAGGTTTGTTAGTAGGAGGAAGACTACAAAAATCAACTTTAAGTTTTCATGAAAAGCATCCTATAATTATTCCTTCAAAAACTCATTTTACAGATCTTCTGGTACGTGATGCACATGAACGAGCTCTTCATACAGGTGTAGCTAGTACTCTCATGTTCCTCCGTGAAAAGTACTGGATAATTAGATCCAGACAAAATGGGAAACGAGTTATAAGAAACTGTGTACTGTGTCAGCGTTATAACGGCCGACCAATGCGACAAGTCATAGCACCATTACCTCCACCTAGAATTGAAAAAGCAAACCCTTTTGATGTTATAGGACTAGATTATGCAGGTCCACTTTTCGTGAAAAATGAAGATACGAAGATACGAAGATGAGAGTGAAAAATTAAGATATCCTATTATTTACCTGCGCAGTAACTAGAGGCATTCATCTTGAACTAACAAAAGATCTCACAACTAAATCTTTCCTACTTGCTTTTCGTCGATTCATATCAAGAAGAGGGTTGTGCTCTCTAATATACTCAGATAACGCGCGTACATTCAAGGCAGCTGATGCAGAGCTCAAAAAGATGTGGCAGGTATTAAGCCATTCCGATGTAAAGAATTATTATGCAGCAAAGGGCATTCAATGGAGGTATATCATTGAAAGAGGAGCCTGGTGGGGCAGGATTTTACGAGAGTGACTTGTTCGATCCGTCAAAACAATATTAAGAAAAATTCTTGGTAGAACATCACTGCTCTACCTGAAGAATTGGAAAACTGTACTGACTGAAATTGAAGCGGTGATAAATCAAATCGTCGACCCTTGACTTAAGTCCAAGATAATGAGCCCCAAAGTTCTGTCACCCTGCTCATTTTCTGCTAGGGCAGAAACTTGCTAATTTTCCTCCTGTCAAATACACTCATGAAGTGTGCAGTACTAAAGAAATTCTTTTAAAAGCGCATCTATATCGTGAAAAATTGTTAAATAACTTTTGGAAAATCTTTTATAAAGATTATTTGTTGAATATGAAATCTGCAAATTGTGTGAACAATCACCGTGCAAAACACGACTTAAGTGTGAACGATGTCGTGATTTTACAGGATGAACATTTACCACGTAACAAGTGGAGATTAGGAAAGGTTCTCAAAATATTACCGGTAGAGATGGACTAATTCGCAGTTGTGAAATAAAGACTGAAAAAGGCATTATAAAGAGACCTTTACAAATTATTAGTTCAGCCGGGCCCAGTGTGTAAGAAATTTTATGTGGAAATATATTTTAATCGCCAAAGAGGGCGTAAATCTTTCATGATGTATATACACTTCTTGTTCTTGGATCTGGCATCCGCCAGTTGAATGTGTGTTAGACTTGAATAAACTTGGCAGTTTAGAAACCTGATTTGTAGTGTTCATGTATCTTGATGTTATGTGTGATTCGAATTAGTGTTTTTTGAATTAAGATATCTTGCAATTCTTGACAGTTAATATAATATTTTATAGTAACAACCCTGAATACTTTCAGTCGTAAAAGCCTAATATTGCAAGAAATCATTGTAAGATAGATCTTCAGATGAATTAGGAAGTAACTCACTTGCTGCTGTTGGATCTGGAGAGGGGTAGCCGCGGTCTCCGCTTGGTGGCACCTCTACCAGATAAGAGGTTCGTTAGGAGGGAAGGACTTCGAGCGCAAATGAAGGCGTGGAAGGAAGACACGGTGAAAACTCCCAGTTTGTTCAGAGTGCTCTTCGTACCCTTCGATACATGAGTCAGGAGGCTCTGCGAAACAAACCAGAAAAATCACTTTTACAGTATACATTACAAAACTAAAAAATAACTTCTCAAAAACTAACATATTGAAACTTACGTATGTTGATATATCAAAGAACACAATTGTACATAAAAAGCAAAAGCAACGAAACGCTTGGATAAAAACGATAGAGTTTTATTTGCTTTGGAGGTATAAACTAGATTCAAACTCCCAACAGACACAAAGTGAATTATCGCTATGTCTGAAATGAACATGGAAAGGTTTTATAATAATCTTTTTTATTTAAACACTATCAGGTTCAATGTTCCGTCTTACCTTCTTCGAGAACATGCAAAGACCTGACTCGGAAGAGAGAGCTTACTAAAGCTATGTTCAAAACTGTGGGAAGTAAACAGGATACACAAGAAGGGTATACAAAACCCTTTATTTTTCTCTATTTACAATAACTTCCGTACTTCGGAATACACAGACCCGCTACTTGGGGTCTAACGTAAAAATATAAAAATAGAACTAAACTCTAAGTTAACTTTAAAATAATAAACGTGGAAGATTGGCCTTATATTAACAGGAAGCCGTATGTAGTACAGAGAACTGTGAACACTACAATACGTTTAAAATTTATCAAGAGGATTAAAACCTCTGGCCTGGAAGGCAACAAGCAACTGCGTAAAACTTCTAAGGTAAGCGGCCTGCTTCGACTCACTGCTTCCTCTCTCTCGCTTGGCAAAAAGCCACAACTTAAATACTTGGCGTTCGCCAGACAAACTTTGCATAAATACATTAATGCTTATAATTCTGGCCAGAAGTAGAAAATAAGAAGTGATAGTAAAGATTTAAAATAAAATAAACGTTAGTAAAACTTAAGATCCTTACATACTTCCCGCCAGAGTTAATTAGTTTGAAACTGAGGTCTAAAACGACCTTGTTGAAAACTTTTAGCTCTAGAATCTAACGCGAGGCCAATCTTTTACAAACATCTTTCGCTAGAAACTAGAAATTTAAAAGAAAGAAATTTGTTTTTACAATAGCAGCTCCCAGGACACAATTTTTTCATCTGTACTGCATCTAAAGAGGAGCTTTTATTCAAATCTGGTTCCTTCCAGAGATCTGGAAGGAAAACTAGTTTAATGAAATGTTACACAATGAAATGGCAAGTAACATGTATAATTATATTTCTCTTAACATTCTTATTTCATTCATAACTATTTTAGTTATCTCTCCCCGTGCTCTCTGACATGTGTTGTAAAAGAACACCAAACACGAATGTGTTTATGTCTATGTGTTCAACACTTCCTCCTACAATCAAAACACTAACGTGTTAAAATTCAACATACCAAGACCTCGTAACACACCCTAATTTCAACTCTAAACCCTGAGGTACTATTCTGAAAGTGGCTAACTAAGTGTAGCGTCAGAGAGCCTAACTACATCATTCAACCTTTAACACATATTCACCACGATTTAGTCTTTTTACAGTCACACGAATAAAAAAAAAAATTTAACATTACTTTCACTTTTACCATATCACGGTATTTCTTAACATTTAAAATAACAGTTCACATTGTATATAAGAACATATTAACATGCCGTTAATTTTATACATTTGAAAACATACATTAGTAGTACATTGTTAACTTCTATTCTTTTCAAAGCAAGTGCCAATTCTTTCTACATTGAAATAATACATTTCAAAAAGTCTTTCAGACTAAAACTTCTTTCTTGCCAGAATGTTTAAAATAATATTTATACAATAACTTTTTACAATATTTAAGTCTTTACACAACGCTATTATACATCTAGTTTTACGCGCGAGTAATTGAAAAACATAATACCAAAATCGGTAACAACTCATTTCTCGCCCTTTTGGCGATAAAGGTAGACCTCGCATGAGGTAAAACTTCTTGAAATCTGCCACTTGCAGTAAGAATGAAAGATTAACTTAAGTTTGTAAAGTAACATAAAATTTTACTTATCTTTATCATTCCTTTCTGGGCCCAGTCCTTAAAGGTAGTGCAGATAGTTGTTTGATTTATCCTCCTTCTTGTACGGGCTCGCCCTTCAGTTCCTTCCTCTAGATGCTTTCTTTTTTCTCCAGTTCTGTCACCCTTGAATACCTGTGGTCTTGGTCGTTTGATGGCAGCTGGTCTTGACGGAACCGGGAAACTTCTTTCGTGTTCCTGCTTGGACCTCGTTGCTGGCCGTTCAAATTTTCCTTGTAACTTTTCCTCCGTCGCTGGTGGCCCTTCCGCAGTTCGGCGAAATTTGCTGCGGAGAGTCCTGTCGGATGAGTAGATCTTCCGTTTTAGAGCCGGGTTATAGTTGCCGTCATTTCTCCTGGTTCTCTTTGCATACGTCGTCCTTCTCCCTTCTTCATTCTGCGGGTGTTCGTGAACTCTCTTTTCTGGACGGTGGAACGGCTTCTTTTTCTTGCTACCTTCAATTTTTCCGCGGGGAAACTTTCTTTTCACTTGCTCCTGCCTCTTAATGGCTTGCCCTTGTACTTGTCGTTTTTCCACCTCTGGAGCTTGTGCCTGCGGTGTCTGCCGTGCCGGATCCTGCAAAATATCTTTAAAAATTTTCATTTTATTACGATCATAGTAGGGTTTGATTTGATCAATGTTTGCGGAGCAGGTTTCATCATTTCTAGCCTTTAACACTACTACAGCGTGAGTTATTTTCTCTATAACATATGGTCCTTCAAATCGTGGAAAAAATTTGGCAGTTTTATCTTCTGGTGCTGAAGAAAGTGAATGCTTAATTTTTAAAACTTCATCCCCTACTTTATAAGTTACTCCCCGTCGTTTCAAGTCGTAATATAGTTTTTGTTTTCTCTGTGCTACTTCAGTATTCTTCTTTGCTTCCTTAATTAGTTTTTCTATATCACCCATTTTAAATTCTGGGGCTCTTAGTTGCACATAAAATAATTTATCTAACAGCGTTATAATCTTTCTGCCTAAAAATAACTCAGCAGGAGTTTTGCCCGTTGTATCATGTTTTGCGGTCCTAAGGGCGAAAGCAAATTCATTGACATAGTTATCCCAGCTTTTATGAAAATTTTTAACATAACTACGGATAATTTTCACTATATTTCTATTGACTATTCCGCTATATTTGATTACGGCCGATACGGGACCATTTTTAAATGAGGTATGCCCAGTTTTTGGCACATGTCTTCAAATATATTACTTACAAATTGAGGACCATTATCCGATATAACTTTTAGGGGCGCCCCGTATTTTAAAATATATTTATTTAAAATAGAATCAGTAACTAATTTCGCGGAGGCTCGTTTTAAGGGAACAATTTCGGTCCATTTACTAAAATGATCAACCATAACAAGGAGATAGCGACTTTTATTTAACTGACTTTTTGGGAAAGGGCCCAATAAATCGTTGCCAATTATTTCATTTGGAAATTCGGATTTAATACTATTTAGAAACCCGGCCGGGCGGAAATTAATATATACTTGGCATAACTTAACTGCTACTTGACATGTTGGGCAGGACTGGACATACGCCCTTGTTAACTTTTGCAGTTCAGGAAAATAGACTGCCTTCGCGTACGCGTTGGATAGGTTTTTCCGAATACCAGCATGAGAAGCTAAAGGGCTGTCATGGAGCTCCTGCAGGATATTTAATCTAAGACTAGCTGGGATAACAGGTCGAAATTCGTTGTTGGAATTCGTAGTTTTTGTATAAAATAATAGACCATCTATTAGTTCGTAATGGGCCGCCCTATTTCTTATCGCCACAATATCTTGGTGGCTAAAATTTTCAGGATCCTTTAAATGCTCATAAATGCTTCCAAACTCAGGATCTTTACCCAGTTCGGTTATTACAGTTTCTCGGGAATTTATTGTACATGCTGTGAGCATTGCCACCTTTACAGTATTACCTTGTTCATCTATTTTAATTCTTGATAGGGCATCTGCTACGATATTTTCCTTTCCGGGGGTATGCTTGATTACCAGATTATATTCTTGTAGCTTGAGTGCCCATCTTATTAACCTTGGGGATAAGTTTTCCCCTGAGTACAATCTAGTTACCGCCGCATGATCAGAGTACACTGTTATTGGCGCCTTTCCAAAATAGACTCGGAACTTTTGCACTGCTAACAGAACTGCAGGTGCCTCTCTCTCGCTCGCGGAATAGTTTCTTTGTGTTTGATTTAAAGTTCGGCTAAAAAAATGCCACGGGATGCTGATTTTGCGAAAGTACCGCTCCTACCGCATAATCCGAAGCATCCGCTGAAATCTCTAAATTCTCATCCTTTTCAGGAAATTTCAACACAGGGGCTTGCGTTAATGCTTGTTTTAATTTTTCGAAAGCACTATTGGCTTCGGCCGTCCACGAGAATCTTGCCTTTTTCCTTTTTAATTTTAACAATGGCTCAGCGATAGCTGCAAAATCTTTTATAAAGGACCTATAATATGAACAAAGTCCTAGAAAAGAAGAGAGCTTCTTCGCCGTGTTTGGAGTCGGATACTTTTGTACAGCAATTATTTTTGATTCGTCTGTCTCTATTCCTTTCTGAGATATTTTGTAACCTAAATATTTTAATTCAGGGGCTGCAAATTTGCACTTTTCGACATTAACTTTTAGACCGGCCTCATTTAATAAAGAAAACACCTGTCTTAAATCCTGTACATGTTGGTCGAGATTATCACTAGTAATAATGATATCGTCTAAATAGATAAATGTGGACTTTCCAAGAACAGGTCTTAACACAATGTCCATACATCGCTGAAATGTTGCCGGGGCCCCTGAAAGGCCAAACGGCATACGCAAAAATGCATAAGTGCCAGACTTGGTTATAAAAGCAGTCTTAGGCACGTCCTCAGGCCTAACCCCTATTTGAAAATAACCAGTCGTTAAGTCTAAAGTCGTCATATATTTGGTGGATGTTATGTTCCTTAGAATTTCTTCAATTATAGGTAACGGATATACCGGATATTTAGTTATGGAGTTTAATTTACGGTAATCGATTGCGAATCTCCACCTTTTTGGATGTGTCAAAGGATAGTCATTATTTTTCTTACATAAAACCACCGGGCTAGCATAACTACTTGAGATGGGCGTTATGATCTTTTTACGTAGCATATCGGTGATATGCCATTCTATAATTTTTTCCTTATTCTTATCATACCGGTATGCTTTGTGGCGAACTGGCATTGAATCTCCGGTGTCAATACTATGGTTAGTAACCTGAGTAAATCATAGAATATCACTAAATAACGAAGCAAATTCACTTACCACTTGTCGGATTCTTCCTTGCTCGTCATTAGGCAGGTGGTCAAGATTTAACATTGGCGGTTCAGCCTTCTCTGCACGAACTGGTTTCATTGTCAGCTTAAGGGACGCTTCATTAAAATCCAGTGTTGCTTGTGCCTCTGAAAGAAAATCTATTCCTAAGATTATATGTGCTTGCAGATTCTTTGCTATAAAAAAGATCACCTTTACTTGTTCGTCCTTGATACGGACATACAGCGGCACTTTACCTATACACTTACATTTTTCTCCTTGCGCCGCTAACACTGTCGTATTATCCGAATTATATATGCGGTATTTACGAAAATACTTTCCTAAAAAAATCTTCTGCCACACAGGAACACTGCGCGCCTGTATCCAGGAGTGCGGTGGCTGGGATATTATTCACCAACACTTCAATCTTCGGAAGAGTCAAATTTTTCACCATTACTGTATTTAACTTGAAGGAAGAGGGGTTTTCTTGGCCTTCGGATTTCCGCACCCTCCCGTCAGCAGAAAGAAATCCGTTTTAGTTTAAATTATTTTTCATTTCCGTGCTTTCCTTCTTTTTCCCTTGGCCTTGAGACTTTTTTCCTGGATTGCTATTGAACTGTCGACGTTCGCCGGCTGTTTTTGAATGCTCGGGTTTCCTTGCCCACTGATTCGCTTTGCTTCCGTAGCCGTGTGCTTGAGTTTGCTGTAGTCTTGGCGCACCAAATTGGTTCCGCTGTTGATATTGGCGTCTTCTTTCAACGTCCGCCGTTCTTCTACTTTCAAACTGGATTGCTAGCTCAAATAACTTTTCCAGTGTAGTCGGATTTCTTAATTAAATAAAGTCTTGCACTTGGGGCAGTAACCTCGGCAAAATCACTTGAATTATTTCAGGATTCGGACGGTTTCCATACAAGAGTTTGAAGACGTGAATTTTTCTTAAAATAAAGCTTGAGAGATTTTCGATTTTTTGCTGATATATACTAAAAAGTTCCGTTTCTAATTTCGCACGATCCCTTACAACAGGGAAGGCTTTTAGTAGGGCAGTCTTGAAATTTTCGTAAGTATAGGTGGGACTTCCTGCTTGACCCAAGAGACTTCTGCCGATACATTTGAACCAGTTAAGCGCTTGGCCCCTCAAAGCGCTGGTAGCTAAGGTAACTTTTTGAAACTCGTGCACGGGGTAGAGCATGAAGTGGTCATCCAATTTTTCCAAAAAACTGGTTACCGGTGAGTTTCCATTAAATGTTGCTTCTGGTTTCATCGAAGCGCGCATGGTCTGGACGATGTAACCAAATCCTTCCAGGGCGGCTGCTGGCATTTCTGGATTCTGAGCCGTTTCTGCAGGCAGCACAGGTTCTTCTTGAAACTCGGCCATGGTTATTCTTCTTCGTTGGGGCAACTATCAGGTTCAATGTTCCGTCTTACCTTCTTCGAGAACATGCAAAGACCTGACTCGGAAGAGAGAGCTTACTAAAGCTATGTTCAAAACTGTGGGAAGTAAACAGGATACACAAGAAGGGTATACAAAACCCTTTATTTTTCTCTATTTACAATAACTTCCGTACTTCGGAATACACAGACCCGCTACTTGGGGTCTAAAGTAAAAATATAAAAATAGAACTAAACTCTAAGTTAACTTTAAAATAATAAACGTGGAAGATTGGCCTTATATTAACAGGAAGCCGTATGTAGTACAGAGAACTGTGAACACTACAATACGTTTAAAATTTATCAAGAGGATTAAAACCTCTGGCCTGGAAGGCAACAAGCAACTGCGTAAAACTTCTAAGGTAAGCGGCCTGCTTCGACTCACTGCTTCCTCTCTCTCGCTTGGCAAAAAGCCACAACTTAAATACTTGGCGTTCGCCAGACAAACTTTGCATAAATACTTTAATGCTTATAATTCTGGCCGGAAGTAGAAAATAAGAAGTGATAGTAAAGATTTAAAATAAAATAAACGTTAGTAAAACTTAAGATCTTTCAACACAACCTTTGAAAATAACAATGCTTTTCTTGTACTTACAGCATCAACCACAACTTGTAAGAATAAAACTAATATCACAGTCAAATTGAAATTTAGAACGTGGACTAGTAGTCATAGAATACATTATTATTCTTAAATCTAAGTTGGCTCATAAAACTCTAACCAGAGTATCGATTTAAATATCAGTAGTAAATAATGCAGAGCCGAATAATTACAAACGCATCAGAAATGGCAGAACTAAAAGTAGCACGGTCTCGAGAGGCATAAATACATTCTTTTTACAGTTCAGAAACCTAAGCTTAAAATACTTTCTAACTCATTAACATTTCTGGTGAAGAAATGGAAAGAAGAAGTTATAATAAAGGCTGAAATTATAAATAACTGGTTAATTTAAATAAAAAATGCTACAAAATATAGAACAAATATTCTCCACTTTTTTGCCTTCTTAAAATAATTTACATATTTCCGCATTTTAAGTTCAGCCTTCGGGGTTTAATTTACGCTTTATGACAGGTATTGAAGTAACTGTATTTTTCACCAGGAACCAAATTATCTAAAACTCTTTTATTTAACTGAAGTAAGGCGGATAGCTTTATGGTTTCACCACTGTACAGTGATAAAATAAGTAGCGAAAAGAAATCTCCTTATTTCAATTAGGATTTGCTAGTGCAATTGTATTTTTATTCTCTTCTTTTAAAAACTATTCAATTTGTGCTAAAAAAAGCTGCGATAATGATAATTTGTTACTTTGGGATTGGAATGAAATTTTTATTTTATTTAATACGCTAATGCAATTTAATACGTTTTGAAAATAAAATTTTATTGCAAAGTTTAGTAATCTCCAGAATAAGTTTTGACCGACGACCTTTTAGAAAATACTTCTACCAACAGTAAATATTAACAGTAGACAACAGACAATGCCACCAAATAAATTAGCTATATATGCGAACGTTATTTGTCATCACCAGAATATCCATACAATTCGAGAGCTTTATAAATGTATAATTACTAACATAATTATACATTATATTAGTAATTGCATATGCATATTGATATACGGCTCGCCGAAAAGATTGAAAAAACTGACTAACGTCATGTTCTTACATTACAAAAAAAAAAAAAAAAAAAAAAAAACCCTATAACTTTTACCAAAAGTAAACTCTAGGTGTTTAATTATGGAATAATATTAGATAAAGAATAATATAAAACATGAACAAACTTTGGGGTTGGGCAGTTCTGAGTTCTGCAGCGAGGACATATAGCACCTGAGTCTAAACTGTTCGCAGTGTAGCCTCTCCAAGTTCTCTTCCCACTGCGATATTTGGCCTGTCAAAGAGCTCCTGCTATCCGCGTCGGCTACCACGGTCAGCTGTAGCTCGGCCATGTGTTTCATACGAGAATCCTGTCAAAAAATAACAATACAGAATGAATTTGAATGCATTCGCGCAACTACGGCAAGTTTGAAAATATTGACGTAATTTGATTTATATTTTATTTTTTTAAAAGGTTGAGGAATAATTAGTATTCATGTCTCCATAAATCATTTTTGGTTAATCTTTGTATTATGGTAACTTGGCGATTTTTTGGCGAATATTTGGCGACCAACCCTGCTACAGCAACCTGCTAGGTTTTGTTTGGACGCCATTTTGTTTTCACGTAAAGGCTTTTTTTTTATACTCAACATTTTTTTCTAACAATCTGCTAGCCGAATTACGCTTATGCTAAAACTTTTTATGGAACAAAAGTGCTTAATCATGACGAAGATTAGGTGCGAAATTGGAACAAAGTGCAGAATCGCCCACTGCTTGCCGCGTTTTTAAGAATTGCACATACACGGTATCATCCATTTACACCTATTTTCACTTAAAAAAAGATCCCAGAATTGCACAAAAATGGCATTGCGCACACTCTTGACTCACTAATAATCCATGTACATTGCTAAAGTCCTAGCTAGTAACCTTTATCGCCTTACCAAAATGTCGCCAAACTACCTGTTACCATATTCCAAAGATTAGCCTCATTTTTCTTAGTTATTCTTAAGCAGTATCTCGAGATGCTTTACAAATTTATACACTATTTAGACAGGTGAACGCTTATATTATTATTTTTTATACTTTTTTATATTAGTTGTACGCAGTTTCAAATGAATCATCCTGCATGATGAAACACTTAAACTTCTAGTCTGTAAAATGCATAACTAATACTTTTCTGTTGGAGTGGGTTTATCTGTTAGTTGCAGGCATATCTAAGCAGAATTGTATATATCTATTATCTAATGACTAAGTTTCTACATCATATAGGAACGGTCTAAAAGAATCTGAATGATGCACATTAAATGCAAGCCTGAAAGTCATATTCTGAGTAAAAAATTAACTTTAGACTCACTACAGGATTCTAAGGTAAGCGGCCTTCTAAGGTAAGCGGCCTTATGTCTTTTGAATATTATTCTGGGAAAAAGTGTGCACGCACGTCATCTACCACTAGCATGTTTAATTGCTTCATTAGGAAATTTTGTAAGATTAATTTGTTCATTAGGAAATTTTGTAAGTATTCTAACATGTATTTTCATCTATTAAGTTCATTCAAATACAGTAGATAACAGTTTGGATGAAAGTTATTTCTGAAAGATAAAAATTTCATTTATACGATATTCATAGAACAAAATTTACAGTTAGTGAAATACTCACTGTGTGTTACTTAAATTATGATTATGATACAATGTTTAACTTCACTTACGTTTTACGCAAGAATAAACATAATAACTTTTATGCAAGAATAGCAGAAAATGCATAAAATGTTTTCATCTTGAAAAATATAGATAAAATGTAAAATTTAGCTACAGAATAATAGCTTAATTTTAGAACGGAAAATTAATTCAACCTCTTCGTAAAAACCTCCAAGTAGTCAGTGTAAAAAAGGGCTAGATTATTACATATAATATGTATTTTACTATACATATTATACAACGGGCACGCAAAAATAATATCATTTAATCTTGGACATTTTTAGGACCTATATGTTACTTCTCCTTGCAGATTAATTATTGTACAAAGAAGGGAAAGCACAGATAAGCGAAACAGAAGATAAATCTGCCCTCGGACATTTCACACGATAGCTGAAGATTTATACTAATGAAACATTAGTTTGGTATTTGCTCTCAAAATAGACGTAAGAACGTAAAAAATTATAGACTGTGGCGTTAAAATATAATCTCATGCAAAGAAAAGAAATATATAATTTTATCAAAAAATTAAATAATAAAGTGGATTTACTTCTCGAGTTTGGTGAAATTTCTTCATTTGTATAAATAGCTTCATAATTTAATAATTTGCCTTACTTGAAATTTTACATTTTCTGGTATATTATAATTGCTAATCATAGTATAAATCTTCTAGTTAACTTTCATTCGTTAAATAATATTGTTAAGTAAAGTTTCAGTTATCGATCCAAGCTTAAATGAATAAGACACATTTTCAATTAGGCAAAAAAGCAAACTTGGACTGGTGGAGATTTTGAATATGGTTATATTGATTAACAGGGTGATCTGATTTAGGTATCTACGTTTCAGGAATAAAGAACGTTTGCTCTTGAAGAAGAGGGAACTATGTCTAATCGAGATATATTTGTCTAGACATATAAGGCTGTCTAACTCTGCTTTTTGTTAAATGACTGTTTTATAAATCAAATTAATAATCAAATTAATTAATTTATTTTACAGCTTGAAAATAATATTTTCATGCATTACGTTTATCTAATCCCTGCTCTTTTCGTACGAATTCATGAAAATAACTTTTATTTTTGCAAATCTGTTTACTTAGAAAATCAATCTGAGTAAATATGGTTTCGATAAATGATAAAAGTTCTGGTCTTAAGAACTCAGAAACTAGATCATCCAATTAGTTAATTTTTACTTGTCTTAAAATAATTGAGATAAGAAACAATGAAAGCAGCAGGAGTATTCTTACAATATTTAATACCTGGCACTGTGGAATGAACAGATATATAGAAGTCTTAAACACATTAATTCAGATTACGTATTGCAAACTACAAACACAATAAGAATAGCTAAAATATTGTTTAATAAAGGTGTGTCATTGCAAAAGTTTTTTTTAAAATGTAATTTTTAAGTTTCTAATGGTAAATCATATGTTACATACATTCAAAACATCACTCGTCTTGACTGAGGTATCACTAATAAGATATTTTACATCTAACATCTGTTCCTGGTTAAAAAGTTTTTTAAATGTTTTCGTAACTGCGTGAATTTTGTAACTTTATGTATTATCAACATTGTATGTAATGAATTGTTATTAAATTTTAGGTAACAATGTTATGCAAATATCCTGGGGCTACTGTCTCATTTCTGTGAATGTAACACTGCTGTCATTGAATATATATAGCTGGAAGCAAAGCTCTCGCTTTAAGCAATTGTTAAAAGGGATATGAAAGTGATAACTCGCGATTTAGACGCCTTCGATTGACAGCAAATGATAGGTGCCTGATGCATTAGCAATTAAATTTCAGAAATAGATTGAGAATTGAGTTTTTTCCCACAATATAAAGAGAACGACAAGACTAAATGATTACACAGTAATCGAGTACGGTGCAAGGCACGACCAGTCGGGCAGTAAATATAAACTAAGCATACTCGCTTCCGAGTTTCAGAAGCCAAAGACCCTCGAAAGTCCACTTCTCCTTATACGCCACTGGACTCAACGTATTGTATGCGTTACATAGCACCGTGACTGGAGCTTTGACGACTGGAAGGGGTAATTCCGACTGAATACGGCTGATGGTAAGTGAGAATATGGAATAAGCCATGTGTCTAGCGTGCCAGTTTGAAACTCTTTAAAGGTCATGGTAGTTCAGCGATGGTCTGCGATACCTACATTAGCAATGTTTGGAACTTTTGGCACTTGTACCAAGCTCCCTCTCTTATATCTAAAATATATATCATAGACAATATCTTACATCAATTAATGTTTCCTGCATCTAAGTGGTGAGAGTGTAACAGCAAACTGATGCTCCTCCTGTCATAGATCTCAGTTGATTATTAAATACTTTGATGAACATCATACTAAAGTCTCGAATCTGAAATAGTAATCGATGTCTTTTGAATATTATTCTGGGAAAAAGTGTGCACGCACGTCATCTACCACTAGCATGTTTAATTGCTTCATTAGGAAATTTTGTAAGACATTTAGCAAGCCATATCTTTATGGAATCCATGCTTTGCCACGTAGCAGCTGTTACCAAGTTTAAAGGAATAGCAACTCACTACTAATCAGGTATTTAGCAACCAAAAGGTATTTAAAAAAATCAGGTATTTAACAACGAAAATTTACAACAATGAAGTTATATAAATTGACTGTTCATTTTCTCAAGAGGATAATTTTATCTTACAAATATGCAATTTAGATAATGTCTCAAATTGTAAGCACAAAAGAAAACAAATACAGATGCATTAAAACAATATTTATGTTATCATACTTCTTGGTACGTCTAAACTAGTTTTTTCAATAATTTGGGAAAATGAAAACAGCGGTTATCAAGAAAAAATATTTACTAATGCAGTAAAACAGATTGCAATTGCACGCTTACCGACTCGATTTCTTTCTCGAGCCTGAAAATCTCTTCTTGTAGCAGGTGGAGAGTGCCCGTTTTACCTCTGTGTCTTGCAAAGGCAGCCGCGCAAGCAGAATGAATACTGTTGATCCAATTCTCCAACTCTACCTGGCACGGAGCCTGTAATAGAAATTTGATCAACAAACCTGGAAATATATATTGTTCATTCATACCTGACAGACGTAAAATATAATACTAATCATTTAACTATAGTATTTAGTAAATAATTACTTCAAGCTTTCTTAAAAACAGATGGCAGATGAGTAGGAATAGTTTCTAGTAAAATACTCAAAAACATTGCTATTACAACGAAGTATTTCTATTATAAATCAAGTTTTGTGAGATAAACTTGTTTTGTAGTCAAGATAAACGTTTGCTTCGACTTGCCAAAAAAATTATGGGCTTAAAAATATTATTATTTCCATCTTATTAAAATTATAGGTTTTCCCACAAATTCTTAATCTGTTTTTATCTCGTTTTCGTAGCCAAATTCTTCCAGTTTTACCAAAAAAGATTTCTTATCTTTGCCCATTTAGTGCAGCCATTTAAAACAGGAGAACTTTGAAAAATTAGGAGACAAACAAAAAATTTAATAAAATAATTTGTTTGTATAATAATTACGTTGAGTTCAAATATTTGCTCCACGGTTTTGGATGAAAAGGAGGCTATTAAGTCCTCATAATTTACATTTATATGTAACTGATAACTTCAGAAGGGAAAAATTTACATTAAGCTGAAAAACATTTAACTCTGCAATTATTCTAATTAATTATAAAAAATAAATTAATAACACAACTAATTTATTGAATAGTAATTTAAATTAACAAAGCAAAAATGATGAATATGACATTTTTAATATTAACAGAGAAAAACATTTTCATCATCAAACAATAATCCAAATATAGATGACGTCTAAGACCAGAATCTGAATTTAACCCCTGAAAAAGTTCAAAGAAAAGAAACCGGAATAATAATTTATTTTATTATAATTATAAATTCAAAATTGCTTCAGCATTTACAGTTTGCGTTTTGAAAGAGATCTGAGATATTATACTGAAGTTTCGAAATAAAATAATTTCGAAATAAGAAAATTTAAAATAAAAAATATTATTTCAAAATGCTTCACAGAAAGACGGAAATTTACAAAAAGTAAATTTTGAGATTAAAGAAAAGTAAGGTCGCAAGATTTATACACACACACACACACACATATATATATAAATATTGCATGTGTATATATATACACACACGTCTGCGTGTATATATATACACATACATGTTTACGGGAATATCGATTATATTCAGCAAAGCTTAAACAAAAACCTGTAGATAATGATCTTTGAATTTTTTTTCCTAGATGCTAGAAAGTATGCTATTTTAAATATGACGGTGAACTAAATACATCTCACAAAAGGAAGCTACATATGTAAAATTCGTTTTTACTTAGGGTGATAATAGTATTTGCGAGCATAAAATAATAAATATTTAATTTTGATAAATGATCGAAAGAAATATAAAAAAAGCTTAAAATTTAGTTTTAGAGAAAATGCTTTAAGAACCTAAATTTTATATAGGAAGCACATAATATTTCTGTAATTGGCACTTAAAGGAAAACATCACAAACTTTGACATAAATTTTGTTGATATATTTTATTATCTAAAAAAAAAAAAAAAAAAAAAAAAAAAAAAAAAAAGAATTTTTTATCTTACTTTATAGGATTTTACGATAAAGAATAAGAAAACACAAACTCGCCAGAGGAAGTTGACCTAATTTTTTTCTTTTGAAGATGAAAGCCCTATTTTATAACTCAATCGATGCCTGTAAAAGTATTTCCTACTAACAAAGAGCATATTAAAGTTCTATAGAGATCGTAAACTTTACCTTTTAAAAATAGCTGATGTGTAATCTTTAAGAAAGTTTTTTAAACTTATCTCGAAGAGAAACTGTTGCATGAACCTGCTGTGAGATCCTTTTTTGTTCGATTCTTTTATATTTTCTTTGAAACTGCTTCATTAAAATTAACACAGAAGCAGAAAAACAAAACAGTTGCAAATGAATTAAAAAAATATAGCTATTAGTATTAACTTTATGATTTACAGACGAATAATTCCCAAGATTTCAATTTTTTAGTAATATTTTTGGTTTTATTTCCAATGGAGGATCTACGCTCTAAATTCCACATGCAATAATCATTGCATCACAAATACAATGAACATAAAAATTTAATAAATACAGAAATACTTTATTTCGGCATTATATTTATAACTTTTACTACTGACAGTCATACCTCTCTACTTAACGTATCTCTGCTGAAGCCACCGCTCATCGTATAACACACAAATGGCGAACACTGTTTCCATTTTATTTCTCATCACCGCGCGACTACCAGCTCATCGCAGCTTAAAACTGCCTCATGCGTTGATGCTACAACCACTTTTATCAACTTTGCTAAATAAACACAAAACACCCAATTTTTTAACTTTTTTTTCTGTCATTATCTCTATCTATTTAGTTCCAGTTATTTTCCTTTAGAAATGTCATAGTATTGGCTTTAGTCATAGTATTGGCTTGTCATAGTATTGGCGATCAATTATCAAAATTAAATATTTATTATTTTATGCTCGCAAATACTATTATCACCCTAAGTAAAAACGAATTTTACATATGTAGCTTCCTTTTGTGAGATGTATTTAGTTCACCGTCATATTTAAAATAGCATACTTTCTAGCATCTAGAAAAAAAAAATTCAAAGATCATTATCTACAGGTTTAATGAAAATGCTGTTATTATTGCTGTTATTATCTAATGTAATAAAACTTTTCCAAAGTAAAATCTCCCTCATATAAATACACCCTGAAAAAAAATGTTGAAAATTCCTTCACCATCACACAAAGAAAAAATATAATAATAAAAAATTCTGAAAGGTTTCAGATTTCAAAGGCCATCCACAAGAGCTTTGATAAGGTTTTTTATGCTCTCGTTAAGCTCGCAGTTTACCAGTCTACCTTTGTTTTGTGTCTTTTTAGCTTTATTATTAAGCATCGTTTTCTTTGCAGTTAAGCTATATACAGTTCAAAAGTAAAATCACAAAAATTTTTATATTTGTTGCAGCATATGTCATAAGTTGCATAGCAGCATATGTTTAGAGTTTCCGATTCGGTATTAAGTTCTGGCATACATTTTTTTCTATTTTCAGTCTTTTTTCAGTTCGTTATATCAATGTTCTCAAAGTTTTCTTAGTAAGGTGGCTTACAAAACATTTTCTTTGTCTTTATGCTATTAATATCTTGTGCGTTAACTTTATTTATTAAATATCTCGTTCTTCGGAATTATGCCATATAAAAGTCAGTTCAAAAGCAAAATCACAGAATATAAGGAAAAAAGCATATCTTTAGACTTTCCGATAGACAATATCGCAGGTTAGAGATAAAAAAAGTTAAATTCCGTACATTGTTGCCACTGCTACCTTTCAAATCATTGAGTTTATTCATGAAACAAATAATTAAGTTTTATAAAATTTGAAATAAAAATAATAACAATTTAACGTTTTACTGAATAGACTCATGAATTAAATGCATTCTTTAAAGGGATTTTGAATCCCGAAGGACTATTAGTTTCGTTTTGGCATTTTGCGTCGGACTCATAAATGTCGGTTCACTTTTCAAACTGTTGCCATAAAATGTTAGAGTCCTGCATTATATTTGAAGAAATTAAATAATGAAAAATCTGCGTAAATGTATGTATATTTCTCGTATTGTCATAAAATAACGGTACATAGAGTCATCGAATTTTGAATAACGTAATCCTCCAACGAATATGAGCATGTGGAAGACCAAATTTGAAATTTGAAATTTGTTTTATGATCGATTTCCTATTTTTTAAAACTTTGACGAATTTTTGATTAACAAACTCAAGGATTTCAAAGCGAGCAATGGCAACGTTGTGCAGAAAAAACATTTTTATCTCCAGCGCGTGAGTCTCTGTATCGGAAATTCTAAAGATATGCTCGTTTTAAAACTATTTTGCGATATTGCTGTTGCACTGGATCTTATGGTTTAAGTGCGAGGAACATGATATTTAATAAAGAAAGGTAACACACAAAATGTTAAAAAACGCCCCTTTGGACGTAATTTAAATCTGAAATTTCAGATTTTGTTTATTTCTTCAATTCAAAAGAAATTTATCTTTTTGCTTGATCCAGTCCAGTTGGTATTTCGTCACTCGGAAAGTAAAACGACGCAGCTATAGTGATTTGATGCAAATTCCCATTTCCAAACTACTAGCCCTTTTGCGCTAAAATGCTAATGGTGCAAAGAAATAAATGAACTAAAAATTGCTCTGCTTAAAATTTAATTCGGAATTTTTTTTCTCATTTTTACATATGTGGATATTTAATGAAAGTGTTAATGCAATAATCATTTATACTAAATAAGAATTATGAAATTTGATTCAAAATTATTTATTTAACTGAAAACTTACTATAAATATTTTATTTTGATAAGAAATTATATTAAGACACAATAACACGCCGAATAAATACAAATTCAGAAGTCAAACAACAAAAATCAGCGTTATATTTACCAAATTTTCACAGGACTAGTTTCGATGGTTTTACCGAACCATCATCTTTTGCCATCAGCATTTGGGGTTTTGCAGCTGAAGATGATGGTTCGGTAAAACCATCGAAACTAGTCCTGTGAAAATTTGGTAAATATAACGATGATTTTTGTTGTTTGACTTCTGAATTAGTAAGAAATTATATATTAATTAAATTTAAAAAAATCTTATGCGTAGCACTTTTTTAAGGTATGAAAGAAAATGAATAGTTTTCATGTTCGCTTAGAAATATTTAACCGATAATTCAGTTGTAAAGTACTGATATAACAGCATTTTCATTTTTTTTAATTTTCATTTTATTTCCACGCAGGACATCTTCGAAAATATACATACCGTATATGCTCACGTAATGTCCGCACATTTTTTACTAAAATTAGATCATTAAAATGCAGGTGTGGACATTACACGGGTCGTTCAAATGTCGTGCTTTTTCTCGTGAGTATAAAATACACAAGAAGGCAAAACAAATGCATATGCTTTCTTTAAAGATGTTTATTGACTAGTGTTAATGACTGAAGCGAAAAAGGCGATGTTAAAAAATGTATTTTAAAGTAAGAAATTCTTTAGTTTCTGGGGTTTCGACATATTTTTCTTGCGTAAATTTTATATGACGGTATATTTGGGAATTGAAGAATACATATTTATCTACTCAAAAGCATATGTGTACTTCGGAAGCCATGCAGTTTGAGTGACATTCTATCATTTCCAAGATTTTAGTTCACTACTGCAACTTGAAGAACTTCACTTGAAATAAATCGTTATTTATGCTTATATAATTTTGCTAAAATATTACCTACTAAGAGAGACTTTGCAATTTACAAAGACTGAGTTGAAGATATTATGGAGTCATAAAATAGCTATAAGCATTTAAGTCAAAGTCATTAATTGAAGTTTGGGTATTACTATAATTTGGAAACAAATTTATTAAATTCATATGTAGAAAACATAATAGGTTTTAATAAGATGATTTTAAAAAGTATAGCAAAAACTATATTGTTTATATAAAGTTCTCTTTACCATCTCAGTGCAAGGTTACACGCAGTTCAAAAGTTATAATTTACATCATTCATAGTTAGTGCAAGGAATAAGAAATGGACAAGGAAACAATCAGATTTCTCACTTGAAAAAGGTAGGCATCTCCAAAGGCAGTGCTGAGACAGAAAATGAAGTCCCGTTTGGGGTGCTCGGGGATGGGTTGCATGATGGCCCCATCCACGATGATCAGGTGCTTAGGGGTTGTGTCGATGGCTCGCCCATCGCGGTTATCGCATGGGTAGAAGAGTAGGGTCGTCCCCTTCAGACAAACCCAGTAGCCCTTCCAGCCTCTTTTGCGAGCCAACTCCACTTGCTGCCGCTTCCTCAAGAGCCACTTCTTCACGCTAAGAAATCTAAAAACACATCATGATTCATGAAAAGTATAAAATCACAAAAATGGATATACGACTTGCTGTATTGTTAAGTGATTATAAATTTATTTAATTCAAGGAAGAAAGTAATTTCATATAATGGAATTTTTTCCCATGATTTGACTTCAAATGGACATCTCATTAAAGTTTACATCGAGATTAAATGCAAATCTTCAGTGAAACGTTTTAAATACTTGCTAAGTATTTTATAAAATATTTGCTTCAAAACGAATTTAGACTTTTAGTGTCTATCAAATGAAATCATCTTTTTGCTTTCTTAATGGATCATCGGTATTTACACACGTCTCAAAATGAAGAAGAATGTGCCTCAGCTTATAAGCACGTGTAATGCAAAATCACATTCAACGGATTCTACTTATTGTGCAGTTTTATAATAAACTCGACTAAATGCCTAACCTTGCATCTTTATTTTTGCCTTAATCCTGCAGATTAATACTTTACGAAATTAACTCATGAAACCTCTCTTTCGACTGACAAGAAAGTCTTCCAATAGGGAATGTTAACTTAATTTGGAAATTGTAGGTTCCTTTCTAAATTTATTGTTACAGATTTAAAAAGAACAACATGTATTAATATTGAATATGTATATAGAATCCAAATAAACTAATAAAGTTTTTTTAAGATTTCTAACACCAAATTTTATGACAAAATTTGCAGCAGTTTTGAATATTTCTTTACTTTCTATGATTTAACGACAATATTTTCATCAAATTTTCTCTATACTTTAAAATTAAGTAATCAATCAAATGATTTACAGTTTTCTTATGTTAGTGACTTCCTTGTTAGGGACAATAAGTTTACTGTACACAATAATAAGTTGAGACAATAAGTTAAGACAATAAGTACACAATAAATTGCTGTCACAGGTAAATTCCAGTTTGTGACACAGTTTTAAGTTATTTAAGATTATTTAAACTTCTATTTTTATTCAGTTCGAAAATGCCATTGGTATACACAGTATATAATAATTTTTAACTGTGTTTGTATATCATCTTTTAACTGTGTTATATATTTAACTATTAATCAGCATACGGGCTGTTATATCAGAAAACTTTGTATTGTTTGTACATGATTTCATTATCAGACATATTTCAAAGATTTTCAGAGTTCCCAACATTTTGGCTGTATCTTCAAACATGCTTCCATCACCTTGCTAAAAATAATACTTTGCAACCTCTGAAGATAGAGCAGTGTGATCGGCTGCAAAATTTCATCCACTTATCAACATGTCGTCATTGTACCTTTTATACTAATTAAAAGTGAATGGCTATTGTTGGTGATAGCATCCCAAAACTAATGTGAGTTTGACTAAATATGCTATTGATCAATCGTAGGGTACTGGATCTGTTTCCAAGTTATCTCTTACTACTACTTGGTGATTACTACTACTGGTAGTAAGACAGGAACAAGATACATAACTAAAAGCTACCTTCTGATGTCATTTTTGTTCAGTGTTTGAAAAGTTGTTCTTGATGATATTGAACATACAAATATCCCTGAATACTCTGCAGAACAGTGGCAATAGTGATTATAGCACCGCCACTGCATGCCTTTGAATGCGCCGATCTAAGCTTCTGACTTTCGTCTAGAGATGCAATTATATAATGATCCTCATTATTTTCTTTAAAATATCGTCTTACAATTCTGCGCGTAACAGACAGATGTTAGTATATTTCAGTTGTGATACGGCAGTTTGACTAACCAGCAACAAGTAGGTCTAAAATGAAGCCTACCTGCTAAATCTCAGATGAACATTTCTCCGTCGGCATCTCCTAGATATTTATTCAATTCAGTGCTTATTATAGAATAGTAAACAGCTCTCCCCCCAAAAAACAGCTAACGGGAGGGAAGAAATGACAAATGCATTCACGTCTGACCTTTTAACATGCTCATTAATTAGCTAAGGAACTTGAATCTTAGATTATTTGCATAGGCCTTTGCAATCTGAATATTGCTATGGCAGAATCTTCTTGGTATTACATTTTCTCTGAAAGTTATTAAATGTTGACATCCGTAAATAATAAATATAATGAAAGGAGCCAGAATAATAACGGAAACATGCAATTTAAAATGATTTTACGCGTACTTGTTGATTGATTGTTTCATATATTGAACTCTAAATTGATCATCTAAGGGTTTAGGAAACAGCAATATTTGTATTTTTGGAAGCTGCAAAATAGCACTTGATTCACTGAATATCGTTATTTTTTATGTTACTTTTTAACTAAAAACCTACAGAGATCCAGCAAACAAACTTCCAGATACTTTCTAGGATATTCTAAAAACTTCTAAGAATAAATTTAAAATAAAAAACTGATATTTGATTTACAATTATAAGATGCTTAAATATTTAAAAATTTTAAAAGTTCACCGATTGCTAAACGATACATGAAATGCCCGATACGAGCGCATGGTAACCAGTATATGTTGTTTCACTGCAATAGTTGATGAATTGCAGAAATGCTATCTTAAGGTTGCAAAGTAATTTTATTAACAAAAGTCAAGATTTATTATGTCTCAAGCATAATGGATAAGAAATTTGAAATTGTATTATGCAACAAACAAATACAAATTTAGCAAAATTATGTAACAAAGATTTACAGTAAACTCAGGGAAGAATTCTTGGAATAAAACACACTGTTCTGATAAACATTGTGTAAGTTCACGACAGCGAATATAAAAACATGGTGAAAATTATAGAAAACAAGCATGCAAATTACATAAATTTAAAGTGAACTATACAGTAGCAAAAATAGTAATCAGGTTATTTAGGTTCTCGAAATGCCATTAATTAATTGTTCTGAATTATTATAACTGCACTACTCTAACTATAATTTATAGAAATATAATGCGTAGTTTCAACAAATAATAAATAAAATAATTAATAAATATGCAAACATGGGATTAATTATATGATAAATTTATATAGAGGTAAACATGATGCAGAAAAATAGCGAAATGTTGTATTCACTAGTTATTCAATGATAAATGAATTCTAAATTTTTCATATTTATAATAAAATTTATTATAGAAAGTCATGGATATTTTTAAATGGGCTGTTACAAAGATCGTAACAGCTGTGAAGGTGCATGCTCAAATGTAAACAAGATATAAATAGTTAATGCTCTTTTTTCCTTAATTATGAATTTATTTTAACAATTGTGACCTTTTAACTGCATGACATAAATATCGGTAATATATATATATTAATTAATGAGTTTAGCTGAAAGTTATTTGATTTCACATTACAGTCTTTAGCTTTTTATGCAAATTAGATAAAATATTTTCATAATCTTCCAAATAGAATCTTGAATAAGAGTTTGGTTTTAGATACGTTAGAATTTGTTTTGAAGTAAAGTATTTTGCAAGTAAGATTATCATTGTGTTCATTTTTTGGCAATTTCTGAGTGTCTCGAAAAGGTTGTGGTGCAAATATTTCTACTTAAAGTGTTCAAAACTGTTTTTGGCATACCTTTTAAGAATTTAGGCATGGTCGAACTGAGAGTCTTAATGGCAAGTGGAACTGAGAGTTCCTTTCTCAATGAACACTACGCAACCGTAAAAACGTTCCCCATTGCCTACCCCTTGAATCTTTTTGTTTACTCCGCAGTCCCCATGCGGAGGCTGCGCAGTGACGATTCAACTCAACTTCACTCACCCGGCTTTCCTCACGGCTCCCGTGCAGTTGAAGGAAGCTGCCGCTGCCCCGGATCTTGATCTGGAGCCGTAACTGCCACCGTAGCTGCTTGGTGTGGCGGCGGTTGTCCTGGGGTCCCCGGCGGGGTCTTCCTCGTCGCTCACGGCAGTCGTGAGCGACAGCCGATCGTCGTCGGACATCTTTGAAAGAAAAAAAAGAGGTCGGTATAACGTCATCAACATTGCGTTCACGGGTCGTCCTCCATATTTCCGCGGCTGGAGGGGAAGGGAAAGGGAAGAGGCACGGACGATCGAAAAGGGAGGAATCTTTGCACGTGGCCACGACCGCAGCGCCTCCTCTCTCTCTCTCCGAGATTGAGAGCAGTGAGTATGCTAGTGGAAAGGGAGGGAGAATTTTTGGCTTCCTGCCAATTTTGACTGATAATCGTGCCCAAAAGATTTGCTTATGAATAACGAAAATACGCAATTGGTGATGCACAAACATTCTTTACAACACCTAGTTTACATTTTGGTTAGATATTCTTTTCTTCAACATATTGCAACACATAAAATAGAAATTTCTTTGTTAAAAGAACTTATTCGTTTTCATTAAAAATGCATCTCGGATAAAACATGATAAAATAAATATTTTATTCCCACATTTCAGGATGTACTAAACATTTTGATAGAAATATTTAATATATTATATTTATTGTAAAATCTATTAGCTGAAAATTAATATTTCCTAATATTATTTGCATTTGATGATTATATTTTTTCTTTACTTACGACAACACATAATACGGCATTTTATGTTGCTGACCAGTTAACTCTTTACATCTCTATGTTATCAACATATTTTCCTGTTTACCTACGTGGACTCCAGAAAAATGTACAATGCGGAGATCAAAAAAGAGGGACACTTCTATATCTCGCGTTCTACTGGGCCGATTGACGAAATTCAATTTGCGTTTTTCATGTCTCGAAAGCGCGACTTAGGATATGTATTAGATTTATATATAGCATTGTTCTAATATAGGTATTTTGATGTATGTATTAGATTTATATAGCATTGTTCAATATAGGTATTTTTGACACAAATGTCGGACATTTTCTGAAAAAACGTACCAATGTTTTCCATATTTCCATTCTACGACACAAATTACACCAAACTACCACGTTTTACGTTTTGTAAAAATCGCACGAGTAGTTTTTAAAAAATTAGCTCTCAAAATGTTAGCTCCTCAATGTTAATTGAGTTTGGTATATATTTATTGATCTCTTTTTTATTAACCTTATCTGATTCTTCCTTTCACATTTCGAAATCCAAGTTCTTTCCAAATAAAATTTACTCATTTTTTATGACATATTTTTTAAATCTGTATTTTAAAATAATTTTTATAAAATTTTCAAAAAACATTTTGAATTATAATTTATACAAGTTTTACCATCATCTTAAAATAAACGTATTTCTAAGCATACCTGCAAAAAATTACAATTTTTTATTCAAAATTTCCGAAGATATACGTGAATATATATACTGGAACGTTTTGAAATTTGGCATATTTGTTGAAAGCGATAAAGCATCAGATATGGTTTAAACACTTTGCTAAACTTATTTGGAAGTAGAAACGATGCGACTTTTTTTCCGCTCATACACAATGTAACGCTAGGAAGGCGGGAAAAATACCTTAGATACTCCCTCTTTTAAAGGGCGAGTGGGGTTTTTAGCGGACCCAATCGCCAAATCCTGGGTGTGGAGAATCCTCATTCAACACCCTTTTAGTTCGAGCGCCACTGTAGAGACATAAGGTACTTTTTAGAAGCAGGCAAGATAAAAAATTAGAAAACGCCTTCGCCGGGAATCGAACCACGGACCTCTGGAATATCGGCCCAGAGTGCAGAACTACTACACCACGAAGGCACGCTAGGAAGGTGGGAGAAATCGGTGGCCATGTAACTGGTCACCGGCACTGTACAAGTAATGCATATCGGCCAATTCTGAGTTCGAAAACGATTCATTCTTCTCATGCAACGTCCTCGCCTGAAATGATACTGCTTCCCATTGTCCATAAGCATGCGAACATTGTCCTCTAGCTGTCGCCGTTATTATTTTTGGACAAAAGTTCCTATGTAAATCTTGTTTATGTATGACAGACCAGTATGTTAAGTTTGGCAACGACCTTTTCAGACACCCTGTTTATTTCTTGAAAAGTCAGCAATTCTGATAAAAGTAATTTATTATTGAGTACAGTATTTCCCATTTGCGTCTTTCAGCATCAGATCGTAAATGGTAAGCATTTATTTCCCTAAATCGCTTGTGCATTAAGCTCTCAACAAGTATTTCCCTCAAGTGGCAATGCTTCCTATTTTACCAGGAACTGCAAACAATAAATGTTTTGAAGAGTTTTCCTTCGAGGATTTTAAAATGATTTTTTTTTCACTTTCATTTCGAACAGTTTATTTCAACAAATACAGTAATACATTTGATTTTAAAAGAGGATCGCATTCGCAGCTGAAAACAATTTATTATATAAAATGGCTTATGATTTAAAATATAAAGGCATTTCTTATTGCTGGAAAATACTATTATTTAGTTAACCATCATCATTTTCTAAATTTCCAACTTGAATAAAATTTGTCATTAAGTAACAAAGCAAGAGTCTTGGTAAAAGGTATTTTGATGAATGCATTTTATTGCCTAAACTTAATTTCGAATACGTATTTTAGAGAAAACAAGTTTTTATACCCACGAAGAGAAACTTATGATCACTTGCAATACAAAGAAAAGAAACAATAGTAGGAAACCCATATTTTTCCCTGTAGTACGTTTTGTATGGTTTCCGTCTCCAATTTATCATTGTGAATTCTTAAGGTGAATCTAGTTAAAAATAAAGACAAGAGCTTTGGGAGCAGTAAACAGTACTGTCTTCTCGAAAAGAAGCCCAAGAAATAGACACGTGTCTTGGTTCTAAAAATAGTTCTTCTGACTCAGCCTTCTAGACGCTAAATCTCAAAATACTCAGATTGATTGCAGTAACAGATAATAACAATTTGATGCAATTAAAAAGCTATTTAATATATTTAAACAGTGTAACTTAACAAAAAATGGCAACAGTAAGAAACATTTTTAAAAGAAAACGATTTAAAAAACTAACAACTCAACCATTAGTTCGCGATTCGGGGATTGTTGTATGGACATAACTTACATTCTTGCCCCAAAGTAAATTTTATTTATGCTGCTTTTTATTAATTTTGGAATGTAATTCCTTTATATAGTACTTGTGATTTAATGAAATTTACTTTGTTAATGCACAAAGTTTAGTTTCAAATTTAAATTTTGTTAGTTACTTACAATTTTCAGCTATCCGGTAAAATAACACTAAAGAAGATAGCAGCTCACCGGTGTGCCCGAAAATTTAAAATTATTACCGAAACTTAAGCTCAGTTTTTTCTTCTAGACTTTCCTGAGTTAAAGGACGAAAATCACTACTCTGGTTGTATGAAGAATTTTGATTTTTGCTAACTCGGTAATAAATAGCCACCCAGGCTTATGAAGGATTAATCCAATGTCCTTCGTTTTATTGTAAAGCAACTATGCTATAAGTAGGAGATTTATTTTGTGTAAAATTTAATTGATTTATGTTATAATGATTTATGTTATTTTGTGTAACGTTTAATTGATTTATGTCTAGTTTAATATAGAGTGAAGATCTATTTAATTTTGTAAATATTTAAGTGTTACCGACAGCAATAATAAGCTAGATTAGAGACTTTTGAACTATTTAAAAAAACTTTAATTAAATTTATTTCGAGATGGCGTGTTTAGGCAAAGATCACAAAGAGGACCTTAAAATACCAGCTTTAAAGCTTGCATTACAAGTTACAGATAACTTAAATTCGAGCGATTGCAAGATTTAACATGAAGTTCTAAAACATGCGAAGAAACATTTACAAAGAATATGTTAAAAAACATTTTGGATGAACGCGTAGCAGCCGAAAAAGAAGTGGAAAGACTGAAATTGGTTGAACAAAAAGCAGCTGAAGATAGGGCTGTAAAAGAAACTGAATAAGAAAGAATAGCAAATGAACGCACAATTTGAATTAGAAAAATTAAAACTTCAACTTGAAGTTAATAAGAATATGTCAAAGGAATCTGTTTTCAAGAAGATCAGCCTAAATTTGAATTGAGTTGCATTCTTCCAAAATTTAACCCAAAGGAAGATGAGATTGGACTTTATCTGACATTGTTTGAGCGTCAACCGAAGTTCGTAAATATACCTGAAATTAATTGGATCTTATATTTAACTTAATAATTACCATCTCAGATAAATAAATTAATTGTTAGAGAAAACGAAAAAGATTATGAAAATTATGAGAAAGTAAAAGATATGATTTTAAATTGATACAGATTTGTAGCTGAGAGGTTTCGACAAATGTTTTCTGAACACAGAAAATCTACAGAAATTACATAGAAGGACCTTGCTTTTGAATTGAAATCGTATTTTGAAGAATGAGTTGAAGAAGCGAATAGCTCCAGTTTCGAGCAACTACAAGACTTGATCATTGCAGATCAGCTAACGAAAAGTACATCTCCTGACGGGAAAAAACATTTTATAGACATTTTATCAAAAATGAGTAATCCGTTGGAGCTCGCCGAAAAGCTCAAGTATTATGAAAATGTGAGACTTAGCATAATGAAAACAGCACCTCCCATTGCCAAAAACACACACACACACAAACATATTTTAAAGTAACATTAAATTTATTTAAAAAAGAAAAGTTAAACGTTAACCATATTAAAATAGAAACGTTGACAATTCTAAATTTACTAGTTCCAGACCAGAAAGAAACACGTTTATTCATTGCTATGGTTATGGATATTCTGGTTACATACTATCGAAATGCCTTAAGTGTAATAAGGTAAACGAAGATACTACAACTGTCGTGAATTTTGTAAAACATGTATGCAGCTGAATCATCTGACCTACTGACCAACTCCATATTGTAAATGTCTGTGGAGAAAGAGCAGCTTTTTGCGCCGATACAGCAACATATAATTCCATCGCGGGAGAAGGATTCCATAAATTGTTAAAAGATCGAGGGTTTAGATTTAAAACGAAAAATATTACATGGTATTAGCAGATGGCAAGGAAAGAAATGTCCAAGCTTTGACTACGATTGTAAATCTTGATGTTGAAGGAAAGATAGTCAGTATGAAATTTATTGCTTTGTCAGAAGCAAACGCTATTAGGACGTTACTTGGAAATGATTTTATGCAAGCTATGGGAATAGCGCTGAACATTTCACAGTGGAATTTACGCCACATAATAACGCAAATTATATTAACACCCACATATTAACATTATTATACATTATTACTATTAAATCCACATAGAGTTAACTAGCCAAG